AACTAATCGCCAGGTCCCAAGCTTTTTTTTTTCTTCAAAATAAAAAAGGTCTTCCGCCGTTACACCACAATAAATTATGTACTAAAGGCAAACGCATAGTGCTATATACATCCCAGTACGAATTATGTGTGTGAATAGCGATTACCTTATACAAGCTTTAAGGTTAGAAACCCACAATGGGGGGGCAGGGGATATTTTGAATGGAGGGTCATAAATAAAAAGGGATAGCATCATAACTATAGGCCATTACTCGAATCTTTTGTGATGGAGTGGTCGATGCCTAATGCATGTAGCGAGGTAGGTGGATCGTGGATTATGTAGGAGGGAGCCGTCTGTGCAGCTAAGACATCTCGTCTAATCACGGTTCTTATGTGGGAGGGTGTCATAGGAATAACAATCACAAAGATTGGACATAATGTAGAAACTTACTTAGCCAGGTCATAATCCCTCGAATAATCAAGTCCGCTTCTGGTAACACCAGCAGTGTTCCTATGTACCTAATGCAAGTCGATGAGGCTTAAAGCTCGAGTGGCAGCCTGTTAGTCCAGTAGTTCATAAGAGTCCGGCATGAACCATCTAACCAAGGAAGGGCGATCTTCGGCGATATCTAAGCCTTGACCAACGTCTGGCCTGTATACCACCAACAAGAGCTATAGCTGGCCTTGTTAAAGCGTAGCAGCCACGTGAAAGAATAAGTCGAGTGCCGGGATCAGCCCTACGGGGTGACGCACACCTGAACTGCAGTTTTTACTGTAAGCTGTAAACTGTAAGGACCGTGGATAAATGGTAGATGAGGTCAGACCTAGACCGGAAATAACGGAACCAAAGTTAGTAAAGAAGTCTTTGCAAGAACCGTGTCGGAGGTTGGCTGACAGGGTAAGACCAACAAAGGCCTAGGTCTACGACTCTTCGCCCAGTTATGCCTTGCCTTGCGTATCGGTAGACGTCGACTTAAGCACCAGCAGAACGAAGGAAGAACGTTTGGACGAAGCGAGACACATGACTTAATGTGGAACGAAATAAAGACTAGACAAATGCTAGCATATTAAGCTTCTAAGGGGTCCAGCGCCCCGATCCTCGTTCCCCAAGATCTGCACCATCTAATTTCCAGGTCTGCAACACACATATCACGCGGGTTCCAAAACAAGGCGAAATAGAGTCCAGAAGCGGCACTAAACTCGTCTCGGGACCCCCGGCTAAAATAACCGGTCATCGCGGCACTAGATAAGAACATGGGGTGGAAGGGGTGGAAGGGGGAAAACATAGCATCGACCAGCATTGAGCCGCATGGAACAAGGAGTCCATGCTATCCCAAGGGTTCAAAAATCTGTATTGCCAAGCCGCCCTAAGTATCACAGCACGACGTCCGTTTCCGTAGCCGCAGCAGCGGTGTGCGACGCACATGTACAATACAAGCTGAAAATGTATCCCATAAGAAAAACACCATATAAATTGAGAGCAAACTGTTACGGAAGAAGAGGAAGGGAAAGTCTAGTCTTTGATGCAGACTCAACAACTCAACAGAGATACGCAACTGGGCAGTTCAGTTACCACTATGTAATCCCTAAGTTAGACCCAAATACGGTGCGGAATGCCCTATTCGCGAGCCAAGAGGATTGTTTGGGGCTGATTCTGATGTCTTTTTATTTCATTTCATTCGACCCAGCAATCCAGCATACACGGGCAACGTGGATCGCGCTAAGGCGAGCCATTTGACGCCACTGGTTAGTCTGCCGGCTTGTCAAGTCAAGTAGATGGGATTGGCACTGGGTAGGGGAACAGGGGACGCGTGACTTGAATCCCAAAGCCGAATCGTCCACTTGGAAAAGATGCCAACGCTCTTTGTGGGACAAATATCTTCTGTGGTCCTCCTACTACCGTTAAACAAAACGAGCAGTTTGATGAGTCCACATGGCCAGTTGCAGGAACTTGTCGCGCAGTGACACGTCAACTTAATCGGAACTCTCGTCACTGTGAAGAGAGAGAGAGAGAGAGAGAGAGAGAGAGAGAGAAGGGGAAAAAAAAATTTGCAGCTAACAAGCGCAAGAGACAGGGAAGAGCAGAGGACAGGGATTAATGCGCGAACGATCACGGGCCGTGTTCGTATTCCTATCAAGACAACATCCAATGCTGACAACTGTTGATTTTGGTGGAAATTCGATTGCCTATGCTGGTAGGTACAGGGCAAGGACTGACCGAGACGGGCCCCCAACTCCTTGACTTGTCTTCTCGGTGAGCAAGTGAGTGGATGAGTGAGTCAAGGACTATGTATCGGAAACTGGATGGTCTTATTAGCACATTAGCACCACAGTAGGTCTTGTTCGGGAATGTAGCTCGAACGTAACACCGTAACACGACTGGACCGTTGTGATTTTGCCGCGCTTTTGTTCACAGCGGTTAGTGTATTTTGTAAAAGGTTGGCCACAAACCACAAACGTCTCGCAGGCTGGCAGGGTTGGTTGTGTGCTCTAGCCTCTCGCAGGGTTGTGCCGATGTGCCCAGAACACGTGTCGGGAGTAAGACAACGGAAAACAGATAGATTGGTGTTTCCACGACGCCGGAAAAGGGTCATATATGTATTATTGATTAAGATGCGGCATTTGGTACTGGAAACTGTTGGTGGAAAAAAAAGAAATGGGCGAAGAATCAACTTGACTGGTCTTGACTGGTACTTACCTAAGGTACGTAGGTGTCAACTGTAAAATGATTTGCGACCCGACCGGACGGATCCAATTGCCAGTGGTGAAAGAGCCAGGGGTTCGGGAGAGATATGTGGGGGGTTAGCTGCTTGCTGCCGTAGAATTTTTAGGAGGTTACGTCGGTACCGATATGTACCGTGTGTAGGTACCTCCCGAAAATGTAGTGTAAAGCTAGAAGGTAAGTGGTACAAATACAGCAACAGTAGCGGTGACCGTAGGGCCTACAAACAGCACGGAAAGTACGAGTATACATTAGGTACCTAGGTAGGTAACAATGTTAACCGACAATCAAACCTCGTACTGCCCATATTTTACCTTTTACCTATATCAAACTTTTACGGAATATTCTCATTCTCATTTACAGCTTACTCCTGACGGGGATAGGAACATACCTATCATAAGGTGTTGTCTACCTAACCTCATATGTATTACGCGTAGTTGACCTATAATTCTACTATTATGCGTCGGTCTAACGAATAGGTACATACATCTCTGCATACATCTCATCACGAATCCACATCGGTTCCGTCCGCGCACGATTGTCTCATCACGAACATCAACCGATCATCGATCCGCCATCTACCCGCTCCTCGGAGATGCCACTAAGAGAAAGCCCACTGGTTACCCGATCCAATCATCTCGGTGGTTTTATCTGCATATGTAGGTGTAGTAATGTCCGGTCTCAAGATGCGATGGAGATGTGATATATCATACTGCGGGTTCCCATCACTAGGTTAGGTACTCATCTCAAAAGCTTGACATTTACCGCCGTCTAGCCGAGTTTGGTCCACTAGTTTAATAGTCACATTCACATTGCCTGAGGTAACATCTCAGCCTCGACGCTAACTGGAGATCATTGTTACCTATCTTCAACTACAACTAGGTATCAACCTTTTAAAGACTATATTATTAGACTATCTCACATAATCCGCTGACTCATGACTCATGCACCGCGGTTTACATTCGCGGCTCTGCTGAGCAATGCTCTATTATCAGTAACGTGCTGACCACTCGTCTTACTGCCTACATAAACGCCGGCATGCAGATGTAGGCACGAGACTTGTCATCTTATGTAATAACAAGCTGCGGCTGAGCGCCTACGACTTCAATTTCGGTACCGGTTTCGGTCAGTAATCGACAGGCCTATGAGCGGGATAGCAGCTTTCACACCGCTACCCATTGCGGTTGAGTCCGTAGGTAGTATTCATATCCACTACCACCCCCTATAAGGTAACTCATCATCAGACATCACCAGATCTGCAGAATAAGATTAACATCTTACACGCATGCAACCCTTGCTGCATTAAGGTCACGCACCTACCGTTCGTATTACTTGCATTATCATGGTTTAATTCTCCTGCATATCATCCTAACCTCGATACTATGGCTTCTATACCCATAGGGAGCGAATGAAGGGAGCAAGTGACAGGATGGTAGGTTAGAGGAATAATGTATATTAGATAACTCGGATGATCTAGATAATCGATATTGTAGCCGGTAAGTCGTATTATCCTCCCGCTGGATGGCTTGGAATTAGATAGATAAGACTATACCTTAACTATGAGGTCTCGAGACAACTAAGATATCTAAAAGGGGAGCTCGCAACCTTATCAGTGGACCAACCACAGTCGAGTTTATAGCTCTTTGTAAGTCTGTCATACTTACGTTCTCTCTCCTTACTCGTATCCATCAAAGCGGCAGCTCCTGAACGGAGAAGCGTCATTTCGCAGGAGAAAATTAAAGGAGTAAAAATATAAGAAAGGGCAGGACACAAATAATAATCCCGTGCGAAATGACGAGACATTAGTATCAAAGGAGTCTATTGCGGAATTAGTAATAAAACAAGAGGAAGATCAACCAAGTTGTGGGAAGATATACTGTTAACACCAATATAAGATACCCTATATAAACCAGAAAACTTCAACAGAAGATGTATTATAGCTATCTATTTTCAATTAGCAACCTTGACACAGCTTTAACAAGCAGTTTCAAGAAGTCTAACTGAGTAACTTGTAAGATTGGAAGCAATCAAACGTAACAAGAAGATGCTAGCAGTTTCATACATAGTCAACAAATAACATTATAGTGTCCTAGTCTATGTTTTGTTCATACTACCAACCTGCCTAAGGTGATTATCGAAGCTTATATTTCTAAGGTAGTGTTAGGTATTATATCCTCGGCAAACCTCATACATAGAGTGGATGTCAGGATAGTTAGATTGAACTATTAGCGCCTGCCTTTCTACCTTCTTACGAAGGTGTTGTGCATCTTTTATATATCCCATCTTAGTAGATCTACCCCTGAATCTACCCCGGCCCACTTATACCCTAAGAAGGATTGCCGCTGGGTGATAATAAATAAACTAAACTATATGAGAGCGCTGCTGCCTAGATCTTCCCAGGATTACTGTCACGTGGTGATCCTATGTCTTTAAGTGCCAACAAGCAATACAGTTGATCTGATACCAAATCATATTTTGTTGGATTGGAAACACTGACGCTCGAAGACACAATTCTCCCACATAGACATTTACATAGGTAAAATCAACGACTGGCTTCGACTTCGGCGCTATTATTTAATCTCACGTATTCCTGGCCATCCGTCAAACATAGCCATGGCCGATACCGCACCCGAAGTCCCTGTCGAGGAGCGCCAAGAAGATAGCGATGTAGTCGATAGGAAAGCAGAGGTTCTCGCGGAGCAGATAAAGAAGAGCAAGCACTTCATCGTTTTTACCGGAGCCGGGATCTCTACTTCAGCCGGTTAGTTCTACCGCCTTCCTATACGGTTACCGTCCGGTCTAAATCTTACATAGGTCCATACTAGGTATTCCCGACTTCCGCGGTACCGAAGGCGTCTGGACGCTCATGGCTCAGGGAAGACAGCGGCCGAGTGCGGTGAATACCCTCCAAGCCGTACCAACTGCTACGCACATGGCTCTTGTTGAGCTGCAGAATAGAGGGATATTAAAGTATCTGATTAGCCAGAACTGCGATGCCCTGCACCGGAAGAGTGGAATTTTACCAGTAAGTTTACTTATAACATATACCATACCTGCCTTGATAGATGAGTAAGGTCATGGTTTATATTAATATTGGTTTAGGATAAGATATCCGAGCTCCATGGCAATAATAATCGCGAGTACTGCGAGGACTGCGGGAAGGAATATATTCGCGGTACTTTTTCCCTCCTAGAATACCTACCATCGCAAGACCCCACTAACAACAAATAGACTTCCGGGCTGTTGCTTCATATGAAAAGACAGTCCACGATCATCGCACAGGGCGGAAATGTACGCGTTGCGGCGGGGCCCTACGAGACAGCATCGTCAACTTCGGCGAGTATCTCCCTGCCGAGCCCTTAAGGCTTGCTCGCAACCACGCCAAGAAGGCGGACCTCTGCCTTGTCCTGGGTTCTTCACTCACGGTACCCCCAGCGAGCGGAATTCCGGAAATGGTTGGTACGAGGAAAGCAGCGAAACTTGCCATATGCAATCTGCAAGACACGCCGCTGGACGGGCTCGCGGACCAGCGGATTTACTCGAAGGCAGATGAGCTGATGACTCGGGTTATGGCCAAACTTGACATTCCCATTCCGCGATTCATTCTCCGCCGCCGCCTGACTGTTCAGATGGAGACGACGGGTGGAAACCGGCATCAGCTGAAGGTCTGTGGTGTCGATGTCGACGGAACGCCTATGACCTTCCTCCGCTCTATAAAGCTTGACCAGTATTGCAGAAGGGCAGCTCGTACGGAGCCCTTCAATATAATTTTTCGCAGTGACTTGGATTTGGGGACGGAACTGAAATTAGAGCTGGAGTTCATAGGGAACTATGGCGAGCCAAACCTGGAGATCATATACGAGTATGCAGGGGAAGCTGGCACGGAAGTACTGTATCTCCTTGAATATAACCCACAGACTGGAGAATGGAAGACGGAAAAGGAGAAGAGTCGGGGCGTCGATGAAGATAGCGGCCATACATAGGTAATCACCTCTCGCCATACTCCCCATACACCCCCCTCCGTCCCAACACCCACCCCATCGCAACCGCAACCCCCATCGCCGCCCTAGTAGCCAAACCGCCAACCCACCCCGCGCCCAACGTAACCGGATAATTATCCGCTCTCCAGAACAAATTCCACAGCTCCAGCGTCACGAGCGCGTCGTCGCTCCAAGCACCACCCCCCGCGGTAGCATCCAGGATAATCCCGTTCAAGTTCCGAAAGAACATCTCTTTCGCGCCGTCCCTCGGCTCCGTCCATTCTCTCACGACTAACTCCTCCTCCTCCTCCTCCTCCTCCGTATCAGCCCCTGTATCTTGATCTTGCTCGGCCACGCCCAAGTATCCCTCCTCCTTCCGATCAGCGCGGCGCCACTCATGCACCAAGCCCCGCGGCACCGTGACCGCGCCGTCAGCAGGACCGACGCAAAATATCCGACCGGACAGCGTGACGCGCGCGCGACCGGCTAATACCTGCAGGAACTCCGTATGCGAATCATGCCAATGGGGCCCGGATGTCCACGCAGAGCCAACCGGGACCCGAATCGTGGCCTGGTCGCGCACCGAGAGGTCGTAAGTCACGGCTTCCGGACCCGTGCGCGTGAAGGTGTCTTGGTCCGTTCTGCGGGTTCGTCTTGGAGGAGACATATTTACTTTCGACCTCTCTTACCTTGCTGGATAATTTGTAAGAGGTTAGATATTAGAGTAGACAGGCAGGTATTTTATGGTAATAAGCCGCCAGGCTTGAATTAAGAGTTAATTTGCTACTACTATTCGAGAAAACAATAGATGGATGGCTGAGTTGGAGACTTATACAAAGTCATCCGCCAACATGGCTGTATTCAGCCAAATGTTAGGTGCTAGCAAATGCAATTACCTGTCCTATAATAGAGCTATTTCCTTCTGTGCCGCATGATGCTAACATAACTATTACCAAGCATAAATATTGATAACACGTTGCTATTTAAGATGCTTGATGATCGGTATTTATATCACATAATAAAAACGTATTTGATGATAGAGCTGTCGCAGTTATTCATCACAGTAAAGTACGACTTAATAATCTCGTGGAGAGATAAACAGAAACTTGGTCTTGTAAATGCCTAGGTTAGCCAAATTACTACCAGGGGGTTTGAGTCTCATTGATCTAGCCGACGTCATATTAAACTACCTAGTCTTACCCTGGCCTTCGCAGATGGACCTATGTTGGCTACCTGATAGAGGTAAAAGTAAGCAAAGACCCTTAGAATCAAATTAAAGATTATGGGTAGTTTGAGTAGACCGTATCTCATACGTCTCCCCGGCATGAAGGGAAATTACCTGGTATCGTACACAAGTATCACGCAGTCTGCACCACGAGTAGAGATTATATCTCCATACCTTAGGTACGCATGCATACCTTTGCATATGCCTTAATAACCGAATACCGTAACCTGTAACATAACTTGACGCCTCCCTAAAAAACGCCTGCTGATTTCCCTAATGGGTATCGCTATTATGTCTATCCACTAACGACGTCGGTTTCGACTCTCCGCATTCTTGATTTTTCTCGATGGCCAATTCATTATCTTCCTGTACTTAACCCATAGGAAGAATACGTCCTTCAGCACGACAAATAAGCACCCGCCGACAAGGCTTCGTCCCCACCGCTCTTGGAGCAGACCTGTGCAAAAGCCAGACGACGGGCGTTTAACAAATCGCGAGGGAAGCACAAATCTCAATATCTCACCCATTCCGTAGCATACGCCTGGGAAAAGTAATGAACCGGCCAGGAAGTTTTCGAGTGGCCTACTCTGTGTTACCCTGTTTCGACGATTGTCTTGCCTATGGCGGATTCCCTCCTCTTCATCAGCATCGTCCAACACCATATCGATTTCAAAGTCGAGGAGGTTGTCGCCATCAATCGCAGGTTCTTCGCCGGTAGGTATTGCAGCAGGCTGCTGGCCTACCTTGTTGGCCATCAGCTTTCTTGCTTGTGCTTTCCATCTTTTCTCGAGGTTTTTAGAGATTGTGCTGTGGAGTTGGAAGTAGGAGGTCCTGAGGGCTGGGTAGATGGCTAAGGCTCGTTGGGGGGATGGAGGCCACGTGAAATATTCGTCCGCGTGGTCCATAACCGCCACGAACGTTGCATACTATTAGTTTCGTAAACGAGATCTCGTTAGCAACTGGACCGATGTAGGGCGACACGTGTAAGGTGCTTACCAGTACTGAAGTCGGAAATAAACTAACACCCTGTAAACGTAGTCGGTTGAGTACCAGCCCTGGGGCGATGAATGGCAATATAGCAAAGTTTACTAGGTTAATAGGGGGCATGCGGCCCCTATCTGTTACGCGAACGGGGAGACGTATGATGCCAAATAGAAGAGGGTCTTCGGAGCCGAACAGGAAGTTCATCGTAGCTTCAGGGCCTGCAAACAAATCTAGAGCCTTGATTCCATAAACTGAGCTGCTAACCAGCGCGCCGGAAGCAAGAAATCCAAACAAGATCTGCGGAGACCATCTTGAGTACGTTGTAGTCAGGAAGTCATCCAGGTATGTGGCAAGGTCCCATCGCTCGGTAACTATGATGGACGCTTTGCATATGGGACACTTAATATCCTTTGACTGGGATTCTAGATCTGTGATCCAAGCCATTAGACATTCATGATGCCCTTCTAGTGTACAAGTGCATGGTGTCGACCAGTCGGTGGGGAGTGTAGCCTCGGGCTCATCGACAAGGCAGATGAAACATCGACGTGTATTCGGCGGAGGGTCAGAGAACGAGTGACGGCTGGTAGGTTCTTCATGGTTGTCGATAATCTGAGGCGCTGTCGCAGTCGTATCGTTGTTCGTCGCTTCATCATCGGAGGGAGTCTGGCCTGGCGAAGATGCCATCTTGAGCGAGTTGCCTGCGACGACTGCGGAAGGCTTTAATAGATACTACGCTATGCCATGCTCTGATCAAGAACACTGAAAGAGTGGATATGATAAAATTTAGACTGGCTGAAGCTTGGTATATTTGATGTGTGGTATTTAAATAGCTTTGAGGTTTTGTTGAGGTTTGATCTTGTAAGGCTACGGCATAGAATGGAAAGTACGCGAAAGTTTATCGATTGACTCTCGTCTCTAATAATTTGTCGCTGATATCATTGTTAGGTGCACATCTGTACCAAGATAGCGCCTTAGGTAGCACCCTTTAGCATGTGCTTACATAAGGTACCTCGACCATAGATCCCCACACGTGGATAGCTTTCTTAGGACCTTCCCCCGCTTCCAACTGCAGGTACGTACCTAACTTGAAGTAGCTGAACAAAGTGGGTTAACAGCATACACGTTTAACTACAAACTATTAATTTATCTTACCATCACATGTAAAATACGAAATATTCTTAAAAACAGGCAAGATAGTTGAGTACTTGGTTCTATACCTATCGACTGCCAGTCAAGTTAAACCTTTACTTTAAATATTACCTAGCTGCTCATCTTCCTTCAAGACATCTTTTCCGTAAAGTTATCGCTGATCCTTAAGGTTGCCATCATGTAAATATGATGATGTTACTCGGGGCAATACGGAATCAACTTCTCATTGCTCGGGAATCGTTCTTCTATACCTCTTCGGTTTCAGTTAAATCACCTTTTCTAGTATCTTCGGAAGTCGCCTAGGTATTATTCAATTATGTACTGGCCAGTACCTTGTGATGCTGTTGTTGTAGGCGTAGACACTCGTAGCGTTTCTCAGATTGGTAGTTATAAAAAGATATCTCTCGAGAAAATAATATAAAATTTATTTTGCCCCAGATAGCTTATTATTCAAACAGCATGAAAATCATTCCCGACAGAGGCCACGAATACTCTTACTATAACAGTTAAGCCTGAACCGTCCCGCTGTGCTGATGACTAGCCGCCAAGGCGACCTCTGCATCCGAATGGACGGGTAATATGCAACGATCCCGAACCCCAGCTCCCGTACGGGATCCTGAATGAGCTCTTACTAGGGGGCTTCTTTTAGTTTACGGGATATGTAACACTACAAAAACATCTTATTCTGTCTTTCTTGCTCGCCAATTTTCGTGTTGTTTGTCTTTCTCGTCCGCCCCTCGAGAGACATGACAAGGCCCCGAGCGCCAAGAGCGGCGGCCGTTGCGGGCGCGATCGCGCGAATTCTTGGCTTAGGTGCTTCTGTAGTATTACTGGCCAACCTTATCTACGAAAGTGTGAACTGGGGAAAGACGCTGGGGCTTTCGGTCTCGGTGGTAAGGCATCAAACATCAAATACCACGCGGAATGTGAATATCGATGCTGAATCCAAACCTCAGGCTGTGATTGCACTCTTGGTCGACGGCTCCGAGCTGTAAGAAACCTCTCAAATCCATTTACCTTAACTTCTATTATATGTCGGATTCTTGAAATATATCCGAAATTCATATATCCTTGCTCGAAGAAGTCATTACTGAATTGTTCATATAGGACCGGGTTACTTGACTCGACCCGCACTATACCCCGTGTCTCCCCGTCTTGCTTAGTCTGCGAAGATTTATTTGTTCTTTGCTTGGCGATTCCTTCAATCTTCTTGATTATCTTGGGCAATATCCATGAGACGGCCGCCGACGCGCCATACCCCTGGGAAGGCACCGACTCGCTGTCTCTTATAGTTACGATTGCCATATGGTGAGTTTCGACCAAGCTCTGACGTATGGGATTATGACCATGCTAATTAAAATAGCATCCTAAGAGGTATAATCCTGATATGGAGCTGTGTGGATTGCTGTTACGTACTAAAGCGTCCGAGACGACCCGAGAGCGTGCTTACACCTGTACATTCAATAGGCGAGTTACGAGACGTTGCTCCGAGTAGATAATATATTATTATTAATGTGCTCCTCCTCCCATTCCTCCTATTTCGTGTCTTGCTATAGGTAGCCTCGCATTAAACCAGGCTCGGTATACTATCAATATGTGATTACATAAATAAGCCTCAGTGACCGCGATATAATCGCGTCGTAAGCTCCAACACCATCACCGAGCTTTAGCGCACTCTTGTGCGTAACCACCCTTCACGGGGCACTTTAACTGCCCAGGGTGAGGCCTACAGGCGGTCCCTATACAGCATGTGGTGCTGCGGCTACAGCCAGGGAGATCCACCTTGGTAGCAAGGTCATCTGTCGGATATGTGTAGGCCATACCTCGACAGTCCTGAAAGATGTTCTCGGGGCCAGGTGGATGCTGGGGATCATCTCTGTATGGATTCGCGCATGTCTTCCCATTCAACTGAAGATGTTTCTATGGTCGTAAATTAGCTACTCTGAAAAACAATAGCGTCGCCTCGATAGTGACGAACCGGACATATCTCTTGCAAGTTAAGGTTGCAGCCGAATTGTACTTTATTATCGCATTCGCAGACCATTGGGACAGTGAAAGCGTCACTGAATTGCGGTCAGCAGAACTAATATCAAAGTTCCAAGTGATGACTCTTACACATAGCTGACATCCATCGCCATCATTGCATGGCCGGAATCCATGAAGAAGGACCCTTCTAACAATGTGGCTCGGTCTACAACATCAAAACCTTTCTCATACATAGCCAGTCGCCCGAACCACTGGGTGTTTAACATTAGAATTCTGGTTTAAAAGGATAGTGTACTCTATGATTTAGTATAGCTTTTCGGAGGCGATAGTCCCAAAGTACACTCAAAACTAACCAAAGGAAGGAATGGTTCGTGTCTGTGTTGGTTTCAACTTACCCCTGTTGGGACTGCAAACGTAATAGTATCTCCTGGCGCGATGGTGTTCGCCGGGTTATCGACTCTAGTCGCCGTCGGACTGCCGGCGCCTGCTTGATGTAGTGTAGAGACAGCCGCAGTGTGAGAATTAATCACGGTAAATACGAAGTCGCCTGGCTGACCAACTGAAGCAACAGCCTCCGAGGGTTGCGTCTCCGTGGGCAAAAAGACTGTCGTGGTAGTCGCTAGAGCTACTCGGCAGATCCCGAGAAGCACAAAGATGGTTGGTGCCTTGACGGCCGTGATAGAAAGAGTAAAACGCATCCTCATTTCATTTAGAGGAAGGCGAATATTTCTTGAGATTTGCCATGGGGGCATGGAGGTCAAAGAGGAAGTAAGAACAAAAGCTATGGGGCACTAACAAACTTATATGTGTTTTGGCCTTCAAAAGAGTGTCCTGGGTAATCCACCCACTTTCAGAAGCAACTTGGAAGCATCTTGGTAAGATTAATTAGTTGACATGAGTTTCAATGATTCATAGCGACTCGATCGAATTCATCTTTGAAACCGGGCGTGATTGCTGGAACTGCTGATTTAGACGGGAGGTGACCTGTGTAAGAGTTACGCCGTGAGACAACGGCGTTGTTCTTACAGCGGACTATATTCCAAGCCGAAGGATAAGAGAGAGAATTGGCACCACGTTTACAAGCCGTACGAATTTCGGCTCCTGTGATACGTTGTTATTTTGAGTTACTCGTAATATCACGCCTTGAAGCCTCCGAATCTCCGTTAGTCCAGTTAGCTGATTGTTATGGTAATTTCGCATGGCGGGTTTTATGCTATTGGATGGTCTCGAAGTCTGCATTGACGTGAATTTAACCTAGCTAATATACCTAATATACCTACCGTCAAAATATCAAACTTACTTACCTACCTCTTGGCGTATATAGAAACTTTTAACTTTTTAGACGCACAGATCAGTGCACATATATTACGAAGTTATTTACGTGTACAATATTGTAGCACCTCCAGTCCGATCTGTGCAATGCTTCCATGTCCCCATTTTAGGCGGGCAACGTCTACGATTATCAGGATAGTTTCGCGCTATGTTAGTGTAAGTTTATCACTTTTGACTCGTATTAGTAGCAAATCCCATATCAGCTAAGAGAACATAAATGCGACTCTATTCAAACACACTCGGGGTTCCGATTATTAGACTCTTCATGACTAAGTACCACCTAACCTAACCTCAGCGATTAGATGGCAGAAATTATACCTAGGTACATAACGGTCAAACTAGACTTATAGAATAAGTCGATGACCGTGATATTGAGAACGCTGTTCGTTGGCTTCTAATACGGTGGTATTCGATCGCTCCGGAAAGCCCTTAAACGAGGCAGCAAAGGTCGCAACGGAGTGAGCAACGAGCTGTAAGGAAGGTTAGCAATATGAGACTTAGATAGCGCGACTAAAGAGGGGAAAGGGGCTGACCTTCGTGTTGGTAAGCCAAGCAGTTGGATTAACGTTGCCAACACCGTCACATATCTGGTGGTAGCAATGATCATACCACTCGCCTGCTTTCCCCCCGAACATGGCTTCCTCCTCCTTCGTCTTGTGACCCTCGGCCCCCGTGGCAATACCTCCTCCCGGGATACCATTGCGAATAAAAGCGTCGTAGTCACTACGTCCGTCGAAGGGAATAAATGTGTGATTAAGTCCCTGCGACTCGTACCAATCCACGTATAAATCTCTTAGCTGCTCCGAACCTTCAGGATTCGCAGCGTTTGTCGCATTATAGACTTGATAGGCAAAGTTCGGGCTACCCATCATGTCATAATCCATAAAAAGGCGGATCTTTAGGTTTTCTTCCTTCGGTAAGACCTCAACATAGTAGTCCGAGCCGAGAAGACCCTCTTCTTCTCCAGCCCACCAAGCGAAACGCACACAGTTGTTGACGCTGAAATTGGTCAACTGTGTAGCAACTTCGAGGAGAGTGAGACTACCCGAGCCGTCGTCATTAATTCCCGGGCCCTCGGCCACGCTATCACTGTGGCCTCCAAGCATGACGCAATTGTCTGGGTCGCCTTCGACGGTCTGAGCAATGATGTTCGTGGTCTCAATCTGCTTAACCTCCGAGTCGATGTATGCGATAGAATCGACGGCTTCGCCCTCCTTTAACTTCTCAAGTATGGGTTCGGCGTCTTCGCCTGACAACCCAAATGTAGCAACATGGTTGGGAGTGGGACTCTCCAGTGTACCCGAAAGTGGCCCAGAAGCGTAGTTATACACGATCGCTGCCACTGCACCCGCCTTGCCAGCGAGCTCTGATTTGGCACCAAAGGAGCAGTTGCCACGAAGGATAAAAGCAATGTTGCTAGTTACGTTAGATGGATAGTCAGATGCATCACATCCTTCGTTTGCCACAAAAATGAGATCGCCATGAACAGGCTGCTTGTTAGTCGTTGGGGGAGTCAGCGACATCGGAAAAGCAGACTTGGGAACGTCATGGCCAATAACTAGACGGGATTCGTAGACATTGCCCATAACAGCCGGAAACGGTTGCTTCGAAAGAGTGTAGTAACCATTAAGCTTCCCTAAGGCCGAATATATATATTCCAAGGTAGCGTTATGACCTATAATATGAGTTAGACGTGGTATTCGTATGCGTATGAATTAAGATCAGTACATGACATACCTTCACTTCCGATGACTCGGGTTGGGCGTCCATACTCCGGCTCTGAGAGCTCTGCAAGACCGTATAGGATCTCGGCACGATCAACGAGGTTCTCAATCTTGATGCTGGCCTGCAGATCTTCAGTATTGACCAACGGTTTGATAAGCGCGTTTCCTGCTTCCAGAGGGTTTTGCGATCCTAAAGGCATTTGAAACACAGATGCGGTAGCAGTGCCTAGCACCGCAAATAAAAGCGTGCGAGGCCATCGACGTATTAGTGCCATAGTGTTCACGCCTTCTAACCCTTTTTGATAAGTGTGAAGGAGGATAAGAATGGAGGAAGATAGGAGGAAGATGGTTTGTTTTGTCCCGTCACTAGGGGGATAACGCTATACTTATTCGCGTTAGACTAAGGAGAGACGGTGAGATCTGTGGCGAAGCAGTATGGCGCCTTTTGTGGCGCTTATTAGATGTTAATGATCCTTGTGTAAAAGAGGATCATAATGCATCTATCAAGGTTATCCGTTTAAGGAAGATAAACTGTTAATACGTGTGTTTCTAACTCACAACATAGCTAGAAACAGACATGTATTGAAAATGTTGAAAAGTAAGGTGGAATTGGTAGAGAGCGGATAAAATCTAGGGAACTTATCTTGAACGAGTGGGTTCTTCGTTCTGGTCATCAACATGTACCGGCAAGATGGTAAATCCGGCGTGTACCTAGGTCCTAGGTAGATGACATGGGAATATACCTAAGGCGATGTTATTCCGACAAATATGTAAATGCAAATGTTGTCGATAGGTATTATTGAAAATGAAGGTGAGATGTGGTCTGGATACGTGAGAGTACGGTGCAGGTGGGTTTGGGATAGGAGGTATTTATATTGTAGATACAATCGAGGCAATGACTAAACCGCGAAATTTTTGATTCGTAGTGTAAGCGAAGAGGCGGAAGTTAAACCTAGGATGGCAAAGTCATAATCTGAAGTTTATACTCTGTCTGTGCCAATACAACGTCTGTGTTGTGTATATTCAAGGGAGGTAGCAGACCGAACCTGTAGCTTGTTGACATTCTAACTTGTATTTCTTTAAGTTTAGATCCCGTTGCTTGTCTCTTTTAGGTCGTTTTATAGAAAGACGGAGGGCAAACTATGAAAGGTGGCTTATACCATGTGCAGCCCTACCGATTACATTAACTGCCTAACCTATATTCTCTAATAGTACAACCGACGCTACCGAAACTTTTGGGTAAGCTAAAACTACCTTACCGCCCGGGGGGGGTCTTTCAAAATGTTTACAGTGATAATGTCGAGTTATTAAAATAATGTTACGCGAACATGTTAAGGAGAAAGTTTTTAAGTAAATATATATTTGTTTTATACATACTTTTAAATATTAAACATGGGTTTATATATATAATATGCTTTTAAGTTGAAAATGTATTTATTTTATATATACTTTTATATGTATAACATGTTTTTACATTAAAATGATTTTAAAAGTGTAACATATCGAGGTAATGTTTTTAAAAGTGTAACATGGTGAGGTAATGCTTACGTAAGCAAGGAAAAAGGTAAAAAAATGAAAAAAAAAATAAAAATTTTCGAAACGAGTAGCTGTTTTATAAGGATTCGAACGTATGACCTTAAAGTTTTACATTAAAGTTAATAAGTTAACGTATAATTACCTCGTATTACATAAATAGCTAATCCATTTAATTAAGTTAATTAATTAATTATGTAAAAAAGATTAAAAATTTACTTATATAAGGCCTTATTATATATGTAAGTTTTTTTATTAAAAGGTATTATTAAAATGATTTTTTATTTTAAAATAATTACTTTTACGTAATTGGTATAAAATCATTTTATTATTTAAAATATTTATATATATAACATTATTAAATTAAAAAAATTATTTATATAATTATATAATTTTATATTTAAAAATTATACTACGTATAATATAATAATAGTTATTATTTTTAAAAAATAAATTTATTTTATTTTTTTAATTTCATTACTTAAATATTTTTACTACGAAAATTATCTTTATAAGCATTTTCAAATACCCCCCCCGCGCGCTAAGGTAGGGTATCTCTAGGAAATCAGACCCGTCTCTTCGTTATTCGTGCAAGGTTTTACCCTTGGTTATGAGAAGGAATATGTTATCCGTAATGGGTAGGTACCTCCTATTAAGCAGGGATGAATTCGTTGCGGGTGACGATCGCATCCCGTTCATCCCGCATAACAAAACCTACTGTCCATCCACAAGTCTCATTTCCATTTAAATCAATATACGTAGACGACCTCGGCTCCATTATGGTAAATCGTACCCTTCTCTCGTCTGGTGGTAAACCTGGGTATTGAACCGCAGTTGCTGGTTGCCCGTCGTCGTTTAGTACGACACCGTGCTCAATCTCGATAACCCGGCGCGCCAACGCATATATCTGGTCTAGTTCCCACAGGTTTTCTCGTGGAACCCCGAGTATTCTTATTAAGCGTAAAGCCTCTAACCGTACGTTCAAGACTCGACATTTTGTTGCAATAAGGTGAAGCCACACCACGAAGCCTGTCTCGAAAATGAACTGTGGTTCACGTTTCGTAGTTGGCATTCGAGATTCGTCGGGAAGTACGGAGTCGACAAGTATGCATGAATCGAGTGCTCGCTGAAAACCGCTTAGATATTGATCGTAACACATCTCGTTGGGCTCGAAAGCTATGGCTAGTGTGATTCGACTGAGCTCGTAGCGTACTAGTAGAATCGCACGGGACATTGCTTGGATGAAATCTATCCCTAAATTGTACAATTCTGTTGTCGGTGTACTCGGTAACATTGACCTAGTGTCCAGGCCTTTGAATAAAACTTGCCATTCGTCTAGGAGATTTACAACTACCTTCTGCTCTTCTAGCAAGTCAGATGACGCTGTCCTGTACCGTAAGTTCCCAAAACGGTACGCATCTGCCAATCGTGTAACACGTAATGTTCTACTTTGTAAATAATCCATTGCTGACGCCGCATCGGCATAGTTGTCGAAGGATGTTGGAAGAGGGCTATCTACGAAGACAAGGTCGGGAAAGTCGATAGTCCCCGCCCCGAAGAAGAATGGGAAAGAACTTAGTCGCCTGAATACCGGCAATAAGTGTTCTCTTGCCCAGGAGTAATTAGCATTGTCGAGCAGAGCAATGCCATGTTTGCAATGTTGGATGGCTGTCTCTTTGTTAGACTGCAGAAATTCGATACATATAAAAAGAATGCAGACTAATAGTACTAGAGGTTGGTTATCTGTTGTCTTTAGTTCGCGAATAGCAGCGTTATAATGCTGTAGCGCAAGGCTATTATCTCTTAGCTGAACCCCTGAGTGGGACTTTTCGCCCTCGGCTTGGAACTGTTCATATAACGAACTTATGGCTATGACAGAATGTCTAACGGCGGGTTCAAAATTGCTGAACTGCATAACTAAATGGGTCCAGAAGTACGGGTCGGTGGCCCCTGATAAAAACTGGGCCGTCTTTTCGCAGAAGAAATGCAGGGCTCTTCCTTCACTGGCGCTGTCTATACTCTGGAATAGCTGACGCGGGCGGTTCCAGAGCAGTCCCGAGCTCGGTTTAGTGACATAGCCGCTACAAGCGCGCCCGGTGGTAATACAACGGTTACAGTGTGGCTTGCCTTCGTCACACTTCACTTTGCGTGCTCTATCAGATGTTAATCAGGGCTGCTAGGTAATTGGTTGGTGATTACTCAAGCAGAACCTACTTGCAGGTTAGACAACCCGTCCTGACTTTATGACTCCCTTTCCGAGGCATTTCGATGAATAAGTCGAAAGATACGCGTCTGGTATTTCATTAGACTTCTAGCCTAAGCGATCCACCAAATGCGAGTTGCCCTTCTTTGTATGACACCAGTGCCGTGGATGACGACTTAGTGTAATGTGAGTTTGCGATTGATATCTCAAAACGCGGAGTATCCCTGCCAGATGGATCGCGCTAGCTACAGTCCAGCGGGTCGACAAGGCTCGAGTCCGAGCAAGCCAATGAGAGGCAAGTCTAACTGACGCCTTAAAAAAGAGGTTACGTGGTCTGGCGGTTGACATAATTCAGATCCTTGTCCATTCTGAACTCTTGGCCTGATCAGATTTTGAATAAACTTGTGGAATATTAATTTAACTCGGTTTTCTAACAAAAATAATGCTTCACTCTTTCAAACGCATAGTGGCAGCTTCTCCGTTTCATTCAATTTCGGAACCGCTCCCATTGGTTTATTATTCAAATCTAGTGGACTTCAAATTTCTTATTTCTTATTATATAAGGAGTTACGGAAGTCCCCATCAAGAGTTTTGTCCATAGGCCAGCCCCTATTAGCTTTTGACCAGCTTTGACAGGGCTTGGCAACAGCTATAGGCCATTAAGCGCATGTACTATCCATATTACACTACTTTCGTTTATACATAATAACTTAAAATCTTCTCCTCAAACAATAAAAGTTAAATAGGTATATAAAGCAGCTTTTAGTCTTAAAATAGGTCTAATTTTAATGTTTTCATTAACATACCTATTGAAGCTAAAATTGGATGTTATAAAAGCTAAAGTTTTGTATACGTTCATAATCTTGGCTGGCGCATGGTGTCAGGTCCTAGACAGCTGCATCAAAAGCTATCAGGTGGCACGTATAGACAAAACTTTTGATGGGGACTTCGGTACATCCAGAGACGAAGCCCGTATATATTCTTAAGCATCTTACAGCCACTACGCCCCAAGGAATAACCGGATAATTTTAGTGCATAATTATGGATTATACTATATAATGCTTATTCCTCTTACAGTACAAATAACATATAATCTAGATATGGGATAGACTATTAGGTAGTATGTAGGTAGGTTTACATTGCGAAAAAGCGATATCGCTAAAATATTAAGGTCGGATGAAGCATATTCCAGGTATACTCAGTAAAGAAATTGTACATGGCGACGGTTGTCTGATCTTTGAATCGCATTGACTTTGTTGTGAATAGTATAAAGCTTATTGCTGTTGCAAAATGATCAAGAAACAAAGCCAACAACTCTATATTAGCACTCGTACCCGACCGTAATACTTTTTCAAAAACCATGAAGCTTTTCGAGAACTGGTCAGTCTAGAATAAGAAAGCCCAGAAATATCCGTCTTCATTCAATATTCCTTGGGTAGCTTGTTGGATACGATGGCTTCTGAATCTCAGATTTGTCTACCCAGGAGACCACCGTAGTAAGAGCCCCAACATACAAATATAATTGAATAATTACTTTCTTCACTTGCAATTGATTTATCTAACCGCAGCCACCCCCGAGAAAGGAAATCAGTCTTTTTAAAGAGTTCCCAGAACAGTATTAACCTATGTGGAAGTGAAACAAGGCAATGGTTCGCGCACTAGGATATGACGAAGTGATAAATCTAAACTTTTACTAAGAACTTATTATCTAAAACTATGACTATGACTATGCGAGACATAGTTCAAACCCAAACAGCGCCTTCGTTCTGTAAAGAACAAAGGATTATATATATCTCAAAAGCTCCCATGCTATTATAGTTCTAAATCTTACACGACCGCTCCACGGCAGCGCAAGCTTATATCTTCTATTCCGCTGCCATGTCTTCTATTCCGCTGCCAAATATGTTTTTGAAAATCCATCCTTCCTCCACGAGACGAGCACTCCCGTCCTTCCCGAGACGACTACTCCAGAGGGACGATCACTCATCTTCCAGCTCCGAAAGTCAGCGTCCAAGAGAACAGTCTATAATCAGCTCATCTAAACCTTTAATCTGCATGTCGCGGTTTCATGGAAAGTCTCCCGATAAGAGAAAAGGAAACTTTGATAACCGGTTTCAGTACACCTGCACCGCATGCAGACAGAAATGGTCGGGGCAAATGAAGACGGCCGAACAACTAGACGAAGAGCAAAAAGCCTACGAGGAAAAAATTCGAGAAGTAGAAAAAGCCCGCGAAGAGAAAAAGGCCTGGGAAAACAAAGCTATGCGCTTATTGATACAGAGAGTGGACGCGGCATTTATGCAGGCAGCGAACGCGGTATTTATGCAGGCAGCGAACGCGGTATTTATACCCCCTTTCTCGTTGATGTAGAGGCAACATCGGCGAGCCCTTTGAGTACTTTATGCTCCCGAAGCTTACCATCTCAGGTTGTCGAGTTTCCCCAGACTAGGGCCGCATTACCCCACGATAGAAGCTCCGGGAGCCTCAACAGCAAGCTCGGGGGTCGAAAACGTAAGATGGATATCCTAGACGATAATCCCCGAGAGAAGAAGAGGCGAAGAACTGAGGCGGAAACGGACGCCAGCGTCTCCCTTCCCCCCGAAATTATTTCCAGTGTTTTATCCGAATCACTGCTTTCCATAGACCAATGCGCTCTGGATTTATTAGTGCCTGACTGGCATCCACGTAAGCAATATAACCCACTATCAGACAACCCCTTGAATTTAACGAGAGTCGTCACATACACACGAGGCATTGATGGCAAAGTTGGCAGTCTCATAACCAGCCTCGGACATGGTGACGATGATCATAACTTTCTCCCTGTGAAATTCCCTGATAAGAATCTTTTAGCACTTAATAAGTGGTGTAATAACGAGGTGATCAGGGTCCTCTGCCTCGAAGGCGCACAAGTTTTCGAACTCGCCGCAGACGGTCTCCCTCCTACCATCGCTGAGGAATCCTTTCTAGGAAATAGAAGAGATACGTTTCCCATCAGAGGAAAGCGTTCACGAGGTATTCTTCCCTATGATGACGAAGATCCCGAAGCTGATAAGAAAGTTATGCCAAGTGGCTCACCTTACATCTTTAAGCTCCTGCGTCATATCGTAATTCGTTCACCGCTAACCCTCATGGATGTTGACGCTCGTAGTATGATCGGATTCGAGGCCCAGACAAACGATGCTAACCTTGAGGCGCTCGATATGCTTATCGACCTAGATCGTGGTTCACCCCTATGGCTATCGTGGTCAAAGATGCCGATGCTGGAGAGCGTCCTTCTGGACCTACGCATCTATAGCCACGACGTTAACACTGATCGCGGGTGCATCGGCAAAGGCGAGATCATAAGGCGGGCGCAAGAAATGGGCCGCTGGCTACGATTGAAGTTGTTGGTTATTGCTGGCCTGCAGAGCTACAGCTTCGACACGAGTTACGACGCATGCACGGCGGAACTTGTTGAAGAAGCAGACGAGATAGACGGGGGGCCTAATTGGATCAAGATTTTTTCGCCCGCTGTACGTCCTGGTGGTAAACTTATTCTCGTCGATCGGTTGACGGATGAATCAACGGATTTCTTATTTCTTCATTATTGAATAGCATCCGCTCGTATCGTGTAAGGGTATTATTTCCCCCATAACTTATGATTAATAAATAATACGAATTTTGGATACGCAGGTAAATATTATGTAGAATCATAATCTAAAGATCAAATTGTCACCGCGAACCCGAGGTAAGCAAGTGTCTTAATCGAATTCGTCCTGAAAAGAAAATGGGGGCCAACTGAGAGATATGTAACTATTGATAAGGGTCAGACCTGCAATAGTGAATAGATAATCAAAAATACGATTCATAGTAGAGAGAATATGTGAATAGAATGAAATAAATCCCATTCGTTGTGAAGATGCGGGTCCCTGCAAGGGATAAAAGGATTATAAATGCTTCATAGCGTCGTCTAGTATCGGAATACGCATCCGATGTCGTGTAAGCAAATGATCCTTACCGATTAGCTCTTTTATAAAAGTCCGTCATGGACTCTTACAATTTCTTAATCACATACCTACCTTAGGTACCTATCACCTCACCTATTGTCCTAGGGAGTATCAATTAGTCCAAGCACGATGGACAAGCTTTCTTCGATCCTCCCGCAACAGCACGGTGGTTACCTGCCTTACTTTTTGTTCTACGTAAGTTTTGATAGTTGGGCGTAGTTATTGCGGAAATAAACCAGCTAATCCGAGACGGCCTTTATTAGAATAGTCTATCTGCGGCGATTCATAGCGTTGTGTGCTATGTGAATAATCCGACAACAGCGCTTCGGGCGTTTAGCGGCCCTGGGGCGCCTCCTCCGCACTCGTTGCTAGCACACGTGTACGGCGTGAAGAACTTATACACGAGCATGATCAGGATTTACGCCGCATATTACATTACCAATCCCCAGGTGTACGATCTTGCGGCTTGGACTTTTGTCGGGGTGCTTTTTTTATACATCACCGAGGCGTTCATTTATAAGAGCGCGAGACTTCGTGAAGCCAGTTTCCCCTATGTGATTGCGGGTACTGGCTTAGTTTGGATGGTGTTGGAGCGGGATTGGTACCTGTCGCAGTAAGGGGGGAATATACCTCCTATACGGGTATCGGTGTATGCGGGCAAGTGAGATGTTTATTTCTATAGGTTAGGTATAAAACGGGGATATTGGATATTGGATATCAAGGATAGCTTACCTTATAACAGGTATGCTGTATTACCTAATGCTTTTCGCCTAGTTACTAAGTCAGCTACCTGTTAGCCATTTACCAGCTCTACTTCTTATGGTTACAAACCGCCAGCTTGATTTTTTGAAACATCGTCTCTTTTTTTTTTCTTTTTTTGCCTCTTTCCTTTCTAATTCCACCTTTTCAGGGCAGCTCACAAGGCATGCCAGTTGGCTACAGCTCATAGAGCTATGTTGCATTATCTCACGTGGCTTCACATAATGTTTGGTGCCACCGCACCACCCAACGAAGCGGTGGAAGCTTCGAAGTCGTCGCCCAATTAGAAATCAGGTATAAGGTAGGTACTTGAAACATTAGGTCGCGACCTTATGCATGTATTCACGGATGAAAGATGAGGTACATCGCTTCTATTTCGAATGTAGCTCGCGCTTTGCCCCGCAGGCCATAGGTGACCGACTTGCGCAAGCTATGACTCCCGCTCAAGGCTTCATTTTATTATTCCATAGTTAATGATTTAAGAACAACAAGTTTATCTGGCGTATAAATCAGCATTCCATTTGATAATTCATTCATTCATTTCATTGGTCGTATCAGCTCTAGCCACTCCAGTTCTGCCACATGGATATTGTATCGAGCAACTATATCTATTACTATTACATGTCACCAACGATCAACTACCACTCCTAATTTACCCGCAACCTCAACCATGTTTTCATATCGCCGGCCATTGACCTCCGCAAATCGCTCTACGGAATCATCACGGCATCGCAGCGATAGGCGCGCGCATCCTTCAAGGCGTCACGATTCCTCTCAGGAGAAAAGGAGGGTAGAGCTTATTGACCTCGACGACACCTTTACCGAGCGGAATCCTGTAAAAATTACTTTTAAGACTTGGCAGCTACACGATCTGTGTGCCTTACTAAAGAAGCGATTCCCGGAGGGGGCCCAAGAAATTCCAGAGGATGCCGAGGTGCAATTCTTTTCCGACAACAAACGCTTGGAGGGAGATGATATCCCCAAGGATTCGCGACTATTATTTTATAGGGTGTTGCGGAAAGGTGACGACGGTTCGTTCAGAGTCGCGTGGCGAGGGACCAATTTGAAGCTGCGCAGGCCGGAGAGGGAAGCGATCGCTCGTGAAGCTGCTATGGGAAAGTCCGTAGGTAGCCTTCGGGAGATTATAGCAAACCTCCTACGAGATACCAACAAGTCCAAGGAGGCTCTAGTACAAAATGCCAACCAAATCGTGATCGAAACAGAAGGTGGCCTGGAACAGAGGCTGCTGGAAGGAAACAGTTGGGAAGTACGCAAGGTGATGACATGGCTTTGTCGTTATCTAATTATTAGTATGAAACCGGCCGACAACTATTTCGTCCTGCGAGGGTTCAACGAACAGTACATCTGCCATAAGCCATGCCTTAACCGCCGTGGTTATGCAGACACATTAAAACTCAAGAATTGGCTCAAGAACGAGGTATTGACGACGGTTCACTCTGATAATAAAGTTCGCCGGCGCCAGCTCAACTTTGAAGATATCAGACTGACCCATAATGGTAAGCTGGTCACGAGCGCAAACCATATTCGTCCCGGAGCGACTATCGACTTTGAAGTTCCCCGTTCCGTAGAGGACAAATTCGTTCGCGCCGAGAGTTGGTTGGTTCCTACGTCGGAGACGTGCATCGTATGCGGCGACGAGAAGAGAGTCTCCGAGATGCCAAACAGGAAACGCATTACGGCGGCTTGTGAGCATGATGCTACTACTTGTAAAGCCTGCGTTGGCCTCTGGATAGCTTCGAGCTTGGAAAGAATTGCGTGGGACCGCTTAAAATGCCCTGAATGTCCCCAACTACTCAAGTTCGAGAACATTCGAGCTTTTGCCTCCCGAGAAATATTCGATAAATATGATATGCTAGCCACGAAGGCCCTGCTTGCGAGAAACCCGGAATTTATGTGGTGTTTGAACCCTGGATGCGAGTCAGGCCAGATTAATCCGGCAGGCTGTTCAAAAGCGAAATGTCATGGATGCAGAGGTTACGTTTGCATCCATCACAACGTTCCTTGGCATAAAGGGGAAACTTGTGATGAATACGACAAGCGAACACGTAAGCAAAGGAAGAATGAGGAAGCGTCTGAAAAACACATCAAGGAGATGAGCAAACCATGCCCCGGTTGCAAGAGGAATATCAACAAATACATAGGGTGTGATCATGTCACCTGTAAGCATTTAATCTCCTTAAACCTGTTAGCTATAGAACACCAAAGTAATTTAAATTTGCTAGGTATTTGCGGCCACGAGTGGTGCTGGCTATGCTTCGAGCCGTACTACAGAGACGAACAAGATTACCTTCAGTGTCACCACACGCAAGAGTGTCGGTATCACGATAACCCACCTAATTACGAAGGAGGCAGGGCATTCATGCCTTTTATGAACGCGCCGCCAGGGCCACAGGTTCCTATCCCTAGACGACAAGAGCCGCGGCAAAACATCTTCTTTCCCGTCGGGCCCGCAGAACCTCTCCCTATTCCCGGCCCCGTGCCTCCTGCAGGCGACGAAGGGGGAGCCAATCGGCCCAGGGCGCGCCGAGGGGGTTTTCACATAAGAAATCCGTTTGACCCGGACGCCAACGCAAACGGCGCGCGTCGCCAACGCTTCGATCTACCCCCGGAACTCATAGACGAAGAAATGATGTTACGTCTAAGGCGTATGATGCAGGGTAGAAATTGACAGACCCAATTCAAGATAGGTAGTTCTGGGAGGATAGTATACGAAATCCAGCTGCTATAGATGAGGACCCTAGATAAGAGTGTTGCTTGAGGAAGTCGGCTTGCGAATGTCCTCTAGGTACTAGATGATTAGCCCGGACTGATCCAGCTCAGCTCACCTGGTGTATTTAAGAGACAGAACCTGCAATCGCTTTCGATGTAATATATATATTCATTAGAAAGCGAACACTGTGAGCGCAAGTGAAATGCCCATTTATTCCCAGATATAATACATGGTATCTTAATTAGCATGGAATGTAGATATAAGAGCCTCCCTAGACACCCATACGGTTGATAGACTAACTAGGTCAATATACAACGTACAGCTCATATATCGTATCTTCCAGCACAACTAGGGGTAAATAACGAATGTAGCAAGCTGTTATCTTTTTCTATCTCCTAGAAAGTTACCTAACGTATAGAGAAAGGACATTTGTGCGGGTTATTATAATCAACTTTGCTCTTGTGGATATTTCTCCATTATCTTCGTCCTTATACATATAAGGAATTATCTACAGGCTTAGATATATACTCATCCTCCCTGGTAAAGCTCAGGTGCATTATGTTTTGCTCAAGGTCAATAGAAGTAGAAAGCCCCGAGGGTAGTCTTGTTACACCCCATCTAAGCTTCCCCCTTGAAAGCTCACGCAGCGGTTCATACTTGGTAACTTTGCTCGTCTCTTCACCTATTGAGTAATGTCAGTAAAGCTAGCACACTAATAGTACGGAGTCTTACCCTCGCTGTCTGGACTTTCGCGCGTATTAAGACCATCTTGAAGGGATGCTGAGGATGGGATATGGGGGTGGCAAGCTGCTGAAAGGACGAGCGAGTCACATGCCCCAAATACCATATCACCGGGAAGCCTGCGGATGCCGTATATAATTGGGAAAATCGCCAGAGCTAGGCCCGCGAGTAAAGCTATCAGGATCCCAAGGGGCCAGAAGCCTAACAGAATAATAGTTCCTTCAGTAATACCCCATTTATTACCAGGGCTCCAGGAGTCCTTATTATAATTGTCCACTAGGTACCCTAATTTTAGATTAGTACGTTAGACTGAGCACGATGATAATCTACCAAAGATATTACCTCCTTGACTCGCAAAGATGTAGAGCGAATTAGAGGCAAGCCAATGCAATAGAAAACTTGCAACGAGAAGAGGCAAGCTATAAAGATATGGTAACTGCAGCCAGTAAGTTGAGACTTGGTCGCCTGTGGGATATGATACCCGGAGCGGTTTAGGTGGCGCTAGACTGTATGAATTAAACTCTTTCTCGGCTATTAAACGAGTAAATAAGAAAGTATATGAATAAAAGGAGTAGGATAGTATAAATTGCGGTGCGCTAGCGATGAGTAGCATATTTAAGTATCCACGCTCTTTCAAAAGTCCGTTTATGAAAAAAGGTGACTCGGATACCCCTATAGTTCCCTGGCTGATTTTAGGTCAGAATGATTAATACTCTCTTCTTTGCGACTAGTACAACTAAACAATAAAAGATGGTACTTTACTTACAGACTCACTCTATCAAATACAACTATAAGCTTTGCATAGTATGCTCCAATACATATAAAGCAGACTATTGGTATCAGGGTACCAGACCAAGCCCATTTAGGGACGATGGATATGAGTCTATTCGTACCGCGGTTCCAAAGACGAGGCCGGGCTGTATCGCTGAGATTGGTCGCACTCTCGGTTTCAGCATCCGCGAACTGCCCGAATTGAATTCGATGGCTATCATAGATATTAAAAGTGCCTAGCCCCATAGTAACCGGATCCGGGTCCGAGATGAACGATTCCAGCGCGTCCCCTAGAGTAACTAATGATGTGTGTGGGAGATAAACAACCACCAACGTACATATGAATGCTTTCAAGAAAACGCAGCCTGTCGTGACAAGCAACAGTATATTTGACAATCCCACCTGGCATGAAGATATTGGGGATGGCTCGGCGAGGCAATACCGTACGGGAAAACTATTAAAGCTATCGTTGTACCCGTATCTCTTTTCGTTAGGGGTACTACAGGGCGATGGTCTGTGTAAATCGATTATCCAATCTGATTCTGATAAAGCTGTCTCATTTGTCGGTATTGAAATCGATTTAAATCCCAGAACACGCCCACAAGTGCTTATACACCTTGCAGTTCTCCAGTCGTCGGGAAAGCCGATGGCTGTGGGTAAGTTAGTGGTACACTGTGTAGAATACCACAAGGAATTGAGATCGTTGCGCGGTATATGCGGGTTCCAGATTGGCCCTAGAATGTTAGATGGATCGCTGAAAACCTGCGACCGCGTCCATCCCTCTGGGTTATCAGCCTTGGTGTCAACAACAATGACGACGTCCCGGTATTCGTTTTTCGGTCTGCAAGATGCGTAATGCTTTTTACAATGATGTGATGTGATGTTGTGCCAAAATATCGACTCTCTCGCCGTTTTTGTAATATTATCATATGCGGGGGACTGCTTATCCCAATAGTCTTCTAAGGCTACATGTTCGCCGTAACCCTCCACGTATTGACACGTATGGTCTGGAAGGGAACTATTCCAGGTAATGCTTTCAGCGCCAGCGTTTGTCAAACTAGCTCCGGGTGGAAAGAAAGCAACTTGCTGAGTGCTAAAAGAGCCCGATGCCACGGTTAGGCGCCAGTCTGAATTTTGGAAACGAGTCTCGAAAACTGAGCTGCTGAAAAGTAGATGGATAGGGGTTGAACTAATAAGAAGGATAGCCCAGCCAATAGCTTTATATCTAGAAATGAAAGGAATATTCTTCATAGACGAGATCCCTATCTCTAATGATCGAAGTTGTAGATGGGCGCGGTTAATCTCCAAACGTGATGGGGAGCTTAACACCTGCATAAAGAACCGCGATGATGCGAGAATGAGGGTGGATGTTATGCTTATAAGGAAGTGAAGTACTGAATTAGCTCTATGCGCTTTTTGACAGTTGCCTTGAAGGATAATGGTGGTTGAATTAAGTGTAGACCCTCGCTGTGTCATCATTACAACCAGATAGACAAGAAGTAGGGTCCCGCAACAACATGTACAGATAAGGTTCATAAGTCCAGTGCGTCTCCATCCTTCCTTTGGGATTGATATAGGTGGAAATTTCATTATATTACTCATTTATTAGTTAGGTAGCCTAGGTAAAAAGATAGGAGGATCAAGGCGTAAGGCGATTAGGTGTTGGGTTGACTAGGGAGCTTCTTTGATATACCTATACCTTATACGAACATCCTCGTGTAGATAGAAACGGAAGATAAGAAATAGGAATACATAGTACGCCTCCTATGTCATCGCAGAAAACTAGAATAGCTAGACGGTGCTGTTGTACGAGTACTCAGATAAAAATAGAATGTCTTACCCCGAGGGCTTTTATATATGTGGCGTCCACTAGTTCACCGGGAGGAATCGTCCCCTGTTTTAAGACAGAGGTGTTTTAGATAGGCAACCGACCGATCTACGTTTCGGTACCGATACTTGCTTGTAATTCGGTAGGTAGCCAATTATCCCGTTGGTGGCAAGCCTATTCCCGAAGTGTTACTATGTGCGACTCCAGGTCCTGGCATATATCTATCAAGGAACCGTAGGATATGTAATGCCGAAGCCATTCCTTTAGCACTTGAGATCACAGACCCCAAATACTTTCGGATCCGAATCCTAATATATCAGAAATGGTTAATATCCAATGTCAATACAGCATTAGTGATAGGTCCTTAAGACTCGCTCGCCTATTACTTTTGCTATTGGTCTTCTTTCTATCTTCCAAGTTGTATTATCCAGATCTCGACTATAGCCTCGCATCTGTACGTCTGATATAAACTTACCTACGTATAGGGCTAAAGATTAACCAATGTTAGGCCGGCGGTGAGCTATTCTGGGCACTGATGCAAGTAATCGATATAGATTGCGGAACTTCACCTGAGATCAGTTTGATCACACACACATGCCTTGATATATCTGTAGCTTCTCTCTCCTCGGGCATGATGCTACAGTTAAGTTTGTGTATCACTCGTCGTGGGCTAGACTCTAACTATTACTGGTGGACTATGATTTCATGGGGTGGTCTTGCGTAAGTTGTACGTTTTTTTCTATATTAATGGCCCCAATAGTACCTAACTATATAAATAGGATTATAAACGTATTTTTATCATACCATACTCTTAGAAGGGTTTCAAAGAGAAGATGGGACCGCAAGTTGAAAGCCAAAATCATGTTCAAAGCTTCGGGGGACCCTGTTGCCGTGGCGTTTAGCCCAAATAATTCTATTAACCTCACTGACCTACGTTAGGGACCCAGTGATGTTTTAAGACATTAACGGCGGACAGAGTATCGAAATTAAAATCAATAAATGAAATTACCTACTGTCTTTCGGCTCCCGGTTCACGATAGATGCGTTACGCACCATTGGCAAGACGGATACATGCATTTTCTCCACTTTCGCAATCGACCTTGTCTAATGTCGTCAACCAAAAGGGCGCGTAGTGGATATAACATGTATAATACAGCCAAATATTCCGCCGACAGGCCGACTATTTTACGGAACGGCCCGTCGCTCACCAAGACTCATTAGGTATATTGCATTTTTCTCAACCTCCCCTTTTTCGCAACTTGAACTCTCACAGACTACCACGACTGGCTGTTAAGAGCGGGATTCACTATGGACGAAACTCAGCCTTTACTGCAGGATGCGCATCTGGTGTTTAACGAGAGGCCAGATCAAGCATCGATCAAGGATATCGTGGACTTTAATCCCGATGGAGATGAGGAAAATCCCCTTGAATGGCCACAGGCATACAAATGGGCGATTGTGGCTCTTTTGGCTTTGATGGCCTTCACAGTGTGCGTATAACTAGGTAATTTGCCTACTAAACCTCTCAGAAAACTGACTGTCGCGGCAGAACATTTACATGTATATCCGTCGTGCCTGTCGCGACGCGTATAGTGGATGATCTTGACCATGGCCACTCTAGCAAATCTGCTAGCGTGTTGCTGGTAACGATTTGGGAGCTTGGTGAAGCTGCTGGGCCCTTGCTTATCGCACCGTTATCAGAAGTCTTCGGCCGGTACCCTGTCATGAACGTTGCCAACGTCCTGTTCATTACAGCGACGGTTCTGGCAGCGTTATCTCAGAGCACGACGCTGTTCATTGCTGCGAGGACTCTGACGGGTCTCGCCGTAGCATCGAATGTGCTAAATCCCGCTATCGTTGGCGATATCTTTATTTCAGAGCAAAGAGGCTCGGCCATGAGCTTGATCCAGCTTGCACCGCTAATCGGCGGAGCGGTCGGGCCTGCTATCAGCGGGGCTATCGCTGAAACCATGGGTTGGCGGAGCACAATGTGGATGTGCGTGATACTGGCTGCTACGTGCGAAGTAGTGTTTCTTACGTGTTTCCGTGAAACATATAAAGTTGCCATTTTAAGACGAAAGGCAGCGAGACTCCGGCTTGAAACTGGTAACGCAGCGTTACGAACTGTGTTTGACGCGGACGATGGCTCAAGATCCGATAAATTGTGGGGTGCAATCATCCGCCCCTTTACGGTGCTGGCGGGCTCGGGCGTCTTGCAGATGCTATCGTTGTTTGGCTCTATTACATTCACGTACTTTTACATCTTGGTCACTACTCTTCCGGATATCCTTGGGACCATATACGGTTTGTCGCCTGCGGGTGCTGGATCCGCACTCATCAGCTTCAGTAAGTTTTATCCCTATGTAGAAGTATCTCTCTTGTCAAAAGTACGCTATGCTAACATACGTGTAGGTATTGGGTCAGCTTTAAGCGTGGTACTATGCAATCAAACTCTAGACAGGATCTACATCAAACTCCGTGACTCTCATAAGGGGGTTGGTCAACCGGAATACCGTTTGCCCTTAGTCATTGTCGGAGGGTTTACCCTACCTTTAGTTGCCGCGTGGTATGGATGGAGTGCGCAATTGCACGCTCCACTTATACTGCTACTCTTCTCAGTTGCAATCATGGGCGTTACTCTCATGCTGGGATTCCTTCCGCTCTATGCGTATGTTGTAGACGCTTTTGGGTTGTACGCCGCCTCTGCTATGACTGCGGTGATTGTCACAAGGTGCTTAGCAGGCACATTTCTTCCATTAGCTGCTGCGCCTCTCGTTGATAGGTTTGGGTATGGGATTGGCTTGTCAATTCTAGGAGCAGGAAGTTTCCTTCTCGCGCCGATCCCAGTATTGGTTCTGAGGTATGGATCTAAATGGCGACAGGGCTCTAAGTATACTAGAGACGAATGAGCTATCCTGTCTTGGTATATACGAGGAGGCTACCCCAACTTCAATATTGGTATTGGCAATTCATCTAGTGTGCTAGACTAGACTAGATTTTCAAAAAGCTATGTCAAACTGTTGCAACATAGCCTACTTTGAGTCACGCCTTTGAGTCATCGAAGTGACTATAGAGACTTTGGCTCCTATGTGTCAATCACCAATAAGTAACTTTATTGGGACGAAAGTAATATCTAATGAATATCTAATGAAGCTATGAGATGATTTTATAAAGATGAAGGCCCTGGGTTAAATGCCATATCATAATTGTCCAGTCGCAACTGATAAATCATAAATCATCTGTATAATGATGGTCCGTGCGTTCATGACATCGTTCATCTCAACATGTAGGAAGTAAACAATGTGTGCTGTTTGCGACTCACATACAACTCATTTGTCTATTTCGCAAATCTCTAAAAACCAGGTAGTCGTTATTCACTTACCTCATTGCTATTACTATTTAAACCATACTCACAACCGTTCCTTCTACAGCGACTTCTACCACAACCATTCCAACCATGAATCTAAGGTTGAGGTATTCCAACTTAGCCACCCCCTCCTGATATCAATTTGCTCCTTCTCCTCATAAAACTCCTATTCTCGAGTTATACTCGCATCAATACGACTGGACATTTACTTCCCCAATACCAAGTTCTTCACGACTATCAAGATACCTATCATCATGGGCGGCTCTGCATTTTCATCTGGAAGCAATCCACTTTCCACTCCACGGATGCCTCCTGGAGTATATCGACATGTTCTCAGTACATGCCATGCCAAGCTCCGAGAGCTCTTCTTCGTAGTCGCCTCTCCTATTGAAGGCCCTGCAAAAGAGGACCACGGGGATATCGATCTATTAGTAGCATTAGAAAAGCATGCTACGTTTCCGTCTTCTAGAGCTTGCGGCACCTCACTCTCGCCGCCGACTTACGATCCCTTAGATGCTGCGGCATCCCTTCTCGGCGCCGAACGTTCTATCAGAGAGCAGCCAAAAGCTATTACCTTGGCTATCCCGTGGCCGAATGATTTAGCCCAGGAGGGAACGAGTTGCGATGGGCCTCGCTACATCCAAATCGATCTCCATCTATGCAACTCCGTCGAGCACCTGCAATGGATGTTATTCAAGTGGGCCCACAGCGATTTTTGGAATATCCTCGGAAGCACCATCCGCCCGTACGGCCTCACAGGTGACGAGATCGGCTTACACATACGCATTCCCGAAATCGAAAGTCTGAATAAAAAACAATCTAAAGTTTTCCTCACTAGCGAGCCTATTGAAATCCTCAGTTTTTTGGGCCTTAAGTATGATAGTGCCCAATGGGAGCGGCCGTTCGCATCGAAGGAGGAGTTTATGGAGTATGTGGCTACATGCCGACTGTTCTGGGTGCGGCCCGAGCAAGATGATAGCGCGACGAAGGCCGACGGGGGTGACCACGACAAGAACAAGTTGAAGTCTAACGAGCGCCGCCGTATGCCGGGGCGCGCGGCTTATCGGGGGTGGTATGACGAGTTCATTCCCGCATGTCGCAAAGCAGGACGATTTACCACGCCCATTGCAACCCGGGACACGGTACGTGAAGATGCTTTCGAGCAGTTCCCTGGTACGCGAGAAGTCTATAGAAACCGACTCCTGGAATGGCGCAAAGAGCAGCAGCGACAGACGCTTTGGCGGGGAGTTATCAAGGCCTCCATACCGGAGTGGCAAGAAGGTGAAGAGGAGAATAACAAGAGACACTTGCGTAGCCTGGCAGCTAGCTCTCTAAAGAAAATCATCATGCAAGATGACTATAGTCTAGGCATACGCCCGCCATCGCCGCTCCGCGACCATGATGGGTTTTACAACGAGGATCTTGTTAGGAAATTCGTCGTAGATAACTGGAGACGAGTTGGTGAAGCTGCTTGGGAGGAAAGCCAGAGAAAGAACACCGAGCGACTTGCAGAACAGGGAGCTAAGGGTACGTCTTAAGAGGTCTGGGAAAGCCTGGATAAAGTAACGTGGCGAGGAAGAAGAAGGGTGTTGGAGAGTGTAACATATTAGAAACTAGCTTATGGTCGGACAAAGTACGTCTAGTTACTCTAGGCCGACACAAACATCTCACAAGGGTGTGAGAGGTAACTTAGCTTAGGTATCTAGGTACAGAAAGATGTAGGTATCTATACGAGTGCGTAAATATTCAGAGGATCGGGGACGTGCCGTATTGTATACGTCTTAGCCTATTACATTACAAGACCTATCTCTAACCGTACATATCAGGAAAGCCTTAGAAATTATTCTCGGCACGGAACAGCCCAACCAGGTAGGTACAGCATAGAGTATTGATTAATTATTCCGTAGTCTACCTACTTATCATGTTTAAATGTATGTAAACCGACAACCCACCCCCCCCCGAAAACATAGCAGCTTACCCGACTTAATTAGAGCATGCGTAGGTACCTATCCTATAACTTAAAATCCGGGTTTGTCTTCTCCCATCCTAGCGGTGTAGGCTGCTTGGAAGCAACCCGCTCCGCGAGTCTGAGCTTGAGGTTCTTATGTCTGTCGGTACAGAGCTCGTACATCGTAGTCAGATTGAATAGCAATGTGTGAGATGTCGAACCCGCATCCACCAGCCCTTCCAAGGTATCCCTTGCCTAAGTAATTATTAGCACCGAAACACCTCTGCATCGATTAGGAACTTACCTCTGTCATATTTCCCGTGTAAAGCTGGCACACAGCAAGATTAACCCCGACCATCTCGTCGTGCACGTCGTTCTCCTCCATTGTATCCTTCAATACTCGCCACTTCTCTAGCGCAGCCTTATACTCACCGTCCGCCATATCAGCCAGCGCATCTACAACACGCTCTCCCATCTCCCCACCCTTGCCGTCTCTTACACATCGCCGCGCTGCTTCAACATCACCCAAGTGCAGCCACAATAAAGCCTGGCTCATAGCCAGCCGCCCATCGGCACCAGCCTTAAAGTGTTGGTTTCCATCTCCCAGCGTAGCAAGATGCTCCGCCGCGCCGGCCAAATCATCCATCTCGATCAACGCGCCCGCGACCTTGACCCCAAGTTCTGCGAGCCGATGCTTCCAAAGCTCGGAAGCGGAATGATCATGCGCCTTTCCCGCCTTAGCAATTTGCATACGCGCCTCCCTCGCTAATTCATAGTAACTCATGACAGCACGCCGGGGATCGCCAAAACCAATGGCCTGGAGGCGCACGCCGAGGATGCGCAGCTCCCAGGGCACCAGGTGAGCGCCCGACAGGGGATCCAGGTAGAAGGCCGAGTTAAGGTCCTCGAGGGCCTTGGATTCCTGAGCGGCAAACGACGTGGCGTCGATGAGGCATAGACACGCTAGCCGCGTGTACAGCAGCTCGAAGATGCGCGCGTGGTCGGTGGGATTGACGGGCGGATGCGCGGCTGCGGCGACGGCGGAGACGGGGCTGCTCGTCAGGGCTTGAACGGCAGCGATGGCGGCCGCGCGGAAGTGCCCGTTGTTAAGGAGTTCTGGGATGGGTGTTTCCGGCGCGGGCTGTCTAGACGGATGGCGGAAGGGGGCTGGGATGGACAAGGGTGAGAGCTGGTGGTAGATCTCGGGTCTTAGAAGGAACGAGAAGTCCTTGGATGTCACGGGCGCGATAGACGGGGCCGGAGATCTAGAGGCCGGAGAAAACCCCCGGGAGAGACTTCGCGGGCTAGCCTGTTGGCTGTTACTGAAACGGCTGGCCTGGGACGGGATAGGAGACGCTACGGGAGCTCTAGGGTCTCGGTGTAAGCAGATATCATGTAACTGTTAATGATCACCGATGCTTACTCATCCGTATCGAGGGGCCCCTTGGTTGACGATCTGGGGCGAGAAGCTATGGATTGAAAGATGTTAGCAAAGGACATCTTAGCTTTATATAGCTATTGCTATTGAAGAGATAGACAACCATGATGATGATAGAAGGGAGCATCAATGTAGTAGCGTGGGGTTAAGGTATTCCTATAGGATGGTAGGATGGACGGCACTTGCAGTCACTCAATGTTGCTACCTCCCCCCTTTACGAGAGGAATCGTAGGTGCGATAATAGCCTATCATTCTTGGCGATCTCCAAGCGCATTATTTCTAGGAATTATACAATTTTGATTCGGAATTAGAGAGACATATATAGGCGAAGGTTTACTTACGCCTCGCTCCTGATTTATTCCTCGTATGCCCTGTTGAGGAATTTCGTTGCATTGATTGATCCATGTTTGGTATCTTGGGGCGAAGGAACCCAAGTCCTACGTCACAATAAGAGGCCGCTATGAAACGACATATGTTTAGGTACTTGCTTACGGAATACATATTCGGATGAACCTCGGTAGATCTGATTTAGAGCTGGATCCTTGAATATCACTATAATGTATGTAATATCTCTTATAGTAATATAAGATATTCAATTAGAGGGTTAAGACATCTCAGGGGAACGTCAACCTTGTATGGCGCCTAGGTTAGTACTTGTGTAAAGCATCATAATGCTTTGTCCGATTAATACTAGGAAGATACGAGGATACGATTCCGAAATGTTATCATGTTAGGTCTTTGGGAACAGATAGGAATGATTACATGATACCAGATTAACAGAATAGGGGCTTGCCTGGAGTCCTCGAGAAATAACCAAAAATTAACTACGAGACAAAGTTGCTACCAGGATAACACCAAAAGGGTCCTGAACTCTCTTGCCATGATTTACTCTCAGCGTAGGCAAGCTTGTAACCCGAGAAAGATAATGTTACCATATCTAAGGGGTATTAAGCTTCATATAACTAGATCTAAGTAAACTCCAGTATTTCCAACAAGCATCTCAACACTATGCGACTTATGAGGTTATCTGGTGAGGGTCTTATGGTGTTATAGTTAAACTTTATTAATGAGTTGAAATACAATCCGAAGACGGGAGCCCAATGATCATCTGTTAACCAAGAGCAAGCATGGGTAGCGTGACAAAGAGCATATTGATTTAACTATCCGCTATTACTGACTTAAGACATATTCGAAGCCTTTACACTGTCCTCAACGGCCCTTATTCAGTGTATTATAACCTACTATGAACATACAAACACAAGCGCTTAAAGCTGATCGCTATCTCTTGTAGGGTCTTTCAATATGGAAGTCTTCCAAGCCATATGCCATTGCACACATCTAAGGTTCTTTTATACTTTGCTCCTGTGACATCTTCTCCTGACCCTTAGGTGACTGGCGTGGACCGGGTGGGGGAGTTTTCTTTGGGCTTTGGGAGGAGGAGCCTTTGGAAGGACGAACTGCCCTTGTGCGTAGATCTGGTCGAGGAGGCGTCGCAGGTGGATTTTTCAGAGCCAGGAAATGTCTGATTAACATTTCTATAGCTTCGTTCTCAGAGGCGTTGCAGCGATAAATAGCGCCTCCACCGACATCTGTCATCTCAAGCCTAGGCTGGCTATCCTTCTTGGGTGGGATTGGAGGCGCTTCTTTGTATCCCGACGCTTTTGTATATTGAGCTCCATTGAGCAAGTAGTCTTTCAGTTGCTCTACAGTTTCGGGCTTAATCGCATCTTCTGGTAACAGGTGTGCTTGAATATTTTGCGGAAGAATACAACCCCTTAATTTAGGAACGTGCTTAGCTAGCACCTTGAATACTTCTATTATAATGATCAAGTAGTGTCCTGCATTAGCGCCGCCGGTCTTGGTGATTCTCTTCGGAATTTCTTTCAGTTCTTCAAGGAGCTTCTAGTCCCTTTCATGGGATATTATTTGTAAGAGTGTCCTGTTGAAGCATTCGGCTTCTTCTTGGGATACCATTCTGAGAGAGTATTAAAAGGAGGAGGCTAAGGTGTACGTAATTCCTGTTATCAATAGTAACCTAAGTCCCTTATGAACAATGGCTGCTCGGTAAAAATCCTTCAGGCGGAGATCTTATGCAGTGATAGCTAAAGTACTGAGATAACAACGAAATAAAGTAATTGGCATAGAGGCGTTGATTTGATGCACATATCTGCGGCTTCGAAATGAGTTTTCGGTTTGGTTAACCACTGGCACCTGCTAAGACATAGTACCTTACATGGACGCAGTATCCCTTTTATTTGCCTGGAAACAGACAAAAAAAAGGAAGGTGCCAAAATACTAGAAATTTTGGCAGACATCAACATCAGGAAAGGCACCAATAGTGAAGTGTCCCTTAGGACGGCAGGTAACAATAATACGGCAAGTGCGACAAGTGTACGATACTTTTAGTTGCTTCGTAGCTTCCCTACACTAGACTTACCGCTCCTGCCGTGCCGGAAGGCACACAACTGTCACCGAAATATCTAACTTAGGTAGGCAGGTACGCAGCTTCCTTTATGTAGCAACTGCCAGACATAACTTCGGCTCCTGGCTCACCGCCAACTTAGCGTCAGGCAAAAAGTTTTCCAAAAATATCTATATAAACACGGCCTCTTTTCCGAGAATCCTTTTTCTTTCCTCTTTCCTCTTTCCACCATCCTTAACTGTTAACATAATTCATATTCAACCCTCTCTTATCCTAAACTTAGAATACTTATTTTAACATAATACGACCCAATGAATGCCTAAAACATAACAGCAAAATGGCAAGAAACATTTAAGGAGGACGACCAATACATCACCAACCCCCCAAGACTATTACCAAGCCCTAATTATTTCCCCTAACACCAATAATTCCAGTAGCGACAGCACATGGGAAGGTATAGAAGATCCCGACGATGATGACGATCTTGGTGGTGACGGTGGTCTTAATGGCCATGCCTACGCCGAACCCGGACTTTGGTTTGATGCTACAAAGGTGTTGACAATCCTGTCCGATTGCCAACTCTATGTACAACCCAGCAGCAGAAGTTAAACAAGGTATTTATTCTTTCCACACCTTTGAAATTAACATTTATCAATACTAAGAGACATAAGGGCTATAGAGGCAACCCTCCCTTCTAAGCATAACAATATAACCTAATCTAATAAGGTACGTTCTTCAACACCGTCAATTGGCATTCAACCCCCTACATCCTAACATTAGGTAAATTGCCCTCTTCGGTATTTTTTGCTAATCTTAGATTTACAGAGAGCCGACAGTACACGCCGAGTCAAGGGGGGCTATTCGACGCCCAGTAAAGGGGTATAAGGATCGCCTCCCCTGACTCCGGTGATTCCGGTAGCGACAGCGCGTGGGAAGATGTGGAAGATGATGGTGGTCTTAATGGCCACGCCTACGCCGTATCAGCGGCAGCGGTTGCTTCCGTCGCCGCCCCGGCACCTATGGCCCCCATGGGCCCAGCTGTTGCCGCTGCTGGCCATGTGGCGGTCGTTGGTCCTGCTCTGGTAGCACTAATGGTGCTGCTGGTACCGGCTGGCATAGCCATGCCCCCGGCCGCTGCCGCTGCCGCTGCCGCTCCCGCACCCGCCGCCCTCGCATAGCCAACGGATATCTTAACCCGACTACAGATTATCTAACGCCTCGGCTCGGAAATAATAAACTAATATAAATTATTACTTCCATAAAAAATATTAACACCATAAACGCCGTCAGCTTTATCATAAAATTGATGGTGACGGTGATCCTAATGGCCACGCCTACACCCTATCAGCGGCAGCGGTTGCTTCCACCGTCGCTGCCGCTGCTGCTCCCGCACAGCCAGCGGGTATTTTGGCCCAACTACAGGCTATCCCACGCCCCGACTCGGAAATAACAAACCAACATAAATTATTACCTCTACACAAAACATCAACGATAATAACGCTCTTAATAGTAACGGTAATCTTAATGGCGACGCCTACGCCTACGCCGTATCAGCGGCAGCAGTTGCTTCCGCCAACGCCCCGGCTCGGAAATAACAGACCAACATAAATCATCACTTCCACAGAAAACATCAGCACCACAGAAAACATCAACACCACAGACGCCATCAGCTTTATCACAAAAAGGATCACAACTACAAAAACCATCACTCCACCGAGTAAGATTCTAATCTACATCCAAGTCACCTCCCGAACACTCGCCGAAGTTGACTCTAAACCAACAAGTATCCATCCTAAATAGCGCTCAAAACATGTTGGTAAACTACTCATCAGAAGACGAAAACGAAGAACAGGAGACCGAGCAACGAAGCAGGAAGAGAAGACGAGGACGTCTTGAAAAAAACAATTTTGGGGAAGGGGTGTTGGCAAACTAAATTTGTAAGATGTGTAAGAGTGTAAGATTAAATTTAGACTAGTAGCACTACAAGATGTCTCTAGCAGACCGAAACACAGACCTACTTCTTGCTTATGAGTCACCTCACACACTATAATTGCGTTACGGATTACTGATAATGAAGTATGAGCTACTTTAGATAAACGATTCGCCCACTAGACATTAACAATTTAATCATAACAATAGACTTACATCTGGGTATAAATTAAATAGTACTGGCACATATATATGAAAAGGGACTTAAACAAATTCATAATTGTCACAAGGATAGGGCTATGTTTGTGAGACAGCATTGCTTAGGCATGAATATATCCAAGTGTATCATAAGCCCCCTTTTTACAAATAAGAATCCACGTGACATGCTGGATATATCCACATCTCCTGTATACATATAAATACGTAAATTTGCGTGCTCTGCAGGTACCTAGGTTAAAGTTCACCTAACCATCTGTACAGGGGCCCCCACTTAGCGCCATCCAGTAGCTTGGAAAATCGTTGATCCACATTATTCTTTTTTCTTGCAATTGATCAATTGAAGCAACCCACCAAGAGCTATTCTTGACCCGATTATCCCCGGAGACATTGGGAAGCTTTGGCGTAGAAATACGAGGAGCACGTATTTGGCGAGGAATAAGAAGGCTATAGCGTTGGAGGAGAACCGAAGTCCTAGGAACGAAAACAGCCGTGAGGAGTAGAATCAAAACTGGTCGAGGGCAAACGAGATATCGAGGATTAGGCTGAAGGTTGCGCTCGAGCTATCAGCTAGTTATTCGCGGCTTTGGGTTGCGGCAGAAACGGGCAACCGACGAAGCGAGAAGTAGCGACGACAAGCCGTTATTACAGACCACAGGTTTGGACGAGGGGACGACATAACGACGATTATAAGTATACCTGATACGCAGGCTTAAGCACGATGTTTACACCTACCTTCCGCGGCCTCTTCACGAGGCTCCCATCGACTACCCCTCTCTCTAGTCTCTTCCATGGCCCGTCCTCCAGTCGGACTGCTGCCGCGACGGCTGTAGCAGCATGTTCATCGCCTTTCTTCTCCACACCCGTTTCTCGGCAGATACATACAACAACTCCTCAGAATGCGAGAGTCGGTGGTGGAAAAGGTGCCAGTGCAAAAGGTGCTAGTGCGAAAGGTTCTGGTGGTAAAGGCTCTGGTAGGAAGAAGCGCAAAGGAGGGAAGGGTGAGGGTCCTGACCCCAGAATCATGAACCTGAAAGCTTCAATGCCCCGTGCTGTTCCCGCCCCTCTGAGATTTGCGCGAAATCGTGCGCTGCGTCACTGGACTATTCATCGCGCTTGGTTATTGTACCAGCGCAAGGAGCGGGACAGGGAGGCGCATGAGCTGGAGCGGTACGTCTGACCTCGCATACCTTTTCCTTAATACTGTGTTGTGGCGATACGTTTACTAATCGGATACGTAGGATGTATCAATCGATGCATAATGCCTGCGAGGAATTGCGCAAGACAAGTGGACCTGGCACGCGGGACGAGGGATACTTGTATCGTGTGGCTATGGAAAAGAAAGGTGTATACGGACACAACAGCATCCCGATCGAGTATGCGAGACCACAGACGGAAACACCGGCTCGCGAGCCTTGGAACCACGGCTGGACCCGGTGAGGAGTCCTCATCCGGCCCGCATCCGAATTCCCGGTCTAGAATACGTGTAACATAGAATCGTCTCCGACAGTACGTGGACTAGGAACCGTCATATCCAATGAACTATTAGCTGCATATCTGCTGCGTAAGCTTCGGGCACGTCTGCGTGCGCTGTTTTTGTCCCTCTCATCCGATCGCCACTTTTACCTTGGCGTGTAGAGACGTGGGAAGATGCAATTAATTGGATCGTTCGATCATGTACTTTGATGCAGATGCAGATGCAGCGCTTACAGTAACCGCAGTCATGGACATGCCTAGTTGGGGAGGTAGGTAGATGTGTATATGTAATATTTTTTTTTAAATGAATGTTTGCTTGATCCTCTTGGCCCGACCCTCGGTAAGAAGGCATGGAAAAGGAGTGAGGAAAAGCAAGTAAATATCAAATCTACTTTGAAACTGTTGGGGACGCTTCGCCGAAATCCTATGCTTCACTTTACGTTAGAGGCGAACTATTATCCATGTGAAATTAATGCTCTGATTCAATGCTTCTCCTTATTAACAATAGCTATTTTCTCTTCTCGCGATAGAGAACGTTGGGGATTTCCAGGATCGGCTTCACTAATCAGTTCATTCATTTTCAGTCTGTTTCCAACCTAGATACAGGCGTAGTCTGTCATCGTGGGTTCGTCTGCGGGTGAGCGAGGGTGGTGAAGATTTCGCAGCGGAAGTAGTAGATCTCCTTAGACATTTCGATAAACACCTAGATGGGGGTGGGTTTAGATAGATTGGTCGTGGTGATGAGTACGTAGTCTGGAGGCCCTGACGAGAGCTCGTCTCGTTCGAGGTAGATTGCTGGCTGTTGTGAATCCCAATCCCCAATTGCTTCCTCCGGCACGCATAATCCGAGCGCCTCTATCTCCGACTCATCAGCTCTTCTTTCTCCTTCTCGGCCTCCTCTTGTAATATTCCAACAAAAGCAAAACGAAAGGAAAAATAGTACGTCGGAATATTCAATTCCGCCTAAGCCAAACTCCACTAAAGTGAACACCCATTTTTGGTTTAAATCTGTTCCCCGGGGACGTTTCCTACTCGTGTTTCGTGCGTCGATTCCCGTGGCCCGTTCTACAAGTCGCGTCGAGTTCGTACCGTGCCATGCCGTGCCATGCCGTGCCGTGCCGTGCCGTACCGCGCTGCGCCATCTTATAATATAACGCAGCATCCGCCGCCTTCGCCTTTTTCGAAGGTGAGGAGAGCGGCGCGGGTGGCGGCCTCAAACACGTCGTCGACGCCCTCCCCGCTCAGACTCGAGCACTCGAGGTACTTGCGCGCGCCGATTTCCTGCGCGGCTTGCTCGCCCTGTCGCTCCGTCACGAATTTTAGGCTCTTCTTGCGCATCTCCTCGATCGCTACTGGGTCGTCTCGTAGATCCTTCTTTAGTCCTACTAAGATGATAGGGACGCCGGGGCATCGTTCTGTCGCTTCTTCTACCCACTATTTCGCTGTTAGCCAGGATTGTTTCTGTTGTCTCTTGTTGCTCGTAGTGTGGAACGGGAGTTGAGTAGAAGCGGGGGGTTGTCCGACCTTGTGCTTCACGTTGTCAAGAGAATCAGGCGACTCGATCGAGAACCCTATTAGTAGCACATGCGCCTTCGAGTATGCGAGGGGTCGCAGTCGCTCGTAGTCTTCCTGACCCGCCGTATCCCATAATGCTAATTGTACCGACTTGCCGTCGACTCTGCAATCTGTTACGTAGTTCTCAAATACGGTCGGAATCTAAGGGGGCGCAAGAATCGTTAGTCCGTTCGGCCAGGTAGGCTTATGGTAGGGTTCGTGGTGATGTCTGCTTACGTAGTGCTATATGTGATCTGTTAGCAAATGTTCGTTCGGAAGCGCGGAAATCAGACGAGGAAATCAGGGGAAGGGAAAACCTACGGTTGGGAAGTATCCGAGCGTGAAGACGCTCAGTAAAGAGGTCTTGCCGCAAGCTCCATCGCCAATAATGACTAGTTTCCTAGCGATCTTATTAGTATTGTGTTAATTCTTGTAGTAAAACGTGATAGTAGCGTAGTCGAATGCGAAGGGCTATAGATAAAAAGAAGTCGTAGTTCGGCAGGCCTGGCTAGAACGATGAAAGGCTCGAAAAAGGGGTGACGTCGTGGGGATGCGCGTGATGGTTGTCTTTCGAAGATAACCGAAAAGGGATCGACAGCCAAGATGAAGTGAAGCATACCTGCGAATAACATTCTGCGGAGTTGAACTCGCCATTGCTTGACGCGAAGTGAAGTGCACCAATCCCAAGGGGGCCTAATGGTTCGTCTCGTCTGTCTTCGTCGTCGGAATAAACTTAAACTTCTAGATTCGTTTGTGCTTTTTTTGGACGGACGCGTGGACTTGGAAAGTCTATTTCTTGTTTATCCCCGGCTTGGGGGGTCGTCACCTCGTGGCGGGTTGGAATTGGAATATGTAAGCGCAGATATAAGGCCTACGGTGACAAAGTGTTGACGTGAGTTTGTTCAAGTTAGTTATTACTTTTGAATAGGGATAACCAACGGGTCTCCGGGTCGGGCACTAATAACGAATCAATCGTTGATGATACTGGATGTGATGTTTCCAGATTTCCCAATGGAGATATTATCTCGTTTCTTCGATTTCTACTCTTTTACTGCCCTTCTGTGTTATCATAAAGATTTAAGTATGTTTGGGTTAGAAAAAATTGATCGAATACGAGAGGCCTGCACACCAGAGCCGGGTTTCGCGGTCGAATTTAAAGCCTTCCGTTAAAGGATTCCCTGGAGTTCCTTAGTCCCTGTCGGTGCTAATCCCTCCCCTGTAACTTGGAAATTCAGCTTCAAAAATAGAGTGATGCAATTGGTCAGGTTCGATACCAGGCCTTAACTTGTCGCGAATATGTCCAGCTGTGTTAGACTAATATGGCAGCTCTAAGAGCCTTACTGTTAGCGTGGGCAAGACAAGGGGGGACTCCAGTTCAATTTATATACAGAATTCCGTCGTCGTATGTATAGATGAAAAGCCGGCCTCAAGAATCATTCACTACCATTATTATTCACCATGACTTCTACACGACATGCTAAGCTGATGTAAAGCTGCGAGATGCCGCCACTCAGCTGTAGCCATGCTTAAACCCCGAGAAAACGCTACGTTACAAGGACCTGGCTACCTAACATAGTAGATCAAACAAATTGCCCAGGCCGTGCCACAGCATCAGTTAGTCAACAAGGGGGTTGTTGTGAACAGAATCGATTTTCCCAGCGCAATTGGTCCGGCATAACTCGACATGGGATGATGGATGCCGACTTTAACAACTGGTCAGTGACTTTGGCTGCTGGACAGCCATATCGTGAAGGAGCCAGTGACTTCTAAGAATATATCTTAAACTTGCGATGCTACTTCGTTGCCATTCGACCAGTTAACGATATACGTTGTTACTTGCTGCTTGTTGCGAAGCATGTTTGATGAATTGGTGACTGGAGTGGAACCCAATAATATGCAAAGTGGTTCTTCCTTGTCCATTCACTTGGCTTCGCTGGGAATTATTCAGTATCTGATAGCCTATTGTAAAATAGACAGGAGAATCTCAAGCTCTCGATTCGTCAACGTCGAGGAATCAAATCGAGCTAGCCTGTCAAGCTGACCGCTCCCACTTCGTCGCACTGACCCGACTAAGATCGCCCAACGGCTGCAGGTCTCAGCGTAAAAAATTGGAATGGTGCATGTCTCTGCTGCATACTCCCCTCTTAATCCCACTTGAACCCACGGATAGGTAAGTTGCTATCATGACCGTGTCCGACCACACTTGATTATCTTGAGGCGATCATGATGGTGAAGAGGTCGAACATAACATCGGCCTGACGCCATTGGCTACATGTAAGTAAGACCTTTCTTATTAATTGACTACCTAGGTTGGGTAGTCATCATGATGTAGGACAAGTCATGTTGATGTTGGTATTGATTGTTATTGGCATTGTCAGTGTTGGCCAATACATATTGTACAATACAAACCAGGTGCCAGCAAGATACCTAACACATGTTTCCCGTTGCAAAGGCGTGGGGAATAACTGAAACCATGAAATTTGTTTGGGGGACGCTAAGATGCAACTCCTTTCACGCAGCACATGGTCATAGACGTGAGGAATGCCTTGGGCAACCCGCATTCCGATATTTTTTACGCGTCATAAAATCCACATTGCAATTAGCAGTTGTGTTTCTTGAAATAGTAGGCCATTGATATAAGTCTATTTGATGAACTTCATGATTATTTTAGGAATAACTATAATATTAACTAGTTGTCCCGTGAGTGATAGATAAGATTATCTAGGAAAGTTAAAGTTGATAAAACTAAATAAAATGTTGAATGTTGAGAGATATGTATGTAGAACTGGCACCTCGATTAGCCGGGTCAAGGGGTCTTAAGGGGTTGTGCTCAGGGAACTAATGACGACTTACAGCTTTAGCCATCAGGGTACTGTATTGGCGTACCTTATTGCTGGGAATTTTGGGCTGCCTCAGCTTCTAAAACCCTGGAGGGGTTACTTAAGATCATGTGACTGCGTAGTACCTTATTCCCCGGCTTGCCGACCGGCAAAACTGGGGCTGATGGAGATGAGGCTGTGGTAACTTTTAGGGGAGGCCTTACTTAAGATGACCTTACCTAAGCGGTTATGTACCTACATGTAAGGTTTTAGCATAGTTTTGGAAGAACCGATCCAATAAGCGTGCAGGCGTGAAGGTACCACAAGCCAAAGTACCTAACCTAAGCTACTTTTCGAGATTGTACATTGTACATAGTACCTGCCTACCTGAGATTTCGACGTCTTTTGCATCGAAAAGCCAGACGCAAGAAACGCCAACATCTTAAAAATCACGGCCGACTGCAACAACAACAACATCTCTGACCACCGAACGTAATTCTCCCTGGTGATCAGCCACCACTCCGACGGGCCTGTCGGCGTTGCACTCTTTAGCATATTTACGGCGCCAAGGTTAGATACAAAACCCACTATCTCGTAGATTGCAGCACCTATTTCCGGTTCGGACAGTTGCCAATTTGCATGCTCGAGAGGGGCACAACCACGATTCATTAAAGATTCACCTTCGCCAAATCGATCATAATACCGACTTATCCTGCAGCTAATCATCCTTTTAACTTAGGTGATACCGTTAAATCTGCATCTACTAATACGTAACGCTTGTCAGCGAGTTGTTTAACTCGGATTGTCTCCTAGGAGTAGATCGCACATGACTCCCCCCTCGCTTTCGCGTCATAACCTCCCTTGAGAATGCCTGGCAAAAACAACAATCGACAGTCGGCCGCGCAGGGCCCTCAGCCTCCGACTCCCAAGGCTACAGCGAAATATACGAACAAGGATGGAACCAAGTATATATCCGTCCCCAAGTCTTCGGCTTCTACTCCTCCACCCCAGCCGTCGCCTACGACAACCTCATCCTCCAGAGGCGGTGCTCCGACCAACACCCCGGCAGCTGCAGACATGCCTCCTGCGCAGCCGGTAAATCGCAAGAAGCAAAAGCGCCGAGCGAAGGCCGCCGCGAAGGCTGCAGCTGAACAAGCAGAGGCCGTAGCAAATGGGCTCCCCAGCCCCGCATCTACGAGTAGCGTGCCTTTACCTATCGGAACAGAGTCGCAGAGAAAAGACGCGCACTATTCCCGGAATACCATACCGAGCAAAATCCCTCCCTCCCACAACCACACGCACAATGGCGAGGACTGGGGTGATGAAACCGAAAGTGACGACGAACACCCCGAATCTGCCAATGGTTCGGCGCACAAGCCTTCTAAGAAGTCCAAGAAAAAAAAGAAGAAGGGCACGATGGAGGAGGCCGCTAGTAATAGTCCCTCGGGCATATCTAAAGAGAAGATATGGAACACTTCAAACGAGCAAGAGCGAGAGCGTATCAAACAGTTCTGGCTGGGTTTAGGAGAGGAGGAGCGAAAATCCTTGGTCAAGGTCGAGAAAGACGCGGTGCTCAAGAAGATGAAGGAACAGCAGAAGCACACATGCAGCTGTTCTGTCTGCGGGCGCAAACGGACGGCAATCGAGGAAGAATTAGAGGGTCTCTACGATGCTTACTATCAAGAGTTGGAATCATTTGCGAATCAACCTCACAACCATCCTAATGCGCCCCCTATGTTCGAACCTAAGAGATTCGGACCTATGAGCGGACTACATCCCCCCGGAGCCCTTCCATCTAGATTTTCGAACCATCACCCGTCTCATGGTCGCATAGTGGAACATGTGGACAACGACGAAGACGAGGAAGATGAAGTAGAGGAGTATAGTGATGTAGATGGTTTGGATGACGAGGATGAGGATGAGGATGAGCCTGAAGAGATCCCTCGCGACCAATATCCTAACGATTTCTTTAATTTTGGTCAAAGTCTCACTGTGAAAGGTAAGCTACACTTCATATGAGCCCGATTCATACGTGTGTCCAGCGTGTTTGAATAACATGTTTTAGGCGGCATTCTTACTGTAGCAGACGATCTACTCAAGAACGACGGCAAGAAGTTCATAGAAATGATGGAGCAGCTAGCCGAGCGAAGAATGGCGCGCGAGGAAGATGCTAAAGATCACTACGCTGGTGCATACAGTCACACTGTTAATGGTGCTTCTCTACCTAACCCCCACAACCATCCACCTCTCGAGGATGAGGAGTCGGAAGAGGACGAAGAGGAAGAGGAGGAGTATAGTCAGGATGAAGACTATGAAGAGGAAGAGGTAGTTAGCGAGCATCCACCCTAGGCGCGCCGTCTGGCTGATAAATTATACAGGACACCATGACTGAAGAGCAACGTATGGAAGAAGGCCGCCGAATGTTTCAGATCTTCGCCGCACGAATGTTTGAGCAGAGAGTATTGACCGCATATCGAGAAAAGGTCGCCAGGGAACGTCAGGAGAAGCTTCTTGAAGAGCTCCAAGAAGAAGAAACCCAAGAAACCCAACGAAAAGCAAAGAAGGCAAAGGAAGCACAAAAACGGAAAGACAAGGCGGCCCAGAAGAAGCAAGCCCAGATCGAGGAGAAGGCGAGACGCGATGCCGCCAAAGCAGCAGAAGATGCGGCTCGCTTAGCGGAAGAGGCAAGAAAGGTTGAGGAAGCTAGATCTAGGGCGGAAGAAAGGCGGAAGAAGAAAGATGCCCAGAAAAAGGCGGAGGAAGAAGAACGGTTAAAAAAGGAGGCTGAGCGGCAGCGACGCGCTCAGGAGCAGAAGGAAAAGCAACTGGAGCAGGAGCGCAAAGCTCGCGAAGCGAAAGAACGCGAGAAGAAGCTAAAGGAAGAACAGCGACGCAAGGAACAAGAGGCTCGTGAGCTTAAGGAACGCGAGACTCGAGAAAGGAGAGAGAAGCATGAGAAGGATAAGAGAGAAAAGGAGTTACGAGCAGCCCAGGCAAAGGCTGACCGGGACGCCAAGGAAAGGTCTAAGCAGGAAGAAAAGGAGAAAGCGGCTGCTAAAGCTGCAGCTCCTATAATCCCTATTCCAACTCAGCCTGCAAAGAAACAGCATCCCGTCTCGATTCCTGTGCTCCCTCACCAACCCCCGCCAAATCACGCGTCGCCTCAAATAGCAGTTGCAACTCCCGTTCTGCCCAAGGCTCCCACACCAATGAAGCCTCGCTCCGTATCTCATGAAGTAACGAGATCAGCTTCTCAGGCTTCTCATTCCGCTTCTGGTCCAAGCCAGAATGTGTCGCCACTCACCCAAACTCCGCTACATACTAGCCCTGGCCCTATCGGCCCGCCTAGAAAGGCTTCATCTAACGGTCCGGTAAATATAGGAACTCCCATCCCTCATCCGGCATCTCCTCTTCATATAGGAGTCAGGAGTCCGCCCAGTGTACATCAAGGGCCGTTCACTGGACTACCCATGAGCCTACAGGGTCCTCCCGGAATACCACCTCCACATATGGCTCCAAGCTTCAATCGAATGCACGAACCAATGTTCCCCCCTCCTGGAAATTTAAACTTCCGCCCCGTGGGTGGCATACCGACACCGCCGGGCTTTCCCGCTCCTGGCCCGATGAGCAGTCGATCTTTTCTAACTCAGCATGTGCCCCCCGGTTTTCATCACCCGGCAGAACAGGCCCCGCCGAATATGTCCCATCAAGGTTTCTCCCCGGAGAGTGTATCGGGACGGCCGCCCTCACACTCGCGACAAACATCTGCTTCTTTTGACGCGAATTCTCTCTCCGGTGCTCCATCCCAACCAATTAGCAGACCAGCACCAATTGGTAGACCAGGAAGCGTGGTTCACGGGCAGAAAAGCCATGACCTGTCAGCCGATATCGATGATGTGAGCAACCATCTCGGCAGCAGCGCCTTACTTGACGACACGGATGTACCTTTAGAAACTGTAAACTCCCCTCGACGAAGCACCGCCGCTCCAGGTCGGGTTCCATTCCCAAGCGCGCCGTTCATGGATCCGTTCCTAGGCTCGCCACTCAACACTACTACATGGGGCCCTCCAAACGTGTTTTCCCCGCCGCCCGGCTTCGCCAACCCTAATCCTACATGGCCAATGAACCCCTCGTTTGGTGCTCCTGCCGCTGGTATGCGAACCTCACAACCTCGACCTGTTGCTGTCCGTCAAATGCTTGTGAGCGCATGCAAAGAACTACAGGCTCTCGGATCCAATACGAACGGATATGTCGACCTGCTTGCCATCAAAAGTCGTGTGAATAGCATGAACCCACCAGGACACGACCCCGTATCTGAAGGGGAGTTATTAGATATGTGCGAAACCGTAGGAAGCTCACATAACGGCGGCGGAAGCTTCGATGTGCGGACCAGTGAGGACGGGAAATTATCCGTCCGCTTTGAAGCCGATAGAGGATCGGTTTCGGGGCGAAATGTGCTGGGAGCTCCCGGCGAGATCAGCAGTCCAATTGTAGGAGTTGGTTCGCCAAGTCGTGCGGGTCCCTCGGCGTAGGAACCAAGGATCTTGAGAATAATAAGGAGGACCCAGGGTAAGGGTAATTCGGTTACTGGCGGGGGGTGGATAATGGGCCGACGTCTAGGCCAGGATTCATTTTGAGATTCTCTTCTCCGTATGAAACCGGAGCTATATCCGGCTCGTCGGAGTTGATCGTGTACCTTTTGGGCCGCTACTGGGTGAGCAGTCGCGGCACGTTTGTAACCAATAGGTCGACTATCCTTTGGGACAGTCGTCATAGCACGTGGGAGTAGTCTATGCCTTCAGAGATGCGCGAGAAGGAGTGTCTTTTTTACCTTTTCTCTCGCCCCCGATTTTTAGGGCCGTTAAGCAGGTCATTGTTATGAATGGGAAACCTCGTTGAGCATCCATACTAGAGCGCTTTTTGTTCAGTATTAGCGAAAATAATATTTCACAACAATGCGGCCAGAAGCTGGATGAGTCGCAGATGCTTATTCTTGAGAAGTTTTAGACCCGTTTAATTTATATGCTGAGCACAGTCGTGAATAGGGACCTTAATTAAGTCTTTTACTTATAACTTATAATTTTTATTAGGTAAGTGTACTGTCGATATGCGAAGTCTTAACCAAGGAGAGCTTCACTCATAGCAGATTGCAAAAGAGCAAGTATTAGAGCAAGTATTAGCTACGAGAAAACAAACACATCCGCTTATAGCTTAACGACTAAGATTCATACAAAGCTCATTATAGCTGAATTCAATTATATCTGCCAAGGCTAATGGTCATCGCATCATAGAAGGGCATTATTAAAGGGTAACAAAAGACAATGGGCACAGAGGTATGCGGAGGGAAAATTTACTCCATAATGATAACAAAGACAAAGACAACCGCACTGAAAACACCAATTATCCGAGGTATCTAAGCGAGTTACAATATCATGAGCCCGAAAGTCCCGTTTTCCATATCCTTGCCACGCCCGACTTCGCTTAATTCCATGATATGGTATCATTCATTCGTCAGTTCCGCTCCATATGAACACATCCTTCAGCTTCAATTTTCTTCGTTCCATTCTTCTTCAACTTAGCTCCGCTTCAGCTCCTGAGAATACGTGTCTCCAACGCACCATTACTAATGGTGGCTCGGAGCATGTCCCGAGGGATCCTGTGAAGCGTCCACGTACGGGGAATCCGCAAAGGGATTCTGTCCGCCGGTTCCTACGCTAGGCTCACGCTTCGGCGGGATAGCAGTCTCCTCGTCAACCGCGTTCATATAAGCCGTCTTGGCGATGGCCGCGGCCTCGGCGCGCGCCTTCTTCTTGCGCTGGGCGATCTTGTCGGTGCAGCAGAAAAACAGAAGGGTGGCGAAGCCTAGACCGAAAATCGTAGCTAGGAAGACGGTGACGATGATCTCGCCGACGTCCAGAGTGTCGTGGCGTAGCATGCACAGGTTGTTGCCGTCCTTGTCCGTCGAGCAGAAGTTTTCGGCCTTGCAGACCGACGTCGGGACTTCGGTCTCGAAGCACGGGAGGGTTTGCCCGGATTCGCTGCCCGTGGATTGGATGGGGCAGGAGGTCGCTTTGGTGGTGGTTTCGGAGCTGCATTCGATGGTGGGTGTGAAGACGCCCCCTGTGGCGGTTGCGGATGATGTGCCGGTTTCTGCTGGCGCGGGTGTAGGTGCTGGTGTAGGAGCTATGGCGGATATTTGGTTAGCTACACGTATTATATCCCGCAACTTACTTAGGTATTTAATCACTGAAGGTAAGCCTCACCTGGCACGGGTTCAGGCCCTCGCCGTCGAAGCTCGGCGACGGACTTGCCGTTGTGGAAGTTGTTAATGATGAAGGCGGCTTCGATGGTGGACTCGGCGCTCGTGCAGCCGGCGTTGCGGAAGCATCGCTCTAGGTCGTCGGCCTCGACGTATTCCGGCACATTGCGGAAACAGTGCGTAAGAGAACCCTTGTCACCGCAGGCTGCGGCCGCGGAGAGTCCTAGAGCGGCATCGCGAATGTACATAGCTCGATCTGCTATCGCCGGACTAGCGCCGAGAGACGATGCCGGGAAAAGTAGAAGCAGAGGCAAAAGGGTGGCCGGGAGGGCCGCGGCACCCGATCTTCGTCCGTGCATGATGATGATGGTTGGTAAGATGTAGAGCTCAGGAGAAGTAGCAGCACGCTAAAGTACCGTCCCGAGACTGTTCAAACGAAGATGGAACTAGATGTCGCTCAGTCGAGACAACAGCTTTATAAGTTGTCCAAATAGGTGGGAGCCTAGAGGCAAAATTCGAACTGCGGTTTCTTCCCAAGAACTAGAACCGAACAAATCCACGTTCCGATTTGCCCGATAAGTATTTATCTCGTAGTCAAGAATATTTTATCTCCTAGTCCGTCTCCAGGTTTTCAATCTCCTGATTCTTGCCCTAGTCACTGCTGGAATAACAGTTATTGATCAGAGCCCGTGAGCCGCGCAGAAGTCATCAATGACGAAGGGTAGGAGATGGGAAACACAAAAAAACCAGAAGAAAAATAATCGAAGAGGATCTGACTAGATGGAGGTACGGGTTGGCTGAATATGTAGGTAAGAAAAACGCATCCTTCTAAATGCTGTCCAGATGCAGCTAGGCTAGGTAGTCAGTCAGTCCAGTCCAGTCCAGCCCAGCCCCATCATGATGCTTTTCAGGGTCTTCTGCTATTTTTACAGGGCTAGGTAACGGCAAGGGGAACAGCTAGGTAGCTCTCACAACGCTGCCGGGTGCCTAGGGCTCCTACTGCGGAGGTATTGTACATGCCATAGGTACTACGGAATACATAGGTATGTATATCCATCTGCATCGCGCAGCAGAACACTAGCCGATAACTACATAAGGTAACCTGATGTAACTACCTACCTACCTAGGAGGTACCTTAAAGGGCGGAAATGAATTTCGAGGGCTTTGTAAGTGACCTATTTTGGTGCTGACCTACATACGGCATGGCGGGACGAATCACATATCGATCCCTCGCGTTAGAAAACAGGAGTGTTGCGGCTGGCTCGGAAACGGCACAGCCCTCATGGCACTGTCATGATTGGGTAGATGACTCTGTTTAATTAGTCGGGGATTGAATCAGGAAGTCTGTGTTTCCCCATGGAGAGAGTACAAAGAAATAAGAGGATCTGTTAGACAAGTGTTTCTCTACCCGGGTACGCAGAACGTGTCGGTCAGGTCAGATGCAATACGGGGAGAATCCGAAAAATCCGAACGAGAACAGACAATGGCCCGATCTGCCAGAGCGGATTGTGGGGGATCAGCCAAAGCTTGGTTTTTGCCTTATCTAAGCTGATCTTCTCTGCATGTCAGATTTTTGTTAATGCCCACACCATGAACCTGTCGAGGCGAGCCTATGGGATGGAAGCCACACCAGCTCGGGATAATTCATTTATTGCAATGCCGATCTGTACTTACCCTGCGCCGCTGTCAATTTGGTATCCGAGAGGTAACTCGATAGGCTTTAAACCTCCCGTGCTTGATATCCCTCACCACCGATAGTCCACTATATGAAGTAAAGTGCCTCCTCAAGCGAATTGGACTAGGACACGTCGGGCGATTTAGGGCTGTACACTACCCCCCTCCCTTGTCCATGCAGGAGAGCTAGCACGGTGGCTGAGCCGAAGCTCCGCAAGGGGCTCGGAGAAAGCTGAAGGCCAGGCCAGGCCAGGCCCTGCAGCTGTTGGTCCCGCGTACGTGCATATTCTGCTGGGTTCGCGTCTTGCATTGCAGGATACCTTCTAAATCGGTATTGATTAGGCTATCGTTTGCGGCGACCCAGATATTTGCCGAACGACGTTACGTTGTATACACTACATTAATGCCGGTTGGCTTTAGGTGTGTTTTCGGAGATTTTTTTTGATACGCTTCGAGTGTTGTCGAAGAGTGCATGTTGAATTTACCATCAGCTATTAATTAATAAGTAGGGGAATCATGACATTTCAAGTCTTTGTTGCTTTATAAGCGAATTAGACCTCCTGATGGGGAATCAAGTCAAAATCATTATGTTTTCAACATTTTGAAATAATCACTCACCTATTCAATTAAACCCGATTCCCTAGCCTTGCTCGCTGGCTTTATACCGGATGAATTGAAGCGGAGAGGTAGTGTTTTCAATGAGAGAGTGTTGTTGTACGTAGGTTAGGTAGTTATAATCATGACTTGGAGGATCCCCCATAGATTATCTAATGCAACTTCCCGTCATCTACCTTTATATCAGAATAAAGATGTCGTTGGTAGAATATGAATGCGGTTATCCGCGATGAGGTTGACGGTAGGAATGGGACCGGAACTCTCCGTGCTCAACTTATGGTACCTAATCGTACGTCTAGACTCCGTAAAAGGTTCGCCTACCTATTTCTATATTTCTTAATTCGAAACGACGAGGTTAATAAGGTAGACGAAAGAGTAACTAAGGCTACCTTAAAGTCACTCAAAATCTAAGCACCTATTTAGTTAAGCTCATGATATTATACCCGGCCCTATGCATATTGTTTACACATTTGACTCATGAATCTTCAAAAATACACTTATGATATGAGATTTTGGAAGTAACTGAACTAAGCGATTACCTAAGTTGACAGGGGCAGCAGGGGATACCCACGTGATTTCCAGTGGCACTGACTGCCCTGCTGCCCTGTTTAAATAGATGTATACGTCATTGGATACGAGGCAGCCGCAAAACATACATTCCAGATTGCTGCTTGCCCAGTTGCCTTACCCTTACATAGAAGACACAACATCTTTTCCTTCACCTAGAGTCTACAAATCCTGGACTAAGCAGATACACTCATAACCACTATCAAAATATCAACATCTATTTACGAAATCGCTCAACACTAAACCTGCCAAAATGCCTCTCGTCGTCCCAGGAATCACCGATAACTCTCAGGACAAGACTACGGAGTGGTCTGGCAAGCTAGTAGGAAAGACAGTATCCGAGAATGATCACAGCGAGACGGTATGTACCAACTTTCTCTCATCATATCTCTCCCAAATAGAATCATTTATACGCATGAAGATACCAGCTAACACATGCAAATTCTAGAACTTCTGCAAAAGAGATCTCCCCCAGAAATGCCGTGTCATTCAACCTGGCATGATGGTGACTAAGGACTTCGTCCCGGATCGACTGAATGTTCATGTCAAGGACGACGGCACTGTAAGCCATGTACAACATGGTTAAACATTTTACCTAGGCAATTTACACCTTTGTATGACGGAGATGAAGCCGTTGAGTTCGGAATGGAGGGGTTCGCCGGAAAGGAACATTATGCGTAACCTACCTACTTAGTACCCTTGAATATCGGCAATAAGAATGACTAGCAATTAATTACCTAATCATTAGCAACAATATCTTTGACGTAGTTTTATTTGTCCATTTTAGATGGACTGATCCGCGACGTGCAGCGTAAATGAATGATGGTCATTAAGGTTGTTGATAGCAAGTACCTTTGTACAATACAATACCGTATGCCCCCGCTAGACCGGGAGCTTTCGAGGGGTCGAGTTTGCCCCGCGCTTTGCTGCTTTGGACTAGGAACTATGGAACTATGATTGCGGGGCATTTCATCCAAATGCCCCTCCAAACTTTCACGAGCTTCTACTCTAAACATCATTTAATATCGATTCAGACTATTATTTGACAACCCCTAAAATCGCATAATAGCCAATTGACCCTAGACTCGCCAAGATGTTCAAGAGAGAGTAAGCATTCCTCTCCTCTCAGCATATCCTAACTTTCTTAACCAGAGTTTTCGGTGATTATGATCTAGCTAATCATCCCACTTTACCAACAAATAGAATAACCGCCGCGCCCAAATCCAAGCTAAAGTCGTCGGTCCAACGATCTTTGCGCCAGTCCTTACTGTCGACATACCCGCTGTTAAACCCCTACATCGATGAGATCCTACCGAAGAAAGGGTCGCTCGAGGCCATGAAGCTTCCCGATCGCTGCACACTGTACGTGTTAGACTCCCAGCCGCTCTTCTTCCAGCAGGATACGACAACGCTGCTACCGCACCTACGCCTCGTCCACCGCTTCCCAGACGCCTTTCCTAGTATACGCATAGACCGCGGAGCGATTCGCTTCGTATTGTCCGGAGCCACACTCATGGCGCCCGGTCTGACAAGCGCTGGCGGCAGATTACCCAGCGGCGTCAGCACCGAAGAGGGGAAGGAGGGTCTAGACGAAGACGAGAGGTGGACCAGGGAGTTGGAGAAGGGAGAGCCCGTGGTGGTCCGAGCCGAGGGGAAGCTCGAGGCATGCGCCGTGGGATTCTTGGTCATGGGCACCAAGGAGGTCAAAGAGAAGGGTAAAGGTCCCGTTATCGAGGATGCGCACTATCTGGGCGATGGGTTATGGAGGCTCACTACGGACTAGAGTGAGTCGCGGTGGAGTGTAGTCGATTTGCTGGTTAAGCGAGTATCATTACATGAGGCACGTGCACTGGTCCGGGGGTCTCGATGAAGCTCTCTCAGTTGTGAGAAGCGTTACTATCCGAGGAATTCGTACTACTAGGGCCAATTATATTTACATACAATTCTATGAAGGTTCTGAAGAGGCGAAGAGATCAGAATATGAAAGTGAATCAGAGGTATTTTTATTAATTGCATTTCGATGGGATATGGTTCCGGTGAGACGTGCACACAGAATAGAATATTGGATTGATACTAATCTGCAAGGATACCTGTGTCGGGTTTATAATGATCAGATAGCTAGTCGATCAATTTGAAATATTCTTCCAATAGAAATTTCAAATTGACCCTATGTATTAGACTAGACTCTGTTTGAGAAGGTTGTTTGCATTTTCTTATATGCATTATGTTTGCTACCTCCGAAGTGGGGCCGCGATGCAAACCGGATCGGAGCCCCGCTTAACTTTTGCCTCCGGCAAATTCACCGGAATGCTCCGAAAAGGGGTAAAGTGCTAAAGAAGCTACAATAAAAGTTTGCTTTAATGTGTATTACAGTTGTCTATGTCAGTGAGATTCTTTGACCTCTACTAAAGCTACTCGCTTATCACCTTAGACCAAAAGCCCCATCCAAAACATGCTATGAAAATCACAATGCGCTATCTTGAAGATGTCTAACCCTGTGGGCTATATCTATCCATATTGGTACTAATAAATCAACTGATTCCTGTAAGAGTTAATATTCTTGTATAGTAAAAGGGTACTAGGGGGTGTTTGGCTACTTAGCTTAAGCCGGGTATTAGGGATCTACGATACCAAGTCAAAAGGCCACAGCGAGTTAAACGGAGGAAGCCACAATAGGAGAAGCTCGCGCAATGTTCCAATTTTAGTGGCTAAGAATAGGAATCGATTGATCAACGCAAACAAGAACTATCTATAACTAGCAAGTGCTATCAACGTGTCTGCGAGAGTAACGTGTCTGCGAGAGTAACATGTCTGCAAGAGTCTGCTCGTTTGCCATGAAATTCATCAACCGTACAATCATCTGGCTACAACATTACAAATGTCGTCCAGTTTTCATAATAGTAATAATAAGTTTTTTTTTTCCTTCAAATTCGAATAAGAATGCTGTGGTCTCTTCAAAGAATCATTCAAATAGAAAAGCAAAGCGCAATAGATATGGTTCAACATATCATGTCAACATGTCATGTCAACATATCATGACTCGGAGTAAAACTTCTCAGGAGTCGAACGGCGATTGGTGTAGTGCGAGGGCGTCTAGTGAAAGAAAAAAGCCCTTGATCACTCGAAGAAGATCGGCTCTCCTTCGGGGGAGTAGTCGAAGATATGGGCGCTTGCCTGGATGGCCAGGGCCAAAGCGATCTCTTGACGGAAACCGTAAACTAGATGGTGCATTCTACCGACCAGGTGCGGAGGATAAATTGCACACACGGCCCATGTTCCGAATGCCCCCATAGGAAGCGTGCGGAAACGTCCGTGAACGCCCTGATATTGGACCCAGCATCTTTGAATTTCTCCCAATATGTGATCATGGGCGTTTGCGATGATTTCGTGGCCCGGGACGGGAGCAGCGACGCTGCGTAAAGTCATTGCGACTCGGGTAAAGTACGTCTTCAAATATCCGACTATTGTGTCGAGCACATACTGTCGGCCCTCCCATTGCTGTACCAAAAGGATTGCTGCAATATAATCCTCTCCGGTATAACGAAGATCGTTCAGGTGGAAATCTTTAGTGCCGTAGACCGCCATGAGGGCAATCTTCCAAACGTCGGCGCTCTCGAGAACGTAGACAATGCTGTGGCGTTGGTTATCACGCGGGTCGACGAACATCCAGTACAAATGGGGTAGAGGCCGAAGCATCTCGACATGCACCAGGATAGTAATTCCACGCGCAACTAGGACTACAACCTCGCTGTAAGATAGCTTGTTAGCGTAATCGTCATACACTAAGCTGATATAATAACGGAAAATACTTACGCGTTGAATAGCTGATACTCCACAGGAGCGATACCTTCCACGAGGAGAAGGCCCGGGCACGCAACGTCTCTAGAATAGACCGTCAGCTTTGTTATCACAGTGATAGATATGGGAAATGAAAGGGAGCTCTATATTATACATACCTCACATGCGGGTAGGCATTGTTGAACAGACCGTGATTCAAGCGGATGAAATCCTCTGCACTAGCAGTGTGGTAGAAAATGCGGGCGATTAAACTGCCTTCGCAGGGGGGCATTTCGAGCAACTCTAGTTCGTCACCGAAGAGCTCGCGGGCTGGGTTAGGCAACGGGGGCTGAGGAGCCGGAACGTCGAAAACCCCTACGCTGATGTTCTCTGCAGGGGTGATGTTCTCTGCAGGCGGAGCAGAGATAGGGGAGTGCTCGGACTCCAAGATTCCCCAAAGGGTTGCGGGGCCAGGAGGGGATGCCATGATGGTTAGTTAGACGGCTTGTATAGGAGATGAAGTTCGAAGACCAAAGCTTGTAAAGAGGCAGGCCTGCGTTGGAGATGGCTTGGGTAGGGGATAGGCTGGATGGGAAATATCTTGAGTACAGGTGGGAGGAGCTCAAGGTAAAATAGGTTGAAGGTGAAGGATAGAAGGGAAGAACATGCAAAGTGGAGGAGAAACTATCTTCTTAAATAAGAATCACTGAGCAGGATGGCAACCACTCTCAAGGCAACGATTTGTTTGGGGGGGCTGTAATACGCAGGTCACTGTGAATTGTAGGCCTACAAAAGGTTCTGGTGGTTTGCACATAAGTGGGTAAAGGAAGTAACTGCTCTGTAACATCCTACTAAGAGGGGATTTTGGAGGAAACTATGCGCAGCCTTGTACAGGGCGCCCCTACACAATACTCAGGCTAGACCCAAAATACTAGGGATAAACAGCTAGCATACACGAGGTATGTACCTACTAAGGACTCAACATAGGTACTAGGTCATCTGTACTAGCTTCGAGGAGGTTGTCACACCAACTGTTCAGGGACGCAGGCTAGATGCTATTGTATGCTATTATGTTATGTTTCCCCCCGCAAGGTACTCAATATGGAGTTCCTAGGTAGTTAGTTCATCTGAAGCACTTACTGGCAAATCATCTAGCAGCCTGAGGTTCGTGGAGAGTTACAGAATGTACGAATAATACTAAGCATCGTTTGCCAATAGTCATTCAAGGATTTGATCAGGGCCAATCCTGTACATGCTTCTTAACTTGCCATGTGCTAAGCAACAAATCGTTTTAATGCCATTGCAACATTGGATAGAATTTTGGTCTACTGACCTAAGCTTTGTTTGAATACAGCGAGTTAAATACTTGAACTATTGAGTCACCCAGGAAAAAAATGCTGTACCTATCAGCTGTCCAGTCTTTGCTGGGTTCATGGTCTCTCATGTTCTAGCTTAGGTGCGTTGCAATTTCTTGTTCACTTCCTTAGATAACATGATTGGGGAGAAAGGACTTATAAGACAGATCAGTAATGAACGGCATAATATTTAGGCATGTTCCTTTTTCCCCCAAATATCATTCTTGTCAGAATTCTGCTCATTGAAATTTTGCTGTGACACTCACTAGGACTACACAGTGCCGTGCTTATGGCGATATGATAATATAGAAGGCCGGGCCGGCCCCTGTTAAGGGAAGGTTTGCTCAATCAACCGGCCGAGTAATGTCGGAGCTCCGATCCGGATGAGGTCCGGATGCGGCATGATCCACCAATCAGGAAGTTAACCGGGGCCGGGATTTCGGGATAGTGTGACCTTGAAGCGGCGAGCGGGGGGAAGATGATTGCTTCAATCGCCGGTGCCAGTCGATTGGGTGGATTCATGTGAATGCACCTATGTATCCACTTCATCTGAAATGTTGGAATTCCCCTAATTTAGGGGAAAGTCTACTTGAATGAAGAGAGTTTGCATAAAAAGTTTTTTAAGGATGTTCCATTTTGAAACATGCTCTGTCCCAATCCTGAATGCGATAGCTAAAATGTGCTGAGTGGGTATTGGAATTTTACTATTTCGAGATGATTAGACACCTCGTTGAGGTAAGTGTCTGTCAAACCTACCAAAAGTTGAATCATACAATTTTTTTTCTCCATAGGTACCTATTAATAAGTACGTTTATTCATACATGTCCCCAAACGAGTGAGATCCTCAACTTGATCTATCATGCGCGTCGGATGGTGATTACATTTACCGACTCGTCATTTGCTACGACCCATCCTTGGCTAATAACCCCAAGGAGTTTTCCGCAGGCTGCCTGATTAGTAAGAGCATATCTGACGTATTAAATGACTCTGTGGCACAAATATCCAATGGTTCCGGCTCTTTAATTGAGGGGGTCCCTTGGCCTATATACCGAGTCTTCCGCCGTAGTTTGTCTTTCCTAACTACCACTACTACTTCACTTCTTGATCTAGCTTGAAAACTATTACCACAATGGCAGCTCATCGTGTTCTTTTACTTGGAGGCAACGGCAAGGTAGCTCGGTTGCTAACACCGATGCTTCTTCAGCGATCATGGGAGGTTGCGAGTATCATTAGAAGTCCAGACCAGGTTGCGGAGTTACAGCAGATTGGAGCACAGACTAATCATAAGGGCAAGCTGGATGTTCTCGTCCGCAGCATCGAGGACGTCAAGAGCGAAGCACAGGCCAAGACTTTGATCGATGAAGTGAAACCTGACTATGTCGTCTGGAGTGCCGGGGCCGCAGGGAAAGGAGCACCGGAGAGGGTATGAGCATCGGCGTTAAGTCCGAATTTTCACTTAAGTCCGATATGTACTAACATCATCTTGTCAGACTGAGGCGATCGATCGCGATGCTGCATGTCATTTCATTCGCGCATCCGTGGCAACCCCGTCGATCACTAAATTCATATTGATATCATTTAATAGCTGCCGCTATGAAAAGATGTCGTGGGTGACGGAGGAACATTGGCAGGAGTATCTTAAGACAACTCGCAATCCATTGAACAGATACTACGAGGCCAAGATCGTAGCGGATAAGGTGCTGTGGGAGGAGGGGAAGAAAAGAAAGGATTTCGCAGCAGTTTCTCTCCGCCCAGGCGTATTGACAATGGAGCCCGTTGGCGGCGTTGCCCTGGGGAAGTATCCGCGAGTAGCAGGAACGACGAGTCGTCCGTCCCTTGCGTACGTTACGGCTTTGCTACTCGATTCTCCGAATCTCAAGACTTCATGGTTGGATATACTAGATGGCGATGAGGATCCGGATGCAGCAGTGAAAAGATGTATTGAGCAAGGGGAGGATTGTGCTGAAGGAGAACCTTTCTATAAACCTTAGTTTAAGCACGGCATACCATCCACCAAAGGCAATTTTTGGGGGCAGAGGGGGAATTCCAGCCCTTAATATACTTCACTCGTTTGGCACCTATCTACCTAGGCTGAGTAATACAAAATATGAAACTTCAATCTCTAATAATGAGATATCGGCTGTATTCACCCTCCCCTTTTTGTTAAACAATCAAGTATTCGGCTGCACATACAAACATGCGTCGAAGATTGCTCTACTGCTCAAAGGCTTCCCAGACGTCACGCATATATAAAGGGCTATAGCTGGTAACGTAGACGATGAGTGGCAATGAAAATATTTTCATGAAATCTATAATGGGGCAATTATTCTACGAACTTCTTCATAATGTTGGTAAGTATAGCAGATATATTGTCCCTGGTATGGAATTGGTTCTATTGAATTAATTCGTGGCGCAGCTTCCAATTCCACTCACCCCTGAAACCAGCATTTTGACCTCTCTCAATTCCCAGTCTGTGTGATTACCATCTATAATTAAAGTCATGCCTCATATAGCCGAATATTTCGTACTATGTAATCCTCCCCAAGCTCGAATAACTCGTTCCGATCAGGCGGCTAACTCGGGCTTCAGAACTCCGCGGAAGTGCATATGGCCTTGTTCCAACTTCTCCATGGCCTCCCTAATACCAACTTCCGTCATCGGGAAGGTTTCAACGATAGGCTTGATATTGTGCAGGGCAGCAAACTCCAGCATACGTTGGTGAATATATCTCGGAGCAACAGTGGATCCTTGGACGGTAATGGCGTCAGTTATAAGGGGTAAATAGGGGATTTCGAAATTGCCCTCGTCGACCGAAAGGGGGTGAATCCATGCTCCGGGAGCCAGAATAGGGATAACCTGTTCCCAATTAGGCTGAGCAGAAGTGCACACAAGCAAGCGGTTCAGCGGCTGTGACACTTCAAGCACCTTCTTGCCCTTCATGGTGACAAATTCGTGCGCTCCTAATCGCATAGCCTCGTCCTTCTTCAATTCAGTTCCGGATAGAACAATAACGCGGCATCCCATCTTGGAAGCGAATTGGATTCCTAGATGTCCAAGACCACCAACTCCCATTATACCGACAGTTTCTGTATGGAGGGGGCTGTTGGAGTGTAGAACGTTGAAAACGGTGGCTCCGCCACATTGCATAGGCGCAGCATCCTCATCTGACAACTCATCAGGAATCCTGAACAGGAAAGCCTCTCTCCAAACTGCATGCGTTGCGAAGCTGCCTTGGTCCCGGTCTGCGGTTCCGTACACAGCACGTTTGTGACAGTATGTCTCGTTGCCGCTCAGGCATAGCTGGCAGAGACCGCAAGAGTCATGCTCGTAACCCCAGCCAACTCTGTCGCCTTTCTTTAATAATTTGCATGCTGGTCCTGTTGCCTGGACTTTACCAACTCCTTCGTGTCCTAGGACCATGTCATGAGTTCTCTAGATGGTATGTCAGCGAAACTCTTACATCACTACGCCTAGACCGCGTAAAAAGCATTACATACGTAATGGAGATCTATATTTCATAAGTCAGTTGTCAACTTGTTCGAGTTTCATGGACCTAACACAACACTTACCAGTTCCACATAGTCCAGAAGCCGTGACTTCAACTAGGACGTAATCTTCCGATAATGGGTCTGGTTTAGTCGTAGTGGCCTGCTTAGGCGTACCAGACTTATGGCCTTTGAAAACTGTAAAGGTAAAGCCAGACGACATGTTTCTACCAACTTACTAAGGATGGGTATAAACGGGCTCGGAAGTGTTATATGGATGATAGAAGTCGTGTAATTCACAAACAAGTAGCTCAACTATCTTATATATACAAGCATGATGAAAGTTTTTCACATACCCATAACTCCTAACCTTGCAAATCGTCTTCATCAATGACGTTGAGCTGTAAGCGCGGAATAGCCCGCATTTAGTGTAGAGATTAAAACTAGCTGTTTGACCTGATTCGAAATTCTTCCACGGGCGGTAAGAGGTTGTGGACTTCAGAAGGCAAAGGCCCACAATCTAAAGTTAGCTTAATTCAATTTCTCAAGATTTGTGATCAGGGTCTTGTCATGGTGATGGGATTCTAACGCTGCCGCTATAAACCAACTTGTGAACGTCTACCTTTATCAGAGATCGAAGCCTTTCCACTCGATCTACGGTATTTACCTAGGTAGTGTCAAGAGGTGGAACCAAACAGCATGGAAACAACTTCGTTGTTCCGCGAGGAACTCTAACCTATCTGACGAGCCTATGGCTCGTATTTACATGAATGTTCTTTGTTCTAGAATCCCGACAGGTAGGCATTAATCCACTATGTACACGAAATTTTTGCCTGCCCGGCAATTAAATATCTCATTGACTTATAAATAGCTACGTAGAAAAGAATGTAGTAGAATGATCTATCAAAATCATTTTTTAAAAAAGAATGAATCAGAGAAATGTAGGGATAGGGGTTCGAGTTTAGTGTATGGTAAAAGAACAAGAAAAGAAGCTTCACATTTAGCACATAATGCCGCTTTTATAGAACAATGCACACCGTGTACAGGTCTATCTAATGTATTTAGATGGACTTACAGGTATTTAATTATTCACCAAAACATTAAAAGAGGTACCTAAACAAGCAATTCTTCGAACATCGAGCATGGTCACAACACCGTCATATCCGAACAATAAGATTACATAATACGCCGCTACTATTTAGCAGCCTCGGCATCTACATACACAGATACAGACACTTGAGCTTTATCGATAAGCTTTAAAGACAATTGACTTGTAGTATACATAGAATGTCACAGTACCTGTTACCTGTCTTCGAACTATAATTAGATATTTTAGTGATAAATACCTGGGTATTTCAATCGCACGTTCATAGCGTGCCTTATCCGAATACCTATTTCTTCGAAGACATTATAACTAGAAAATACCTTTTTTCGTCGTCTTGCGCCCCCCTAGCGATAAAGATGGAGAATATTCCTTACTCAGATTCTGATTTGACTTTTACGGGGTATGTACCTCCTTTGTTTTCTCTTTGCTATAGTATTTTTAATATGATACTCGGATCACCAATTTCTGCCTTCTGACCGGATAAACGTATTAGCTTTGAAGGCGCCATAAGCACCCGTGTTATGAACCATCCGCATCGCTCTTTTGCTTTCGAAGTGACGTTCGATCTAGCTCACCCGCGTCTCATCGCTTTAGGATCGCAGAAGCCTCCTCTTCATTTCCACCCGTATCAGGAAGAGTACGTGCAGGTATTGACGGGCTGCTTGGCTGTAGAGGTAAACGGACGTGAAGTCATATTGAGTCCAAGCGATGGCGAGTTTTGTCTACGACCATGGGTCGACCATCGGCTATACCCACCACCAATTCCTTCTCAAGATGCACAGAAAGAAGCCGCGTCGACGCTAGATAGCACGACGAAATTTCTACTTTCAGGCCAACAGACATTAAAGGCCTTTAAACTTGATAACGTATTTTTCCAGAGTTGGTATGCGTACCAGGACGAGGTTGTGATTGGTGGCAAGAAAGTTGATCCCATTCAAGTCGTGTCGGTGAGTTAATAGGCTTCAACCTCCCTTTTCCCCGTGTCTAGTCTTGGTATATCCTATTTATATTGCTAATAGGTATAAACAGACATTCGACGCAGGAGGATCATATCTGTCGTTGCCGTGGTGGGTTCCTTTCAGGCATAGGATTTCCCAAGCCGTTAGTATCTTGGTTGGAAGGTGGCTTGGGGGTTTATTAAGATACCAGCCGTTCTATCGCGAATGGCTGACCGAAGAAAATTGGCAACTGGCCTGTGAGAAGATGGAGTCTTCATATTTTCAGAGACGATTCGCAGATCGTAGGCACTCAAGTTGAGCAATCAGTCTTATATGCGACCGTTTTCTACATGATTTCAACTCAGATACAGGTAGGTATACGTTTAGAAGCCATCATAAATGATATGGATCAATATCAAAGTATTACTAAGCTCCGTAGCATTCTATGCGGTAAATTAAGTCCTCCTCTATAAAGTAACCACTTCAAGAGCTAGATGTTATTACTATATTAGGAGTCAAGAGCCAAAGAAGTGTTCTCCTTATTGATCCTGGCCCAAGTTAAACTCCTCACCCACAACGCTTCCTGCTTCTGTTCCTCTTTGCTCTCCGGCGAACTTTCGTCCTTCTCCAGAAGAGTATAATAACCCGCCTGGCCCACGTATTTCGAGTTAACAGCTAGCTCGATAACGTCTGCACCGGCTGAGGCTGAGAGGCGCGCCGTATGGTCCTTTAGTCGAATCAGGGGTAGAAGAGGTCGAAGAACGAACTTCTGCATGTACGTGAACGGTTTTGGAGTGTTAACCCGAAGCGCGCGTGAGTCGATTAGGTTCCCCGGATTAATTGCTACTACCGTGATCTTATTTAAACTCGGGTCCTGTTAAACATTAATAAGGCCATTCGTATGTAACTTTTGGCATATTAAACCGCAAGCATTCTAGGATAGCTACTAACTCTCTTCAAATGCCTATCCAATGCATACGACCATGCCACAGTTGCCAACTTTGTATTCGCATACTTCTGGAATCCAAGACCTGTCTTGTCGGCCCCAGCATCGGCCTTCACGAGCTGTTCGAGGTCCTCCGGGATTGCTGGAGGGTATTTCTCCACTGTATTGACAACGTTAGTCGCGGTCTAGCGACTCGGCAGAAACTAAGCGGCAGCTTAATTCTCGGTTCCTACGGAAAACGTGGGGGTATCGATCGATATAACGGAAGCTAAGCTAGGATTATGATGATACGAAGGAAGATACTAACAAGAGTTTTTGCCGGGCCAGTGTGCATCGCTCGAAAAAAGCACAACTCTTCCACCTTCTGGTCCAAAGCTCCCTAGGAGACGTAGCACTAGAGCTACATGGGCGATATGGCCAATCTGGAAGGTTTTCTCGTATCCATCTTTTGTGAGCTCAGGGTCGCGGACGAGATTCCAATAATAAGCGTTGGCGATGATGGCGCTAAGTGGGGGATACGAGTTGTCAGCTACCTCTTTCTGAATTTTGCTGGCGAAATCATGAACGGCGGAGAGGTCAGCAAGGTCAAGCTGGTGGATAAATGTCTTCGCGTTTGGGTATTTCGATATTATCTCACGCAGTCTCTTGCTGTTGGCGTCATCAATATCTCGTACGGTTAAGATAGCAGCATATTCTGGATGATGACGGAGGAGATGATCAACAGCATGTATTGCAAGGGACCCATTGGCCCCTGTGATAAGAACAGATCCTATCATGTTGAACGCGCTGTCTTAGCTGGAGAGGCGAGACAGGGGGATATTCGGAAGCCTATCTCAAGCTAGAAGGGCCCGAAGGGATTTTGACCTTGGGAAATATCAGCACGTTATTACAAACCAATGAATAGGGGGCCAAGGTTTATTGGTTATTGATCTTGGCGGTCCTACAATAACGGTGATACTAAACTGAGATTTCGAGTTACCGAATAAAAACGGTTTGCCTACCGTAAATGAGTACCACCTAAGAGATATGCCCCATAAGAATCTGACCATTCACATGGAGCCAAGTGAGGTCCCGCATACCTTTTCGGGAAACTAAAATATTACCATGTACCTAAGTATCTTCAGGATCTACATATACCTCCAAGTTATTAAGCTACCTCTATTTATTACCCATAGAGATAGGCTCATTATAGGTGGTTTACCGAGAGAGTTGCATATAAGTAGCATGATATTACGACCTTGTAAGCTTTGGTGCTTATTTCAGGCTCCACTGGAGAAAGAACCTGTTTTTAAGCTCAACACGTGTTGCTGAAATACCACCTAGATGCAGCTGTTGGTACCCGGATTTGCTGAAATTTGGAGTTTTATTCCTAAACAACATATGCGTCGATGCGACTCTACCACGATGCTTATAGAGGAACCCCATCCTAGTTACCTAAACCAAAGAATAATGCCGGAGCGTCTTCGGCCGCCTAAGTTGCTTCTGAGGGGTTCCATCGTAAATCGAACTTGTAATCCCTTATAGGTACCTCTTTAAAATCTTAGTAGGTATTCCGAAAGTAACCCAATCGTCATTGACCCCCCGGCAAGCCAGAATCCATATCTGAACCACAACCAGCAACTTAGCGAATCCCCGAGATCCACATTCAAGATCATTATTCCCAAGGACGCGAAGCAGCCCCCAACCGCCAGGATGTAATACCAGGGTCCCATCCGGGCTAGGTAACCACTTGCAGAAAGCAGACCCAGCATACCGCTCAAAAGGACCCAGAGTAAGTACTTTGTCTTATTCCCACATAGGACCGCCATACTCTTCAGGTTTATTTTAGTGTCATCCTTGACATCCTGATGTGCGTATATCGTGTCGTAGATAACCGTCCAAAGGATGCATGCAAGGAACAGGAACGCAGTTGAATAATTCTCCAGGGGATCCGCCTCCATCGCCAGAGCACCCATGAAAACACCCCACGAAAGACAGAATCCCAGCACGAACTGAGCGAAATAGGTATGACGTTTCGCGTAGGGGTAGTATATCGTAGCGACGATGTTCGGTGCCGCCCAATAGACTGCAACCTTCTGCTTTGGAAAGCCGAGAAGGAATACTGCAGCGCTAACGGCTTGCGTCATGGTGAAAATGAAGGCGGCCCGGGGTGAGATCGCACCTCGCGCAATAGGACGATTGCGAGTCCGAGCAACCAACTTGTCGACAGAGGTATCTATTAGATCATTCCAACTATGCGCGCCATTGGAGCAGAAGAAACTGCCCCCAAGCAGCAGGACGGCGGCAGTCCATAGGGCTGCGGGACTTGAGCCCTGGTGCAGGATGGCCGAGTGGAGAATACCAAGGAAATGCGGAATATAGATGAGGATGAGCCCAACAGGGGGGCTGAGCCGAGCCAATTGTATGTATGGAATCATCGATGGCGGGAGGCGACTAACCCATTTACCCGTATGACCACCTCCATATTGCTGGCCCAGCCCGTCGTTGCCGGTACTTTCCTGCAAAGGTACTTTCTCGTGAAGCTCACTAGTTGCCATGGCGGAAAACTGGCGCTTCGGGCTTGGTTAACTACAGGTAGGTAGGCTTTCAGTAGTGTCGATTTTGAAGAGGAGTCTCGAAACCATGCTCATATTTCAATATCAGTCGCTTCTGGGAAAGGTAGCTATACTTGCCTACTTAAATATTCAACTATCACTCCCGATGCCGAGGTTTGAGCAAGCTAGCAGTCGTGCCTAGTCCAATCTTGTAAATCTATGCCTGCCCCGAAAATCAAGGTACCGAGATACAACAGTTTTGGTTACATGGCCCGTATATAGTCCCAATCTATTCTTATTTTGACCTTGACCGTTTACACATGTGCATAGTGGCGTGGATAACTCCTAAATGGGCCCACTGATGGATGTGTATCTCGCTCAAGATTCCAATGTTCGACCAAGGCGCAGTCATAGCACTCTGCAACAGCCACGAGCTACCGCGAGAGTAGGCCGCCTGTTTAGGATATCGAATGCGAAGCGGTTAGATAATGGTCATAGTTAAATGCTCTTGCAAGACGTTTTGATAAGTAGGACAGCTTCTCATTAGCCAAGGTTAACGTCGATTTGTCCACTACTGATAGCTGTCATACTTTGACATTATGCTGAAGCGGCTATCATACCTAGCCGCCTTCGGCTCGCTTTATTCACACTGCCTAGGGGCAGCTCTTACTTCTGAGCCCAGTCTGTTACTATGTAAGCAACTCGATAATGCTTTCGGAAGCGCTCTCCTCTTTCCCAATGATACGGAATATTCTACCTTAAGAACAGAGAATTGGTAAGCTTATTAACATGATATCCATCTGGTTACAGCAGCTAATAACTAGTGTAAGGTCTCAAACTGCGTGGAAAACGCCAAGCTGCATTTTCCAGCCGGACTCCGTAGAAGACTTGCAAAAAGTCATCCCTAAGTTGGTAGATGCCAACGTCAGCTTCGCCGTGCGCTCAGGAGGCCACTCCCCGTCGCCCGGGGCCGCAAATATCGACCAAGGGGTCTTGATCGACCTTTCTAAATTCAATGCCGTAGATTACGATGCTGAGAATAATGTGGCCAACATTGGTGCTGGCCAAAAATGGGAGAATGTTTACAAGCAACTCGATCAATTCAATGTCACTGTTGTTGGCGGAAGAGTGTTAGACGTCGGTGTGGGAGGGCTAATTCTTGGAGGTAAGTCTTCCAATTTCTAACTTAGAACAACGATTAACATCTAAACTACAAGGCGGCCTCTCCTATTTATCTGACCTTCACGGTCTAGCTTGTGATAACGTGGTGGAATTTGAGGTATAATTCCACATTTACCTTAGGTAGTTTGTAGTATACCATTATTAACTGCCTTACAGGTTGTTCTGGCTAATGGGTCTTTGGTTTATGCTAATGTAAACACTAATAAAGATCTGTTTTGGGCTTTAAAAGGAGGAGCTACCAATTTTGGTGCGTTTGTTTCCTACATCCCAAGATTTACCTACCTAAGCTAAGACATATAACAGGTATTGTGACTACATTCAAGCTTTTAACATATCCCGTCCAGCAAGTCTGGGGTGGAATAAGGGGGTACACGCTAGCAGACGTTCCGGAGTTACTTACTGCCGCCTTCGAATATCAAACCGCGCCAAATAAGGATCCTTACGCAAATTTTATGCTTCAAGGCTTTCCCATTAACGAGTCATTTGGGGTTGTGCTTAGTTTGGTCTACTTGAAGCCGGAGCCGAATCCTATAGCGTTTGAGCCGTTCTACCACATCAACACTACGTTCGACACTACAGCCATCAGTTCCTTCACGGAATTCCTTAGTGGACAAGCACAAGCACAGCTCCCACCGAGGTATGCGTTTGCTAATTCTTCAAATCCTACCTAGTGATGTATCAGTCCAATCAGTTTCGTGTGTAACTTGTTGAAGAAAACGGAGTTCCCTTCGTCAAAGTTGCTACGTTGGGTTTTACCCCTTTTCATATATCAGCATACTACATTCCTGCCCCATTAGTCAACTGAGGTGTATTCTAACGCAGGTACAGAATTGATTGGTTCACTACCACTTTAACGCCGAGTAAGGAGTTGTATGATAAGATCGGCTCTATCGTAACTACATCAAAGGCGCTAGACAAGATCCGCTCGGCTACTGCGGGATCTACCTCCTTCTCCATACAGCCAATATCCAGCAGCGTTGTCGAGGCTGGTAATTCAAAGGGTGGTAACGCGTTAGGCCTAACAGCCGTAAACCAGACTTGGTTCAAAGTTGATTCTGGTTGGCTATGGCCGGATGATGATGAGGTAGTACATAGCGGCTCAACGCAGTTGATCGGCGAGGTTCAAGCTGCCGCAGAAGAAAGCGATAACTATTTGCGGTATATTTTCATGAACGATGCAAGCTGGGACCAGGAAGTCATCGACCATTACGGCACAAATAATGTCCGGAAGTTCCGGCGGATACAACGTGAGTACGACCCTGACTTGGTCTTCCAAAGGTTGGTCCCAGGGGGTTATAAAATCCCATGATGTAATGGAAAAAGGAACGGTAGGAACGGTCTCCGTGTACAAAACATACATTCGTGTAGTGTTAGTTAATTGATCTGTATACCAATTTTTACCTACATTAGTGTCTGAGAGCCCCTTGCTCGGGGTGCTGCTCAAGTGCTTACTCCGACCCACAGGGACATACTAATAAAGCCACAATACCTAGCAAGATCGTGTAGGTACAGGTATTCCCAAGATCTAGCCGTTGTTTACTGAGATCCCATCGTTAAAAGGGCCGGGTCTATTAGTGAATTACTAGTAACGAGCGGGCCTTTACGGCTCGAAGGAGTTAAAAGGATCCCAGTCCTACCTTAAACGGCCAATCGTGAATTCTAATTATCCATGAACATCCGTGGAAGTCCGCTAATTCCGGTAACTAGTGGCCGGAGAGATTTAAGGTAAGTCTTAATAAGGCTTACGTCAATTAGTTAGTAGGACTTCAAGGTTCTAGATGTTGCTGACGCAGGGTATCCGTTTATTGTCAAATTACAGATCCGACTCCCAAAGCCCTCGTAACGTAGCGTAGCAGTGCATTCAGATCTAAGACTGTTTAAGCTTAGATCTTACGATGCGCGGGGAGCCAAAAATTGCGGTTTTCGCCTTATCGCCCGCCGTTGATCCTCCAGGCTCCAGCCGTTGTGATACGACTTTGGATTTAAAATATATTAAGCTGTGTAACCCACCATGTTGGAATCATGTAACCCCATAGCATCTCCTGAAATGCTGAGGTGTGAAAGGCGGTGACGCTAACAAGATTCTCGTAAATGACATATGATATTGCGGAGCTGTACGTGACTGGTATTGCTCTCCGTGTTGTGGTTGTATTAGATTCATCAAGCGAGTTTAAATTTTCCCCTATCATGGCTGTTGGATTCTCGCTTCCAGCTTTTCTTTCACCGAAGCGTAAGATTGTGCGACCCCAACTGCAGAAGACGCAACGCTCGTAAAGTATGTTGGAGTTACTGTCACATTTACTGGGTAGCCTTAAATCATGTAACCCCTTTTAAATGTGATGCTTGTAATCTAGATCTGTGTCACCAGGTAGAGACGACACGAAATGCGCTGGTGGAAATTGCAGCTACTTTGAAATTGTATGATTGCTTAGCATGTTGTCGAAGGACGGAATAGTTACAATATCATTGTCCTCGTCTTGACTCTCTGCTCTATATGCGACATTAAAAGCTAAAATACGATGGGTAGTTGAAAATAATTATCGTATTGGTCTATGATTATCTATAACGGCTATAAATTAGGCGCCTCTTAACATGACTTAACTGATAGATCAGAAATTATAATTTACAATTTAGAAAGTAGGAACCCATCGTTCTGTTGCTTCTGGAATAATTGCGAAGCATCGTACTTCTGAGAAATTTGCTTCAGCTTGTTGACGCTTTCGGTGCCGTACGACGCGAGCGGGTTCTGATCTCGGGAAGCGTCGTTCATGAAGGTGAATGGTAGTGACAAGCCTCGCTCATCTCCTAGTTGCTTCCATTTCTGGCTTGTTTCAATCGAGACCGACCTCACTAGATCGTCGTCCTTCTCGTCATTCCAGTCAACAATTGTCGTCCACCCTAGGGATTATTAGTTAGGCGAGTTACTTAAAAAACAATGCTCGAGAAGAGGCTAGACATACATCCGTGATTGTCCTTTAGGATATTCATTGGGTTTCCTCCTTTCTGTTCTCCCTGTACGGCAACGTTCTTGGGAACAGGCTGGACAGTGAAAGTCTGGTTGGCTCCTGTAGCGTCGCGAACTGCGAGGGCTTTCTCCCGCCAAAAGGCGTGCACGTCCTTGTAAAGTTGGGCGTCGATGCGTGTACTAGCAGCTCTATAATCATGGCTATTTACAATTTCATTAGCCCCTATTCCAAAGAGTCTTCGATAGTATTGATACGTACCGGTCAGACCCCGTTCCAGTACTGGCCATTATCGCCGTCAAAGCGGAAATTGAACCATTGGTCGGTGGCACAGCGACCATGAGTGGTTCTATGTCTCTAAAGGGTGCAAAGACGCTTGGCTGATCCCCTGTCGGTTCCGAATATACTAGGCCAAGGCTGATGGAGTCGAGACCAATACCAAGACCTACGGTGGCCTTGAGATCTGTTGCACCTTCATTCTGCTGCCACTTGGCGTAAGCCTCTAAAAGAGCGTCAGCTTGGTCGACCGAGTATATCGACGCCTGATACCAGATCCCTCTTACGGGTACCGTATATAGGTCAAACCGAGTTACGATTCCGAAGTTAGGCCCACCACCCTTCAAAGCCCAAAAGAGATCTGGGTTGACAGTAGAACTAGCGTTGGTAATCGTTCCATCCGAAAGGACAATCTGGAGTTCAGTTTAGTACGTGAGCCCTAAGCCGAGACCTAGGACTTGATCGCCACCCGCCCGGCATATTTGTCAGGGAGTACCACATACCTCAAAGTTCTTCACATTATCGGCAGCGGTGCCGAACTGTCCAGTAAAATGGAAGTAACCCCCTAAAAGTGTTAGGAATACCTAAGAATAACAGAGACTTGCAACGTACCGCCCAGTATAACTCCTGCGACACCGACGCTAGGAACTCGCCCGCCTATAACGGTAGCTCCTTGTGCGTCCAGAGTCGAGATCACTTCACCCCATCGAGCCCCGGGACCAACACTCGCCACTTTCTTGTCGCAGCTTAGGCTTATTTGATTTAGGTTTTGCAAATCCACAAGAATTCCTCCCTGGCCTACGCTTGACCATCCAGGGTTGGGAGAATGACCACCGCTGCGAACGGCAAACTTAACGCCGTAATAGCTAATTGTTTTGATGACCTTGGATACATCTTCTGCTGTCTTCGGTTGGACTATGCAGTAAGGTTCGGCAATGCAGGCTTTTGACCTTGACACATATGAGAATAAATAGAATAACGAATAGGCTGTGTAGAACTTACCAGTTTTCGCCCACCACTGTTTGGTTTAAGGGAGCTGTATCGACTATGGATGCCCCAAGGCTAAGCTGTGCTGCTGTGCAAGCTGCCTCAACGGAGTTTTCATCAGTTGTTTCTATACCGTACTTCTCCTTTAGAGTTTCGGCCTGTGCTTCCGACAAGCCTATGCTATTGTAAAAAGCTTCGAACTTTTCGCTCATATTGTCACGATGTTCAAGGTAAGCGCTTGTTTGTGAGGTAGAATCGGCGAGTACTATGTTAGAACCGATAATGCTCAGCAGTGATAATGCACTCATAATACTAGAGAGCACCGCCATAGCTCCCAAGAGCTAGAAAGACAACGCCCTTTCTTGGCCCTCTTGAAATGCAACGTTATGTAATCGTCCTACCCTAACGACTGGTGGTTAGGAGCTCCCCCATTATACTGCATCGGTATCGCTGTTGCGTTACACTTACCTGGATTAAACCAATAGGATTGCAACCTCCAGCCCGTTGGACGTTGGGATGCTACCGACAGCTGCAGGACTAAGAGGTGGCTGGGCTATGTAATCGTGTTAGAACACCGACGCATAGAATATTCTTTAGAACAATGATAGAACAACGATTAATTAAGTCAAGATCTACTCAAGAAGTGCCTTTGCCCAGAGTTTAATACTTCGGAGTTAAGATCATCTGTTAAACTCGTTTTAAGCTCGCCATTCGATCCTACCAGCTAGTTAATTTTACCTATACGATTTTCAGCAATTGTAGGGCCGCAAGCAGCTAGCCTCAGCTTCAGCTTCTGATTCTGCTATCGAATATAGCTGGTACCATAACCCCAAACAACCCCCGGAGAACGCCCCTTTTTCTGAGTTGCGAAAGAACATTGCAGCTCGAATCCTTCTTGAGAAATTCTAGACCGGTCTTACACACCCTCTATCTTTCAATGATGCCAGCTTCTCGCCTAGTTGGGACTGTCCGAAGGCTACAAATACCACCACCCTTTTCGCCTGCAGGTGCTTATTACCTGTTGCAACTCTCCGGGGCGGGGAGTTGTGCCACGCGTTTTACTAGGTACCTATTCCACCCTTTCGGATAACACGGACTAAATACCTCATTATGTTAGGTATACTTTGTAATGATCACGCTGATTATTAGAGCACTGTGCCGTAGGCAAGGGACTTCTAATCGTTATGGATAAGTACTAGCCTCCGCCCTAACTTCCCGGCCCATATGCACGTAAGTTGGAGGATCTACCCTTCTTGTAGATATACCCAATCTTAATGTAACATTATAGTATTACTATTAACTTCGCACTGTGTCATCTACGTTGATTGGTGCGTTATTCGATATATTCCTGGGCAGTAGATTGTCCTTTTGTCCTCGGCTGTCAGCGGACTTGAGACTGTTTGGGTATAGTAAGCTGTTTTCGATTAACGCTGTGTGAGGCCAATACGATCTCAAAGTTATTTAGCAAAGACTCATATTCTATGCTATTACCTATTAATTGAGTAGACACGTTTGGAAAACAGGTATTTGTCTTGTAGATAACTTCGTTAACCCATAGTCATTGCCTTTTTCGTACCTTTTTTATTTATATTTACAACTTCAAATCGTTTCCATGCCCAAGACTCATCACCCCTACCGGTGGGACGCGTCGTATTATAATACAGAGGATCGGTTAACGAGCCGCTAGATTTACATGATACAGCAACTTCCAGGACTGTATGACATGATGCCCACACTCGTAAAAATCAATAATAACTCCTATTGTCGGTAGATTGCGCGCGACTATCGACTTTAAACCTTCCTGTATCCCGTAGCTCGATCTGTGATTCATTCAGGGGCCGAAACCCTCCTTTGCCAGCTGCCTGCTTGCTGCCAAATGTCGGTGGGTTTGATTGCGAGTCATACGTCGTAGTCTTGGAAGTTGATGTCAAACTAGACCATACTTTTGTGACACGTCCCGCAACTAACCTCATGGAATGGCCGAGTGCCGGCAGCGATGCTCCGATGAGGGCGACAGTAGGTTCAACTTGAGATGGTATCCAGAATGTCTCGCCATAACCATCGAACGACCCGGCAATAAAGCGTGAGGCTAGGTATTTGAAAACTAAGAACTTCTGTTAGATATGATAAAGATGAATAAAAGGAAAAGCCTTGTTAATACTGACAGGCGGGGTCCGTAACCACAAATCTTCGAATGCCATCCACAAATAACGCCAGCTTCAATGCAGCAGCAATGCTAGCCCTGAATTTGATATAAGTCGCTGCTTGAATAGCTTGGGGGGAATTGCTCACGCTGCACCCAACATGAAGATTACCAGGATACCAAGACGTCTTCGCCAGCCCATATTAAGCTTCACAACTGGGAATATTGGGAATACAAGCAGGACAACGTCGTACGCTAAGCTAACACTGTAGAGGCCGATCGTCGAGTACGTATAGTATAAGTCGTTGCAGTGTGTAGGATGCTGTAGAGGGTCCCACGCGTAGTAGAGTGGTCTGCAAGCGAAAGCAGGTGTTATGGAAAAGACCACGACATAGACACCCTGCAAGGCCAAAAATGCATAGAGGATCCGCCTGGTCGTGACGTTGTTACCGTGGCCGAAGATGCGCAGGTAGAACAGGGTGATGGAAACTCGAATGGTGCCTGACATTATAGGGTATAGCCATGCCGTCGCTACGATTCCTTTGTACCATAATGAATACTCCTCTATGGTGATTTCCCATAGTGGTTTATCGACTCCAGCATTCAGGTTGATATAGGCCGCTAAACTCGACCAGCCGATGTATAATATCTAGGTAGGTATCTTATAATGAGAAGAAGCGATCGTGCGTAACGCGGTGTCTTTAACTTACAGTCGCTGGTATGATGGCATAATCATCCGGTCCCAAATTCTTGGATCGAGCTCGGAGTGTAAGGCGCGCTACCACGAAGCCCGTAGTAACAATGCAGAGAGCTATACATGCGGCTGCGATTCTATAAACCTTATGGGTATCATCAACCTCCGCGGGAAATGGTATCAGTTCGTCCAGAGGCACAAGTGCAGCCATATCTTGCGATGATGGGCGGTAACACAGCAGTCAAATTAAAGTAGAGGCGATCGAGTCCAACTCTGGATGAAACTTGGGGGGGTATGATTTGGGGGAGAAAGGCAAGCACCTCAGTAATCTCATAGGTGCATCAAACCCGCCTTATAGGATCGTACCTTTTTTACGGAGGAGTATCGCAAGATGCCTCTAACATACAATGTGTCGTGACAATCAGAAGCCTTAAACACAACGGCGATACATAACTCCTTCGAATAAAACATCCATCTCTTGATACGAAATAACTTACTGTATGAGGAATATATTAGGCCTGCTTCAGACTATCGAAGCTACCCCAGAGACGGGAGGGCGACGGGCCCAGACATGTGAGATCCTATGTACATCAGACGAAAAGACGACCCCTCCAAGACCCAAGACCCTCTAGGTCGGGGGAAAGGTGGCACTGCATCTGGAGCCACGCTGACGCTTAATTTATCATGTCCTCCGTTACGATGGCCTGTCCAATAGAATACACAAGAGCAGATACGTTAAATAAAACCGTCCCATTACGGTTCGAATGACGAGCTATAATTCTGATCTTAACGTTCCGCCACTTTAGGACTCATCTATTTAAAGGATGACTAGTTTAGTTCTGAGCGCCTGAATGTTATACCGAATACTACCCAATTAATAAGTACTACTACATCCTACCCGCTCCTGCAAATCCACCTCTTTCTGACACTCACCCGGGTGCTTCGACATTCCAGGCCACCAACCTGCTTCGATACCACTATGTGATGTAACTTTAATGCATCAGAAACGAGGGAGGGTAGGATAGAATCTTGTATTTGTATTCACTCGCATGATACTACTCAGTTGGTTACACAACTTAATCATCTTGCCACACTGAGTGCAACTCCTGATCGCATGATTGGATGTAAGCCGACTCGATTAGATGTAGGTATGGATGACGAAGCGTTAGCAATTCATCTACCGAACAGTGCGCTATAACGAAGACGAATGGTATAGCGAACTTTGCGAGTGTTCAAATCTAAGATCGTTCGATAAGCTTAACCATCCTACCAACGCCTCTTCCACCGAATCTTCATATCCCGGTCCGGAGGGGTTGATATCGTGCCGGCGAAGTCTTTGCTGTTTCTTGGTGGCCGGTCGGACTTCTTGCCGTCTAGCGTTGTCCACTCGATGAATTCTATATCGAATTTAGAAACTATGATAGCGAGGCTCATGATGATTTGCTGCCTCGCAAAGTGCCGTCCAGGACACACCACATTACCCCCTCCTGTCGATGTAACTACCGTGTCAGCCAATACACTCCCGTACTAGTAACAGATTATACTCCTAAATTTGCCTGTAAGGGAACTCACCGAATGGGAAGAAGGAACTAGGACGAGCCTTTGCGAAGAATTCCGGTTGAGTGGTAGGATTTCCAGATTCGTCTTTTCCTTCCACCAGCCGAATATGCCTCCCTGGCCAGAACTCAGATGCTGGATGGCCGTCAATAGCCCAAACGGCCTCTTCGTAATGAGCTACATCCGTAGGAGCCTGTATTAGCGACCCCTTCTCTATACGGTAGCCACCGATAGATATAGTTTCACGAGCCTCTCGCGTCAGCATAAACGACGTGTGCATGCGTAATGTCTCTTGGAAGATTGCCTGTAAAAGGGGCGATGCTAGAAGTTTTTGCGTGTTTATGTGGCGTTCTCTAGTGTTTGCGTCAACCGTAATGGCTTTTTGAGCTTCGTCTCGCACATCTTGTAGAAGCCCGGGCCTCTGCAGAGATTCCATCATGGCCCACGTCACCGATGGGACACTATTTCCATTGATTCTGTACGTTATTAGCACGGTCGACCTAAAGATCATTACCCCAGTATTGGGGCGTGGACTAACCCGAACAATCTCGCCATAGTGTGGCCGGAGGCAGTTTCGATTGAGAGGTCATTTTCTTTCATCCATAACGCTATCTCCCGAGAAACTCGTGCACCAAAGTGAACGTCCCAGTCCGAATCTGCGTCGGGTCCATTCCAGTCAAAATTAGCCCATGCGGCGTTAAGATATTTCGCCATCATGGCACGTAGGCCATCTCGTATCTTATATGGTTGAGGGGTAATAAAGCTAGGTAAGCCCCAGACCAGCTTCCCAAGGTTGGCATCTACATCCCAGAGAGCATCAACGAGGCCCGGGTTGAGCTCAAGCATTCGAGGCCCAAACATGGTAATGATAGCACACTCCGGTATAGCGTACCTCATAAAAGCGAAAAGGTTGATAGTGGTCCATTCAGTTGTAGGAAACTCGTCAAGCCGCTTCGCTAGCACATCAAAGAAATGCCGACCTAGTTGATGACTGTAAGGAGGTTGGGTGAGATATTTGTCGTAGATCTGGTGTTCCGTATGCCATAGACGCTTTTGATCTGGGCTGGTCATTGTGCCTGGTATGGGAGACGTCAAACGACCAGTTTTGTCGTCTGCAAATCTCTTAGACTCCTCCTTCGGGACCCCCCATAGCTTATCTATAAGAATAAGAGGTACTATATTCGAATTCAACGATGAATTTGTGACAAACAACTTCTGAACAAGATTGGGCCCCGTTATCCAATAGACAGGTCTCAAGGCCAGGTTGAACCTAATAACTTTCCTCTCACGTAACAAGGGACTGTAATATAGTTAGTTTAAAGTGGTAGAGTTGTGTACCTAGCTCGGGACGAAGAATCTCACATAGCCCTATCAAGAAAAGCTCCCATATTGGTCAAGTTTTGGAAAGTATTGAATATAAAGGGGATAGGATCCTTGAGTTGCGCTGGTTCTTCCACCTTGTCGACAGCCTCCGTTCGAAATATGGCAGCATAACCAATCCACAGAATAATAGCGAGCGGAATGACGAGGAGTCGCACATCCACCACGCTGGATAAGCGATCATTGATAATATGAATGTTGCCCATGATCATACGTGAAAGTGCACTGCGTGCTAAACCTCATAAGTCGATCTTTACTAATGATGCAACTCGTAGGTATTTGGTTTATGGAGGGGCGCCTAATTTATAAATCAGTCTTATTCAAATTAATGTTCACGTAGCCAAAAGGTACCATTGGATTCGTATCTATACCTACCTACCTACGTAGTATTCACATGTGCCTAGAGACCAACAACTGTAACCATATTCAAGTATCCGTAACTATTGAAATAACCCATATAAGATTCATTTTGGATAGACCCACTTCTATAATCGCGGGCGCTAAACTAAGAATAATAATGGTGTTTGTTGGTCTAAATGTTCACCGAACAATAGCGAGGCGCTTTGGCGGAGTGGTTAACGCGATGCCCTGCTATATTTCACGATATACTGGAAGGCATTTCCTTCGGGAGCGCAGGTTCGAATCCTGCAGGCGTCGCTTCTAATAAATGTCACCAACTTCATTTTTATCTTTCCATCTTTAATAAAATATTCTTTTTTGTTTTTTTGTTTCTTTTTTTTTACTCCTCAATAATAACATCATATACCGTATTCTAACAGATGAACGAATCACGTGTTTAAATACGGCGTATATGCACGCTCGGTTCCCAGCGGACTCATCGCTATGACCATTCCGTCGAGTCACAGTCACGATTTGATTCGCTTGACATATCGAAATTTCATCATCGGTCTTTAGATGGCAATGCTTTGCAACGACAACATGTCTTCTCATTTTGGGAATAAATACCAGCTCAATCCCGGCGACCAAGTTTGATATTCGTGAATCCTCATCAGTTCAATTCCTCACCCAACCGCCTACATTCACGGATACGTAGCAGCAGCAATTAGAAAGCCCCTGAAAAGCCCCACGCTGAGATATCATCCTAGCCATCGCGGGATTTCTTAAACATCTCCACCTGCGGTGTGCCATTGACGATGGAGGCAAAGCCTCAAGCTATCGAGGTGCCAAGTAAACTTCAGTTCTCCCGTTCCACGAGAATTCTGCTTTGGGGCATCCTACCGGCCATATTTATCGCCCTCGGCATCGCATCGCCTCTGACGGCGCTGCTGTCTTTGTTCGTCCTAACCCCGACGTTCTTTCTGCTACGGTATGACCGCGCGCGTCCCGTAAACCAGAGGACGGACATCGAGACCTTTGTTTGGACGTATGTGCTTGTTGGTACCATTGGCGTTTTCGCCGTCATTGTTGTCCAGTCCCTCTTGTTCTACCTATTCAGTTATGCGCTGTTCCCGTCCTCGGCGCCTACCCTTCTTGCCGAGTTCGCAAGGGGTGAGGGTGAAGTCGCTAGTCTAGATGCCGAGACGTTAGCTGCGAGGAGACAGATGGCCGGTAGTTGGCAGTATTGGGTTTTCATGTTCTTGCTTGCGTATTTCGGTGCTAGTATTCCGGAAGAGCTTCTCAAGTATTCTGGATTAGCATATGCTCGACGCCGCGGGCGTATTACGCACGAGCATAATTATATTACGTTGGCAGCCGCAGCTGCTCTAGGCTTCAGCACTTTCGAGAACATCGGGTTCATCTATGCTGCCGTGCAGGAGAATAAGGGGGCTGCGCATCTTGCGGTAGCCACTGTTGAGCGCGTACTTATCGGTTCACCCATGCACCTGATGGGTGGCCTTCTCATCGGCCTGAGCACCGCCGACCGGGACTTCCGCGGGGAGACCTCGAGTCTGGCGCAGATTATAGGTCTTCCCGCCCTCATCCACGGGGCTTGGGATTTCTCGCTATTTGGCACCAGTGCCTTAAACGGGAATGTTGGATGGATTCACCCATACGGAAAGTCGTTGCTGGTTGTTCTCGCCATTGCTATTATCATCGAAGGTACACTGCTTCTCGTCGTCCGGAGGCGATTTGCTCCCTGGAATTCTCACGAGGTATGTTATTTTCCGCAATACTCAAGCCCGGGGTAGTTAGGTCAGCATAGTTGGATTGAGACTAACTTGCAATAGGGTAAAACGAAGTAGATGACCCACGAAGAGAATGTAAATGTACGAAAGAGAATGTATTTTACCAGATAGACTTAGCTCATTACTTGCATATATGATAGATACCCTACTCCTTATATCTCACGGCCTAGGAGATCTTTGCTAACATATTGTTAAAGAGAGCGCATGGTACTTTTTTTCGTAACTACTGGCATCTATAACTAAGGCCTTAGCTAAGAAACTTCAAATCGAGGCAGAGTTCAGAGCGAGCTCCTTAATAAATATATCAGCCGCCCTTTCTCCAACAGCCAATGCAGTGTCATTAGTATTCGCTGCCACATTACGGGCCGCAATACTAAGATCCGCAATCTTGAGGCCCTGGACCCCATAGACGCTTAGGCTAGAGTCAACTACACCCCTTTCAGCTTGTGGAAGCATCTTGCACGTCCCGAGCGAGTGTCAAGTGGTGCTCACGTTCTCGCGTAGCCACTTTTCCAGCACTACCTCGTCCTCGGCCGAATATTCGATATCAGGCACGTCGGCGGGGATTGGGCCGTCGCTACCGTGGACGCCCTTCAATCGCCTCTGGGAGTTTCGTGTACAGCCCCATGATGCCAGAGAAGATTGTACTCTTATGGCGTAGTTGATTGCTACCTAGGTAGGCATATATTAGGACTCTCACAGCTTTGAAGATTTAAAGGCTGTTATCCGGTTCGAAGGGAGGGGTTTCCTCGAAGGCTGTGTACCTAAATTGTAGGCTACACGCTCCTAGGGGCCTCTGCACCGGGGTATGTTGGATATAAATAAACTGCACGATTCAATAGGGTGGTAATATTAATTAAGCTATGGATACTTCGCAGTAATCATTGTTGCGTCTTTGTTGGTGCAGTCGTCGTGTTCAGTACCCCTTGCTTACCAAGTCGCTGTCCCTAGTTACCGGCTCTAAACAGGCACCATTACATTACCATCAAGGCTAAACATTGCGGTGATGATTTAGCTTCTAGAATCTAGATACGCAGCTGACAGCGAGGAAGTACTAGGTAAAGGATATGTAACTATAGGTGAGTGTCCATCGTCGGTGCATAGCTTCGGCATGTCTACTCGATCGAACCAACCCTTGCACGGCTGGTGTGGACGTCGGAGTAAGAATTCACTTAATCGAATCCGAATACCTTCATTATCTCCCTTGATTCAAGCCAACACGCCGTACAGAAAACCCCCAAGTCGCCCCCGTTACCTCCTGCCCAACGTAGTATACCTATATACTCCATAGATTCCGTAATAATAATTCCGCTGCAAAGTAGTAACAAAAGCCCATAGCGCCATGGCTTCCACATCAACAATTAGAACATCACTAGACCTTCGCACGAACATAGGAGCCCAGAGGAACTAAGGTGGCGAGAAGGGGGTTCTTCAACATCCGAATCCCGAAACCACCGGCAACGACGAACCTAGAGTTGAGCGAGGCGTCGGGGGCCTTAAATGGCTTCTTGTTATTCTAGCAGTCTTATCTTCAACCTTCCTGTACGCGCTCGACAACACCGTCACAGCAAGCGTACGGCCCAGCATGATTGAAACCTTCGGAAACCGGGTTGACATGCCATGCTTCCATGGCTTTCCGCCTCGTACCCTATGGGAGAAGTAGTCATGGCTCCTCTATGGTCCGTCTCTAAATACATCTACCTATCTCTATAGCCACCATGCTGTATTTCGTAAGAGACACTAACTACCTAACTAACTTGGCACAGGGGTACGCTCTATAAGCTTTTTAACAACAAGCTTCTGTACTTAATTGCGGTTCTCATATTCGAGATCGGCTCCGCGGTCATCGGCTCCGCACGGTCGATCGAGGCTGTTATCGCCGGTCGAGCCGTTGCCAGCAGCGGCGGATCTGGAATTTACGTCGGCACTATAAACATCATCTCGGATATGACCGCGGAGGCCGAAAGGGCAGTGAACTTGAACCATGTCGGTATGTGCTGGTGTCTTGGGACTATTCTCGGCCCCGTTATTGGCGGTGCATTCGCCGACTCGTCGGCTACTTGGCGATGGGCCTTTTACATCAACATCTGCATCGCTGCCGTTGCCGTTGCCGCACCGGCGTGTATTTTTCTCGTCCCCTCATCTCCTCCTCGCGCTGCGGGATCATCCCTATGGACCCGAGTTAAGCGCATAGATTACATCGGAGCGACCCTGTTCCTTCGAGGCACCCTCACTATTATCATGGTACTTAGTTTCGGCGGAGCCTTGTATAGCTGGACGAGCGGCCAAATGATCGGCTTATATGTAGCAACGGCAGTTATCTGGTCGACCTTTGGCATCCAGCAGTGTTGGAACCTGTTAACCGTCGACCGAATCTTTCCGGTCCAATTTTTCAGCGATTGGGCGATGGCTATATTCTTCTGTTGCGGCTCACTCGCGATCGCAAATGTTGTGATGACTGTCTATTCACTACCCCTTTTATTCCAATTTGTTTATGGCGATACAGCCTTGGGCTCAGCAGCTTACACAATTCCCTTCGTCGCCTCCACCGTCGTTTTTGGCGGCGCCGCCGGTCCTCTTTTTAATAGATACCCGGTATACATGCCCTGGTTTACTGACGGGGCTGCACTTATGCTCATCGGCAACGGCTTATTGACAACTATTGGTTATGCTGTCTCCCGAGGAGCCGTTTGCGGATATACTGTTATTCAAGGTGCAGGCTGTGGACCAGTCACGCAGCTCGGTTATACTGTAGCTCAGATCAAGGCTCGCCGTGCCGATCCGAATTCACTCCCTGATGTTACAGGCTTCATGAGTTGCTCTCAAATGGCCGGACTCGCACTATCTCTTGGTATTGCTACGACAATATTTCTTAACGGCACCACTAGAGATATCGCTATAATCCTTCCGGGCGTGCCACGTTCAGTCATTCAGGCAACTATTGATGGCGCCGGGACGTCTCTAGTCCAGGGTCTTAGCCCAGAACTTCAACTCCGTGTTCTAGAGGCTATTGCCAACAACGTAGCTACGGTATTTTACATGAATATTGCTGGAGCGGGACTAGGTCTCATTCTGTCACTTTTTTTGAAGCGCGAGAAATTGCAACTTGGTTTACCCGGTCGGTAATCTAGTTGTAAGTCTACACTTCGTCCGATAGAAGATACAGGAAAGCTAGAAACTCCCCCCTAATGTTAACACAAAAATATAAGAAGTATATCGTTTATTTCATCGAGTCCATTTTAATTGTTATGGACGGAAATGGTATCAAGTCTAACCCAGAAACCTAAGACATGCGCATGTATCCCTATGATATACCCGCTATAAAGTCGTAAAACACCGTTGTATAGTGAAACCCATACGAACAAGACCCGCCAATATACCTCGTGAGGAACCTCATGTACTCAATGATACCCCGCCAGCGAGGATGCGTAAGGCAAGCAGGCTGCTTAACTGCTCAACCCCCCTTCGTCGTGAACAACAGAGGTACGCTTCTCCAGGTGCTTCGCAGCTTCTTCGATATCCCGGCCTTGTGCCTCGACGAACCTCGCGGGTCGTTTTACGGAGGTAGAGTCGAGGTCCTTATGGAGAACTAGGGGTGGGTTGTCGCGGTAGTAGGCATCTAGATCCTCTAGAGTACGGTTGGCGGTCTCGGGGTAGAAGAGCCATATGATGGGCAAGAATAGCGCGTTTGTCACTGTCCAGATGATGTAGAACTTCCAGCCTAGCTTTTGGATACCGATGGGTGTCACTTCGACGACGACGAAGTTTGTGAGCCAGTTCGTCATGGTGGCAACAGCAGCTCCCTTTGTTCGCATAGGAAGACTGTAACAGGTCAGCAATTACCTCTCAATTTTGAGGGTCCGAGATAGAGTCTTGAACTTACGAATTGATTTCAGTAGGGTACAGCCATGGGATACCCAACATTCCTAAGCCAAAACCCATGTAGTAGATGAAGAACCATACGACGGAAGCCTTGGATACTTCAATCTTCTGAAGGTAGTCAGGTTGCTCCGCGAAGTGGAGTAGGACGGTGACAAGCAAGAAGCAGACTAGTTGGATTGCAGTGGAAACCATCATCATGATGCGGCGGCCAACCCTTTCCACAAGGGGCGCTGCCACTAAAGATGCGAAGAGGTAGGCAACTGATGCACAAGCAGCAATGAGACGGGCCATGCTCTCGTCTAGCTTGACGGACTCGATCAACACGGTAGGAAGGTAGTAGGACATGATCTAGTTTATGTTAGCATCCTGTATTTAATTATACAGTCCAGCTCCCTATGAAACAGCTGGGGTAAGGGGTAAAGAGTGTGCACTCTTCCTTAACCTCAGGCTGGTGCGGAGGGAATAAGTATTAAAAATCGAGTTAGGTTACTCACTACCTCCTAGTTAGCATGTGTATAAAATAAGTTACAGATTGAGAATAAGATGTGCTCTTGTACTTACCATTAATGCCACCAAATTGTTGCATGGCTTGAGTACCAGAGCCGAGGATCAGTCGTCGAATGGTTTTGGTTCCGGACTGGGTGCGGCCTCGGAGAAGATCACCCCAGTTAATGGCGTTTTGGCGCTCGTACTCGATACCGAATACGATTTCTTCGCGCTCGGCGATTATGTAGGGGTCATCAATCGGCTTGTCTTCTAAATCCGCCAAGATCTTAATCGCTTCGTCCTCCCGACCATGTGCAAACATCCATCTATAGCGGGAATCAGTAAATCACACATTTTAAGCAGCTTTGATGTAGATAAAACACTTACCTGGGCGACTCCGGTAGCCATGGGACAGTAAGGAATAGGACGATGCAGAAAGCGATCTGGAGAGCCAGGGGGAGTCGCCATTCGATGGAGCCTCCAACGAATGACATTCCATAGTTAACCCAGTTACTCAATGAAAAACCAAAGATGTTTAAGCCCATCTCGATCATAACAAGCAGTCCTCTGTTTTCCACCTTGGAAGTCTCTGTTTGCCAAACAGGAGCAGTAGCTGTGTTGATTCCGTTACCGATACTATTCCACAGGTCAGTTTGATGATTACTCGGTATGAAGTCCCGGTGGTGTATACCCTGTGACGATACGACCGACTATCATGTGCGGAACACTGAAAGAGCTCGTTTGAAGAATAGCGCCGACACTCATGATAACGGTGCCGACAAGCACGGTTTTCTTTCGGCCGATCGTCTCTCCGATGTAAAATGCGGTAACGGCACCCAGGAAACAACCGATGGTATAAATTGAGGTGATGATTGATAGAACACTTGTTTTCTCCGGGCCATGTAGGTCGTGGACGTCTAGATAGTCTTTCGAAATAACAACACCGCCTAAAGCCAAGGCGTTAATACCGGTAAGATATATAACATTCATAGGATGGCTACTTACTGAAAACACCTTGATCATAACCAAAAAGGGTCATGTCTGTAGCGCAAGCGAGCTATGATTGTTAGCTCCATATGATTTATTCGGAAATAGGCATTGTTGGCTTACAGTGATCCAGAAGGTCAGCCATTTGCCCTTGAACCCAAAGTAGGGCTCTTTTACTCGTGATACTGCCATCTTGTTATGAGCAACTACAGAGCTGTGTCTGCTCCTTAATTCGTACTCTGGAGACAGACGAGGAGAGGTTTGAAAAGTAGGTAGTTGGACGTGTCAAAGCGGAAAGCGGAACAATGAAGTACGACTCGGTGGGCAGATGTTCTTTATATACAACGATGTACAATGGACTTATAAAGTACCATGAATACCATGAAGTACGTATGTCAAGAATTGTATTCCGTATTTGGTTAAACCCATGATTATATGCCAGGCCGTTAATGGACAATCCAACAGGGGTTTTCCTACGATACGTGATCTTGTGGTTGATCAAGTTTTGTTACACTGTCTGACTGGAAAGTTGAATTGTCCAATTAAACAAGGTTCGCGTTCCAGCTGTGGGGGTTAGCAGCGGTAACAGCTGGGGAATCTGGAGAGGCAGGGATTAGACTTCGGCGTCATCCCGCGCAAAAATTCCTGAAAAGCCCCGACGTACGGTATCAGGTGACTTAACCTTACCGCATTTAGTATAGTCAACTGAGGCCATTAACGGCTTTACATCTTAGCTGTGTTATTGCCACAGTCGTTCTCTGACCAATAAGCATAACCGATTGAGGTTTGCCCCAAGCAATTACGCCTCGTAACGCCGAGATATATGTCATAGGACGACTGTTATTCTATGTAAACGCACTAAAAAGAAAGTGGTTCCAGCTTGCCGAGAACGGTACCCGCTTAATACCCGCTTAATTCTCTCCACTTGGCAACATTTTTAACGGGGACTTCTGGACCTTCATAGGCCCCTGAATCTCCCCATGGGCATGGAAACGTTAGGTGGTCGTCTGCATTCCAACACCCCAAGATCTCTCCACAAACTCGCAACTCGTCGGTAGCGGAGTGCATGTAAAGACTTTGGGGTTCCTCCGCATCCAGCCGGAAACATTCGGGGAAATCGCATCACCTCATTTCTATGTATGTCGAGTTCGACAGAATAATTCAAACCCCTTTGTAACTATGTATTACGTAGTAAGCGCATTGGGAAATACTACATACATTTTCCGCATCTTTTGCGTTTCTTCTGCATTTCTACCCAAACGCCTAGAACATACGTCATAGCGCATAAAGTCGCAACCGTGGGGCCCCATTTCGGGGGGTTTGGGGAGGCTTGGGGCTTGGGGGGGTGTTGGGGCTGCAGTAGGAGGCTGAAAAGAAATGAACAAAAACCCGTCATCTGCGGAGTCGCCTACCCCTGATCATGTCCTATATCGTAACCATGGTCCATAGATGAAAAATCCCTCGTACATATGGATAACGCACTTACGCACAGAAGACCCATTATGATCCACAGAACGGCCGATTCATCGACATCAGACTTGTCACAAATCAGAAACCAAGAATTGTGAAAAATGAAGTTCATTCGCACACGTGGTTTTAGTTGCATATGGCCCCTACGCCGATTACTGCTACTAATCGCAGCCGGCGGCATTAGTTGGCTCGAGCTAACAAATACTCTATCATTCAGGCCAATGACGACTTGGCGTTTAGCAATCTACAGCACGACCTTACCTTAAGCGCAGTAGTGGCGCGAACGGACGTAAGCGAGCCGTGGGACTTGGCGAAAGAGGCTCTAAAGGACTTCAGGAACTATTCAGGGGTTCTCCAGGGATTATTCAGGGGCAGATTTGGGTAATGACTAAGCTAGTCTATCAGATAAACGAGGCGAAAAAGGATGGAGGAAAAGAATGGCGAGAAACACGAGTCATAAAAGTCGACTTCTCTATGTAAGCTAAGATACATGCAGCAGTCCGTTACTACCCAGTTTATCGGTAGGCCGAAGTCTAGGTATAATAGATATGTAATAGATAGGGTATTCGCAAAGTCTCGCGCAGAGAACCAGTTCCAGGCGCATAGAATCCCAGCCCTGTTCGATATCTTATTCTTGGCGTTTCTCATACATTAGGGTCTGATTCGGTCAACTTTGCAATACCGATTCCCGCCCGCTCGGAATCCTTCGAACGCAACAACTTAGCCGTCAGATGTCTCGAGGTAACACTCGGGTCCGATCCGACCATTCAGATCCTGCATGAGTCGGTGGCCACGGGTTATACTCCGAGCTGGTAAGAAATACCACCCACCCTCACGCGTTGATGTGTATACTCAAATAATATGAGACGTGACATCGTTCACTTTCTGTCTAACGCAGTCCCGATATATCTTCTAGTGACAGGCCTAGGCAAGGGACGATCATGAATCTTACCTATATTGCGGGATTAATAGATTTTCGCATTTGCTTTTTTGTCATCCGTTGAACAACAATCTATAAGACATGGCTATAATGTTGAGTTGTCGGGAAAACGGAAGAAGCATAATGCAGATCCCAACTAGAAGTCTTGTCTCACATAGCGCTGGTCTTGTCGCCGCATGCCAAGTGGCATAAGACTTGTATTCGAGTTTGAATAGGTATAAGTAATGATTATAACTACTATAGCCACTAGCAACGAGCACGCTAACTCACCTGTATAAAACAAGACATCACACCGACTATACCGACTATACCTCGTAGATAAGGAGGAGTAAACTGAAGTCGTACAGCATACTCTTAATTCAGGTAAATGTATCTCAAAATACAGTTGACGGACGTTTGTCACCTACGAACAGTCCCAAAGCCTCGGATCGTAACGTCACATTTGATCGGAAACGGCTACCTATAACTGTGGTGTGCCCCAGATCTGATTGATTATTCACCATCGTGTTACTTCGCTAGAAAAGCAGTAGGTAATAATGATCTACCAGAAATCTAGGCATTTGCACTATCTATGTTAATACGCCGAGCCTTTTTTCATATCGTTATTACACTACACCCCCAACCTACGGCGAAGACCCGGCGGCTTGGTATACGGCACTAAAAGACAAGACCCCATATAATTCCTCGAAGATCTTCAAACAACATGCTTTGCGGAGATAGACCATCTTAACCCTGAGCCGATCCCCCTCGTAAAACACGATGTTCCCGCTGTTAGTGTGGGAAGGCATTCGTTGCCATATCAGCCAGTAATATAGCTATGCTAAGATAGCCTCAAGAGCAAGGGTTTATCCACAAGAGGGACTTGCGCACTTTCCAAGAGCCTTAATTTAACAGTTGTTTCCTGGTGGAGGTGATCGTGATCGTGCCCAACCCTAGTGGGCCTTGCGAAACGGTTGGCAAAAACTACGAATAGTTGACTTAGGTTGGTTAGGTAATTTCCACAAAACCTACTGCCGGATTTAACTTGGCGATTCCTTACTTTCATTGGAAAAGGCGGTGCGTCGGAGCGTACGTCCGGTTTTCGATACCCCAACGTCGGCGCCCCGAATTAATTATCCCAGGAATAAAGCCCGCCGGTCTTCCCCGAACAGTCTTCCGACTCGTACAGCAGCCCGTACAGCAGCCCAATATCGGACCGAACCGCTCTCATATATCACCTGCAGTGCCTCGCACGAGCAGTCAGACGGGTAGAGCTTTTGGTGTAGCGTCGTCATTGACTCCGTAGGTACTCTATTTCTTTGCCTTAGACCACTTTCCTTCGAAAACACATTCTTCTAAGAGTTATTATCTCCAATTTCAAGGGGTTATCTAATTTCGAGATTACCAAGTCCTCTTCAAAAGCAAGCCCCAGCTATAGGTACTCTATGCAGTATATACTCTCGCCTTAAACGTGGCTCATAGAGGCAATGTTTAACTCATTTGACTTCTTAAACTACTTTAATCTTCGTGTTGAGATGTTATTAGTCCCATTCTATAATTCAAATCTCTCTATTCATGTTAATCTTCGTACTACAAGAACTCTCTTAGTAGAGATATATATAAGAAAATGGGATGGTGAACGGGTAGTAATTCCCTCTTTAGAATAGAGAATGGCACGGGCGATCGGTAGATATAATTAAAGATAAGTATAATCTCTAGCATATATAAGGCTATAGATCCCGTCTACCACGGGTACAAGATAGACATTAGATTTATCAGAGACCTTAGTGCTAGAGAATATTACTGTCACCACCAGCCGCAGGTCTCGCTTAGAATACCAAGTGCTTTCTTCGTGGAAATCGCTACAAAGTTGTTGCCTACCTAGCTATTTTAAAGGGTCCTCGGACTTTACGGCCGGAGAAGAATGTGTCATAGACCCACGAATCATCATAAATATGGAGCTAGGATACACCGATGTCAAACGATATTATATAGGAGGTCCGCCAAGAACACCAAGTATTAGAAAGTCTTGTCCTGGTTATACTAGTCAGAAATAGCTATCCGTATAGCCGGAACCTCGAATTAATAAAATTCACGCGCGCATACAAGACCAGCACTTCCGCACTGTATGATTTGAGCTGTGACAAGAGTATTTCTTCACAGCAACGAAAGATTCCTAACAGCTCATAAAATGGGGCTAATACGGTTCCGCTGAAGTGACCATTATGTATCTCTTTAAGACCCAAACAAGGGTCTGTAAACTAGCGCCGTTCGCTACCAGCCGTTTTTATACAGATCTAAGTGATATGTTTTGATGAATGGCCCAGCTCGAAGGTTGACTTTAAAGTTATGCAATTTTGATGGAGAAGGCAAGTAAATCAGCTGGTAGCGAATGGCGCTAGTTTACAGACCCTTGTTTGGGTCTTAAAGAGATAGTCGATGTTGCCTAATATCATTATTAAACTATTAATATTTTCGACAATGGGTAACATAACATTTATATAGGAGGTATGTTTAAAGATGATAGATGTTATGCCCCAGCCGCAGAGAAACAATATTTCCAAGGAGACGCTGGGAAAGATGGAAGGACTTTTTTAACCAAACAAATACTCGAGGAAATATAAAGATGCCATCTACCGAAGCCTTAGTATGAGGGTCCGGTAGTCTATTAAAATATGTAGAAGCCCGAGGCAGTCCCTCCTCTCTCTAGAATAAACTCTGACCCCGTCATTTTCTGACAGCTTGGGCTCCTAACAAGGAGTAAGTAACGAGTTTCTATTATTTCGAGACGAAGGCATTTTTACCCCTTCCTAGAAAGGGGTAAATCACAAAGAACTATTAGCAATTTCTACAGATCCGCCACCTGAAGTAGAACTATAAGAGTTACGATGAGCTTATACAACCACAAGAGACGGTAAACTTATATCCAGTATCCAGAGCGGCGACGTTCACCCATCAAACTTGTATGTCGTCTAACGCTGGTTCCAACTTTGCCGTTAAATGCACACACAACAAGGGGGAAAAAGTTTCGTGAAAAAAAAGAACAATAAATATAAATAAAACCGACAAAAAAGCTAGGACCCAGAATCCGAACCACGGCATTTGACCTGAGCAGTTGGTCTGCCTGCCGCCCTGCCTTAGGCTCGAACCCGGAAGTCTTACGAAAAACCCCCCTCGAGGGATTATTTCTGACTCTACCTCAACCAACCGCTAGGCCACGACCATGTTGAACCCAGGCGGCGGCTGATAAGAGATGGAAGGAAAGGGCGTTATTGGCAGTTATATATACGTTCAGTTTCGTTGCCAGGTAACTAGGTAGGTAGGTAGGTACCGGTCCGCCAGGCAACAACTGCTTGTCATATCTGAGACGACACGCCATCAATAGGGGCGACCGGTCGACGGGGGCGAGAAAGGGAATGCAAGAGGGTTGTTCTAGTAAGGTACTTTAATGCGTGCCTAATAGGTAATTCAACCTATCTTGTATCTAGCATATAGGACTCGTAAATGATATTGTATATTTCCATATCACGGGATAATACACACATATAGGTACCTGTCAGTTCAAATATTAGCCAGTTAGTTATAGTACAGTAACGTTTCTCAAATTTATAAATACAAATACATTCGAAGCCCTTGCTCTACTTTTATGATGACATTATTTCTCCACACTAGTCGAGCAGCAACCTTGTGAAAAAACCCGAGCCTAAAGGGTTGCTCTATATGTATAACAGGCAATATATATTCTGTCCTCATCCTGTTAGGCAATGCATACGCGTCGACATATGCCTTGCAAGGTACATCCGCTTCCTTTACATACTACTGTAGAATATAGAAACCCAATCTATCAAACAACATAACAACCTTGACACAGTATACCCTTTGCGATTTTTGGTATCTATGCCGTACCCCCAACACCCGACGTGTACGTAAGCCCCCAGTTTCCGCCCATGCAAATGCAAATAGAGATAGCCGCACCAACCCAACCGATCAAAACCAATCCTACCTTCGCCGAAATTGAACTCGCACACTGGAGTAGACTGTTGAAGTATAATATACGGTCACACCAAGGCATAATCAATATGGCTTATGAGCTAAGCAGATCCTTGACGCTCATGCCTCGTCCCGAACCACTGCTAGCCATTCCCCTACGGTCCACATTGAGCATTAGAAGTGCTGCAGAGGCTTCCTGATCTATCTCCTGCTGCGGTCTTAGAGCCGGACTGGCCAGAGTTGAATGCGACGTCGATGCGATCCCCACATGTTGTGGATACCCCTGAGGACCAAAGGCCGGGGAGGTATTATTAGAAGGTCCACTATAACTGTAATGGCGATACTCGGTGGGGATGGACGGGTAAGAGTGATGTCTACCTCGGGCGTCTTGTGCCACTAGCGCCGGCGATATAGACGATTGATTAGAGCGAGCAGGAGTCTGCGCATAAATAGGAGATGGCGCTTCCGAACTCGTCATTTCAACATCTTCTTGACCTTCCTCGTCATCTTTATCCTCGTCCATATCATACGCGTCAACGTCATTTGACGGGGTGAGCTTAAACTGAGATGGAGCTGGTGTGGCCGATTGATCATGGTGTTGCTCTTTCAACTTGGTAATACAATCTTCGAGGTATCGCACGTATTCGATAGAAGCCTGAAAGAGCAAAGATTAATATGAAATAACTATTGCTATAATCTAATATCTTTAAACGGACGTACCTGAAGGATAGCCAACTTGTGCATCTCGCCGGTGCAAGCAGGTATCAAACCTTTAAGCACCGCGAACTCTTCATTCATCTTGGACCTCCGACGGCGTTCAATCAAACTATGGGCCGTCTTCCTAGCGATCTTCCTCCCCGCAGCGCTAGTTGCTGATGGCTGCTTCTTCTTAGACCCGGCACCGGCGGTACTCTTGCCGGTGGTGGCGGGTGCCGTTTTATCTAGGGAGGGCTGCTCAACGGGCTCTTCCTGAGGACGGGGCTTCATCTGAATGATCCTGCGAGATCTCGTCGGCGGAGGAGGCAAAGCAAACGTCTCCTTCTGCGCGGCAGACGAGCGTCTTCTCGACTTGACCGTCTCGCTTGGTTGGACCGGGTAGGTCGTCTTGGTAGATGGCGATACGGGTGACGTCTTAGCTCGGGAGTTGGGTTGCTGGGATTTCGCATTTGGCCCTATGGCCGATGGAGGCAGCTCAAAAGACATCTGCAAAGTGGAGAGCTGATGTGAATGGTCCTGTCCCTTGATCTCGGTAGAGGACGCCGGAGTTGGCGGCATCTTTAGGCTCGTCATTTTTGAATGAAGGCCTAATGAACTACTTGTCTTAGTGGTCACACGACAAGGCGGCTTGATACGATGCTATCTGAGACACAACGTTCGAAAGCCGGCCAGCCTAAGCAGAGTAGGTTTGCAATTCAATTTCTAGCTCGGCTAAAGGCCCGGTTTCAAATTCGAAAGTTGGGCGTCGCCGCGAGTGGTGACTAGATCAGGCCGTCACGTAGGCGTAAGGTAACAAGGGATGTTTGCCGCGATAAGGAGATTCCCTCCCTTGCTCATAGAACCATAGCAAGAAGTTGGAGGAGAGAATAATGAAGACGGTAATGAGGTCCTGCTTCTTCCGATCATAAAAAGATAACTTGGGGAGGGGACAGAGTCTGGATGTACGTTGGACATGGTGAAAAGTTTCATCGAGGTCGTCGAAGCATTGAATGGTGTCGACTCGAGGCACGCGATCAATTAGAGCTCTGACATTGGCTGAAGTTAATGAAGAACCAATCAGAGACGAGAATAGAGCAACGTGCCATGGTGGATTGGCCTGTGCAGCCCATGATCCATCCCCCATGTACAACATCTAGGTTAAGTCTCGGCTTTCACAACCAGAACCTTCTTGATCCTGGCGAAGTCTTGGCCGGCAGGTCCTTTTGATACATCTCTCTCCTTCCGCGTCTGATGAGATGAAGCCCCATTGGTTGGCTCTATCCAAAGTCAACCTAGACCCCTTACCGCGATGCGAGCTTGGGCACGTGAATAGAGACTGTTCAATGGCATTACGGATCTAAGAACATGGACAGGAAATATCCAATGATCGTGCCGGGTTCTTTTGCAGTTCAAGTCTGGAACCTTTTCTTTTTCTCAATTACCCGGGGTGAGTATTACTTACTTTAGGTATGTAAACGAGTAGTTGTTTAAGTAAGTCAAAAATATTAAGATGGGGATGCGGCATATGAAATATTATCCGGTGAGTTATGTAATCCTTAGCAGATCGCGATGATGAATAAGCGCCACTACGTAATTAAAGAATCGATTCACGTGTTAATCCCGGATGTGTAACCAGAGATGTATGTAAAGGTTGTTAAAGTCGTTATTGAAAAGAAGCTTTAGTTGTTACGCATCGAGGTTCCGATTACAAGTCAAGGTTAGGATCTACTTCTCAATTATATATTTAATCTTCCAAAGTTATACATTAGACAATTCGTATACTCATCTTTACATCTTCTAGTACTTTAAACAAAAGTGAACCTTGAACCTGTCATAATCCCGCTGAGTCCAGCATTGTTATACTTATTTAGATGTCTTTTTCTCATTTCGATGCTACTATGTACATCACGTAATGGAGTAATAATTCCATATTACCTAAACCCCCGATTTGCATTCGTATTCCATATGCTAATTGGTGCATGTCTACGATAATCGCGTTTGGTATAAGCCTATAAGGGAAGAAAGCCACGATGTCCTACATAAGGCATAGTTCGTTCCCACATTATGATCTCACAACATGCTGACGACAGCATGCATGCGATATCATTGAATTGCGGCTCGTCGCGTCGCTTAGGCTCCTTCTTATCTTGGGTGATGTCTTACCGATATCGTATGTAAACAATGAATAAAAACGTCTCTCTTCTACCTTTCTAGAAATTTATCTAGGTACCTCCTAGGTACGCAGTGATCTATAGACTATAACCAGCGGAGGAATCATGCGACCATTTTCCTTTTTCGGCGCGTTGCTGCTAGGCCGTGACACTGTTGCAGCCGCGGGCAACAATCCGCAAGTAGTCGACACCAAGAACAATGTTACGTATCGTGGACTCGATCGCAATGGTGTCGAGGCGTTCCTGAATATCCCGTACGGGCAAGACACGAGCGGCCCGAACCGATTCAAGCCGCCGCGAGCCTTCGTGCCAGAGTCGGGTTGCATAATCGATGCCGTGTCTTATGGCCCCGCGTGTCCCCAGCCTTTAGGAAATGACTTCCTCCCGCTAGGATTGACTAACACGACGGAAATATCGGAAGACTGCCTGAACTTGAATGTGATCCGACCCAAGTGCCAGCGTGCCGGGGACCGGCTTCCGGTTCTAGTCTGGATTTATGGCGGCGGCTTTTGGGAGGGTCAGAACCGGGAGATTACTACTGCGCCCGACGGCATGATCCTTGAGTCCGTCGCGAACGGACTTCCTATCATTCACGTAGCGATGAACTATCGTCTTGGGTGTAAGTAACACGCGCCCCTTAGTAAATCAGGTGAGACATAACCAATATTAACACAACCATATCCAGTCTTTGGATTCGCACAATCCAATGCTCTTGAGGCCGAGGGTTCCGAGAACGCCGGGTTGAGAGACCAGCGGCTCGCTATTGAGTGGGTTCGCGACAACATCGAGTACTTCGGTGGCGATCCCGAGAAGATAACTATCCACGGGCAATCATCTGGAGGTAAGTCGTCTTCGAGTCTATTATCCAGCCTCTCTCTAATCAGATAATACAGGTCTCGCCGTCGGCATGCAGATTATGGCTTATGGTGGAAGCAAGCCAGCTCCGTTCCAGCAGGGAATATGCGAAAGCCAAGCCCTAGAGCCGGGCATCACAGCAAATTTCACCATCGATGCCTTGCAGCTCGTCGTGGATCATGTTAGCTGTAACACGAGTGCTCTGCATTCGCCAGAGACAGTAGCGTGTTTACGGGATCTAGACATGGATACTCTCTTGAATGCATCAGCGGCGACGTACCAAGCCGACATCGCCCATAATATCGGCGACATCTGGTTACCAGTCGTCGATGGCGATTTTCTTCCCGCTCCACCGTCCCAACTTATAGCCGAAGGGAGATTCGCCAACGTAACGGTCATGATGGGCTGGTGCGACAACGACCTAACCCTATTTACGGACACCAGTATCTCCACCCCGCAGGACACTCGCAGTTTTATCAAGACATATATCTCTTCCGTGAGCGACGCCAATATCGACAAGCTAATCTCATTATATCCATCTTCTGAATTCGCTGCCAACCCTACAGCTAACCTATCAAGTGAATTCTACCGTACGGCGCGCATCTTTCGGGATATCCTAATGGTATGCGAGCCGGTATACTACGGAGCCGCGCTCGCGGCTAAGGGCAACAGCGTCTACCTATACGACTGGAATCAGACAATCCTAGATCCCATCTTAGCATATACGGACGGTATATCAGGGTTAGGCCCCATCCACACATCCGAGTTTGCATACATTTTCGGGAACATCTCACACTACAACGTCTCTAACTACCCGTTCAATCCCACTCCCGAAGATTATAGTCTTGTGACCCGTGGCTCACGATCATGGTCGACATTCACGAGCCGCGGAGTGCCGGGCCTCGAGGGCCACGATACGTTCGAAGGATTCGCACCCTCTTTTCCTGTGGGTGGCCAAGGCAATTCCGATGGGACGTTCTCGGTATTCGTTGCCGGAGGGCCAAGCGAGGGTTTCTCGGCCACTGACGGTCCTGGCTCCACGCCCGAAATAGCCGCACAGAAGCTAAAGGAGAGATGTGCTTTTATCAACTCGGAGGAGATCATCAATAAGCTTTACTATTGATTTATTGGCTACATAACTACATACCTACATAAAGTCGCATCCATATAATTCTACTTAATTAATATCATAATATATTCATGTAGAGCTGACAATTACGAACCCAAACTTTCTTGCGCTAGGTCGGGACCAGTTAGTATTTTCAGTATACGAATAGATAAATGCATCGGATTAACAAGAGCTTTGACTTGAGATACAGCCTTTTGCGCTATTTAATCCTCGTAAACCCCTGTTCTTTAGAGAGTAAGATCGATGGCGTCGATGACATAGGTAAATGACAAGAAACATATTCTTAGGTGTGGGAGTATTGGCCCCATCCTGGACAAGACTCAATGAATTACTTCCGAGACTTCATATTCCATTATCGTTCCGAGCTTCAAGTTACCTAGGTAGGTAGCTTGGGACATCTATATCCTATATGTTATTCTTGGATTTAGGGGTTTAGGAGTGTAAATGAAAATTTGGGGTTCTATTAAGTATATCATTAGCTCTCTACACTCTCTTTTAGTATGCAATGCTTCGAAATGCTGCTTTATCTAGACGCCTTTAATGCGGTCGTATCGTTTCGTCTTTCATCATTAGTCATTCCACTGCTTACATGAGCTTTGAAATCCGACTTGCCTCCAAGTCCATCAACGAGTGGCGTTGAATCATCTGGTACAAGAACCCCTTAACCAAGTTCATCAAAATCATCATCCCAACCCAACCGTTCGAAAATCGAAACCTTCCTCTCGGGCTCCTTCACATCACTAGTAGATTTCCTAGTATCGGCGATATTGGCAACATCTTTATCAAGGATCCTCCGTTTAATTGGTGTAGCTGCCACAAGCCCTTTTAGTGGAATAGGTGCAGTGCGAGGCTTAACTGGAGTCTCTGCGAGTGCACCAGGAGGAGAACTAGGCATTTCAATTCCGCTATCGCGGAAGGACATCATGGACACTTTCCGAGCCACGATAGGTGATGATGCAAGAATATCTGTCTCATCGACCTCGGGGAAAAGCAGAGAGCTCTGCCTAAGGGTCGAGGGCCTGGCAGGGGTTGCCTGAACCTGATCTGCCGAGGTCTTCGGACGGGGAGAGGTTTGGAATTTATCGAGAGTAAATGCTGCTTCGTAAGTACGTTTCCTTGGCGCCGAAGAAGGAACCAAGGAAGATGAGGGTGTACTACTTGGTTCAGCAGGCCCCATAACTCGAGAACGACTTGGTTGATTGCCGGCGCTCATGCCTAGTACATCCTTGAAACGCTTTCCGATAGGAGTTGCCTTGACCACGTCGGGGGGTCTGTGTTGAGTCGGCTTTCGCGATTCTATAGGTAGGTTAACATCATACGAAAGTGGGAGGTAAAATGAAATCAACATTTACTTACTCTTTAGTTGAGAGAGACTAGTAATAGCACGTCTCTCGTCTGCTTCGGCCATGGCCTTACTGATAACGTCCCTATTAGGACGTCTCAGGGCAGATATCGCGTCATGTAATTCCGCCTTAACTAAAGCGTCCTTCTTTGCCCTCTCCCCTTCTGATCTTCGTTTGATGGGCACCAATGAAGGTGCACGTGATGTATTGTCTTTAGATGTAATAGAGTCTGCTTTGGGGATGTTTGAGATGGATAATGGCTCACTCGCTTCTCGCTTCAACATGGAAGTGGATGCGGATCTCATCAATGCTATCACTCCGCTTGGGCCACGTGACATGCTTCGACGATGCTTCTCGGTCTCCTTAGAAAGAACACTCTCAAGTGTCTTGGATGATTTGGATGTTGGACGCTTCGTTGCGGAGCTAGATCTCGGCTTCGATTTTACAACTGGCTCTGGGTGTTCTAGGTTTTTCGACTTAGGCTTCGATGGCGGCATCATGACTGGCCCACCTAGCTTACGGTTGATCGAATCACACTTTTCCGGTAATCTTGCAGAGAAGCTTTTGGGTAAATGTTAGTACCTATCAATGATTTCTCATAAATCAAGGGGCTTTCTTACAATGGTACGATTATATCGACACAGAAATCTTTCAACGGGTCTGATGTAGCCTTTAACGACTTCTGCGTCTCTAACTGTGTGCTCACCTGGGTGTCATCCGGCAATTTAACCTCATCTAATGCAGTAGATTGCCAAATGCATAGTCGGTCCGCGTGAACATCAACGAGTGACGGTAAGTTATGTCGGTTGCGTTTCTTCGTAGAGCTATCCTTGAGTGCTTCAGCAGGAACCTCTTCGAGAGGTAGGCCCGGTAGTTGTGAGTCCTGGTTATTCTGAGACGGAACTAATGGTTCTAATGCTAAGATTTCGAGTATGATGATCATTTGCAATTGCGTCTCCCTCGAACGCAACCATGTTACTTGAAGCTTAGTATCCTGCGGTTCAGTTGTTGTCATTGCTTCATCGTCTTTGAACTCAGGCTTGCGAGCACTCCACCACTTTTGAATATGTTCATGCTCCATCGGATACAATCCATTTTTGCCAAGCTTCATCTTCCTAGTCTTCCGCTTCTTCATCTTCGCGTTACCTTGTTCAACATCGGAGTCTTGGAAGATAGGCTTCATCTTAGAAATTAGGTCCGGAATTGTTTCCCGATACTTCTTGTCGATCTGTGTGGTCGTCATAACAAGACTTTTCAAAAAGTCCACGAGATCATTCATATCCAGATTTGAATCGCAATCCAGATGAAAAGCAGCACGTGCTCGAGATAGAGGACCTTTCGCAAAATATGCTAGGGAACCCTAGGGAAAATGTTAGACAACTAGCGAGGCAAAATATACTCGAGGAGCCTACCATTGAATGATAAAGAGATTCAAAATACTGATTACGAATATTATCGAATATACCCTCTGCAGTTGGCGTCGTCATCAACTGGCCCACTGTAGGGGCGCTTGGTACCTGGCTCTGAGTTTGAGATTCGGACTTCTCGGTGAATAGACTTTCTAGGGAAATTTGGGCGATGTCAGGCTGCGACTCGTCATTGTCTTGGCTAGGCGTATGTGGCCGTACGGGTGGAATAAGTTGGGATGTCGTCGAAACAGAACGAGATCTCGCAGGCTTCTTTACTAGAGATTGTATGGCTTCTATAGCAAGTCTCCTTTTCTTAGTCTCGTGGTGCAGGTGGGGAGTAGTCAATGGGTACGATGCATTGGAATTTATGAAAGTATTGGTCCGTTTCTCGATAAGTTGGGTGTACGAGACCGTAGCAAGCCGCTGAAGCTCCCGAAGGTCCACCCAGGAGCCAAATTGGCAGAGAGTATACAATCCATCCGTCTGACGTTCTAATACGTAAAGGGTCTTATCGGATTCTAGCCGGGCAACAAGAACAACAGGACGGGATCCTATGCGACTCTCCAGTTCTAGAACTTTAATCTTGGACTCGAAATATCGTGAGGATTCGAAACTTCCATATGGCGAAGAGAGATCTAGGAATGAGAGCTGAAGATGTTCACGAGGAAGAATCATTAGAGGCTGAAGGCTACGAGGTTTAATCGAGATATTTGGGGGATGTGGCTGTAATTGATTAGCGATGATATGAAATATCATCAAATGAAATATCATCAAGTAGAAGTAGTAAGACGGATTGACCTACTTTAACTACAATTGAAGGTCGTAGGAGCTCTTCCATAGCTTCGACATCCCTTTTGTGCTTCAGGCTCGGGGAGCCATCCGCGGGACTACCATGACTGGGGTCAAGGCGGACATCAGATGAAGGCATATGGATGCTGCTGAACGGTAGACGCGACGCGTCTGAACCTAGAGCTCCTGAAGGCATATAGATTCCATTTACTGGTATATATGATCTTAAAAGTAAATGGAAAAGGAAAAGATGCAAAATGAGGTCACTATAAAGTCTATATTGTGACAAAATGAAGACCACCACCAATATGTACCCAGTCGATCATAAATGATAAGTAGAGGTATGTAAGTACATTCAATGTGCCAAAGGAGAAAAGGTGCACGGATCAATTTACTAAATCTTTTTATGACTTCACGCGTTTTGGCCTACACGGTCTGCGCGATGAGGGGTACATACCTATAAACCAGACAGGCGTTATCTCCAATTGCCCCTGTACGTAAGCCACAACACAGAATATCAGAGGTACCTAGGTACATAGAAATTGAGGCCTCATCGGTGGCGTATGTTTTCTGATGCCGCCGAGAGCTACCTGAATTAGCTTAGGTACCTAGGTAGGTAATTGCCATATTGGAATAAGTTGATTATTTATTACAGGCTTAACACCTGAATTCGAAGAAAATAATAATGATGCGCTTTAGCAAGTTGAATCCTTTAATAGGTTGTCGTTTGATTTTTATCTCGGCATTTCCATATTACATACATTAAGTACATAGTACCCGTACACGCTACTGTACGATTTACTGTCTACATGGAATGTTTATATTGGAACAATATCAGTTTGGAGATCATTTACCGGAATAGTGGAATCGTGGCGTTGTACTTCCACACTCTGAAACTGCCACTAGACACGTACATTGCTCTCCTTTACAAATGAGTAAGAATAATATGTAATAATGTGCGCGTCCGCTGAACTTTTACTGTAACACGGCAGCGGAGCTCTAGCTCCAAGGCTCTAACAAAGCTTGTGTTACCTGTACCTAGCCTGCTAGTTTACTTCTGGTTAGCTGGTTAGCTGCCTGATAAGTTCATACGCCGCTGTCACCTCGCCGCCCAACCAATCAACTCCAACTTTCCATGCTACATCTTTTTTAGTCTCGAGTCGCTTATGCAGGTTTTCTGAATCGGCAGAGTTATTCTAACTTATTATTACCGATTATCCTGATTCCTCTGATCTTACATTGACCGTTCTGACCATTGACCACCTACTACTTCTATCTACGTACATGTAGATTGATGCCATTGTCGCCATCGTGCAGCTAAAGCTCCATCTACTTTCAAGGCTCGGGATATTTAATATTTGATCTTCACTTTGATCTTCAAGCAATTAGTCCTAAAATATCAAATACCCCATCGTATGAAGTTAATTTCCGTCATCTCATCAGATCGATCAATTTATTACCCTTCGAATAAATCAGTAGAGTCGACTAAAAGGTGTCGGATCGGACTGAGTGGGAACCTGCAGCGCCCGAGTCAAGAAGTTTTGTCCACTTTCGTCCACTTGCAATTTCAAGTGCTTTTTCGGGCTTTTCCCTCATGGATGACCCCGGCCTGGTCTATCGTGTATAGCTGCCAGCTGACTTGCTTGGCGTCTTGTTTTTGACTGCGACTAACCAAATTACAACCTTATTGTCGCTTTTAATACATACTTTTCCCATCTTCTAAACCTCTAATCTCCCTTGGCTCCAGTGCCAGTATCTCCGGATGACAAACTGACTAAACCTTTGTGCTTCTGGATTTGGTTCCAGCGAGTGGCATTCGTCAATTCTCGACATGTCCGCCGCCGAAACATCGCCACGCGCCGTTCGATTCTCCCAGAGCGAAGTCGAGCTGGCACAGAATAAGTCTAACCCTCAACAGCCTATTGCCATTTCCACCGATTCCGATGGCTCGGGCTCATCCGAAGATTATACACCCGATCCGCACGAGCTCGAGCGCCAGGACGAATTGGGGTCTCTCGCCCCATATGGAGATGGCAGTATTACGAGCTCTATGGCATCGCTGGCCCCGAATTCGGTTGCCAACAATGTCGGGAGACCACGAGGTTCCACGGCCGAAGTGAACGTTAATAATGTCGCGAATGGTGTCGGTAACCGACAACAACAGCAACAGCAGCAACAACAACAAAGACCCCATGTGACGCGCACTCCCTCTAGCACTTATGCTCCCCAAAGAGGACCTCCCCAGCAACCCGCCTTCATCTCTACTTCGACGCGGTCTGGATCACGACGACGAGATCCTGCCGATAAGTTCCGCGATCAAGAGCCCGCGTACCTGCGCATGATACGCCAAGACCGTACTCCTAATGGATATTTTGATCCTTACACCCCTAGCGTCGACTATTCTGATGAAGAGTCTGAGGGCGAGACCCCCTCTTCGGAAGGCGTCTTCGACGACCGCTTCCCTAATGACGAGACTATAATGTTCCAAAATTTAATCGACGACACGCAACCTACCGAGGATGATATCAAGGATCCAGCGAACCGCGAGCGGCTAGAGTGGCACGGTATGCTAGCAGCAGTTTTGACCGGTGATGTTGTAAAACAGGAGAAAAAGCGGCTTATTGGTACATCTGAGTTATCAGGTGGAAAGTCTACTTACAAGAGCGAATTGTGGCTCGGAATCAGGTCGAAAATAACAGGCCGGTCCCTTGCCGTCCAGCGGAGAATAATCGAAGAGGCGCGAGGGAACCTCGACCGAACTATTGACGAGATCACTCGGTTCGAAGTGCAAGGTGAAACTGCTGCTGGTAAACCTGCCATCGAACAAGTCCGAGACATTGTGAAGAAGATAGAAAAGTGTGAGGGTCTATATCCCTCGTGGCAGGCGATGGGAATCGCGCACCAGCAAGTCACGTCTCAGTCGTTCCAGGAAGTCTACGATGTCGTCATGTCTTGGTATAATACCAATGAAATGATCAATACCGAATTGTCAATTCTTAAGAAATGGGTAGGTAATGAGGACCTCGATTTCCAGAGGACGAAGCAGAGGTCGCCAAGTACCAATGGTTTAAGTGACGAAACTTCATTTCTAGACCGTCTTCTGAAAGAGGATGGCCTAAGGTCATTGCACGAAGATGACGAGACCGCAACGCAGGAACACGCCCTAAAGACCAAGTCGCTCATCCGAAGAAGCATGCTAACGCCGATCTCAACCACTATTGCCAAGGCTAAAGAAACCCTCATTATGAACTCCGCGGCCTTCCATAAACGACATCTCCCTCCTTATATTGAGGAGTTACTCACCCTTATCAGCTTTCCCTCGCGGCTGATCGAGGAAATTATCAAGGTTAGAGTAGCTTATGCTAGAAAAATGAAAGAGACCACACAGCAAACCCCTATTCTTCAAGACCAGATGATCTCGCAGTTTGAGATCTTACTAAAGCTTGCAATCCGCATCAAGCAGGAAAATCTCATGGTGTCTCAGCCCCAGCCCGGGTGGAACCTACCACCATGTATTGATGAGTCGTTTGATCAGGTTGTACTCGATGCCCTGAAATATTACTTCAAGATGTTGAACTGGAAGCTTAGCAGAAATAAGAACACTTTTAAGGAGGCCGAAGTTCTGTTTCAAGAATGGGATTTCGCTAACGAAATTGGTCAACATCTCGTTGGAGGTGACATAGAAGTCGCTGAGCAATTTAGCAATCTCACATACAAAGCTCTAAACCGCCTAAGCCAGACATTTGAGCGTGAGCTTCAGAGAAAGCCTAAGGAGAGCCCAGACGACATGAGCAAGAGGTACACGCAAATGCTGGATACAGTACGAGTTAGACAGAGGATGTTACAACGGTTCTCGCGGATGTTGAGCGAGCATTATGAGAACGCGTCAGACATGAGTATTGCCCTTGGCGCCGAGGGCTTGAGGTCCCTGTACGAACGACTTTCGGTCACTGGGCACTTCCTTGTCGACGAAGTAGATGGCATTCAAATCATAGCATCACCAGCTCTCATAGGTCGTGACGATGAGGTTCTGTCAATACTACGAACTTGCTTCCACGAGCGGATCTCAGAAGACCCCACGGACCCTTACGTATTGATACTCCGTCCAGAGGCTCCATTACATTGGTTTGGTAATAGGCGTCCTCAGACTCTCAATATTGAGTCGCCTGACCTCAAGCTCGGCCAAATGCGTCTAATCGCAGATGGATCTCAAGACCGGTTGGCGAACGCGAGGAAACTCTTCCTGGAAACAATCGATATGCATCTCGATCTTATTGTGGAAGCGCGCTCAAATCTCCACAAAGTGAATACTCGACTATTCGAAATTCGAAAGGTTGGCTTCAAGCTTTCTAACACATTCATGGACAGCGTTGAGATCATCCGAAAGCAAACGAAGGGGTTTGACTGCCAAGATCTAATCCAGACGTGCTTCGTCTTCGCCACGGAGTTCGGCCAGAGATCGCTCCTATATATGGATAGCAACCGGCGGCAAATGAACAATATGAAGCTCACCAAACTTAGTTTAGACTGGGTTAGCTTCATCTGCGACGATTGCAAAGTTACTGATCGCAAATCTTTCCGCTGGGCTGTACCTGCGCTAGAATTTGCAATGGGCATGACAAGAGGCCGACAAATTTTAGGACTTGGGGATGACGAATACGCAAAATTACGCGCCAAAGTGTCGGGGTGCATGTCGCTTCTCATTTCGCATTTTGATATTCTGGGTGCCAAGTCTAATCAAGCCGCACAACTAGAGCGCGACCGTATCGAGACTCTCATTGGACAATTCAAGAGGTTCGACAAGAACCGCATGCTTGATGATGAAGCAGCCATCAAAGATAAACAAGAGCAGCGTCTAATCCAACTCGCTCAAATCGACGAAGTGCAGAGACGCAATATCGAAGAAAGACAAGGACTCGGACGGGTGCTTGAGGTTTCCAACGAAGTCGATCGATCGCTAGCGTACTTGTCATCATCTGCTACGAATGTCACGATGAGATGGCAACAAGGACATTTCGTCGGTGGTGGTACGTTTGGTAACGTATATGCAGCTATGAATTTAGATACTGGTCATTTGATGGCTGTTAAGGAGATCAGACTGCAAGACCCCAAATTGATACCGCAAATCGCAACACAAATCAAAGACGAGATGGGCGTTTTGGAAGTTCTTAACCATCCCAACGTAGTCTCCTACCACGGTATCGAAGTGCATCGCGATAGGGTCTATATTTTTATGGAGTTTTGCTCAGGTGGTTCGTTGGCTGCTCTGTTGGAGCATGGTCGTATCGAGGATGAACAAGTTGTCATGGTCTATGCACTACAACTTCTTGAAGGTCTTGCTTACCTTCATGAAAGTGGTATCGCCCATCGTGACATCAAACCAGAGAGTAAGTCCCTCCCCCAACTTCATTATCGCCCCCTAAACAACCCCATGCTAAACAGCATCCAGATATCCTACTCGACCACAATGGCGTCATTAAGTACGTAGACTTTGGCGCCGCCAAGGTTATTGCCCGACAAGGACGCACTCTCGTACACGGCTTATCCGCCACGAAACCTAATAAGTCAATGACAGGCACGCCTATGTATATGTCTCCCGAAGTTATCAAGGGCGAGAATCCAGGGCGCGCTGGAGCCGTAGACGTATGGTCGCTTGGATGTGTCATTCTCGAAATGGTCACGGGCCGTCGACCGTGGTCAAACCTCGATAATGAGTGGGCGATTATGTATAACATTGCTCAAGGCAATCCCCCGCAACTTCCAAATACAGATCAGTTAAGCGCGCAAGGAATCGACTTCTTGAACAAGTGCTTTGTCAGAGACCCGAAAAGAAGAGCAAGCGCTGTCGAACTACTTCAACACGAATGGATCATGTGTATCCGCAACCAAGTCGTCGAGCCACCGACTCCAAGCGACACCAGCAGCAACTCGGCTCAAAGCACACCACATCCTTTTTCGGGAAGTAGGGGAAGTGTGGGTGGAGATGGCTTCTATTAGGAATATAGGCCTGAAGATTTGCCTTCAATTCAAGTTACAGAAACGAAAGAGGATGGGATCTCGCCGCCCAGCGAGATGATGCTGACTGCGCCAGGTGATAATGCTACGGTTCCATTTCCGCCGTACGTTGACAGGGAATTCAACGCGAGTAGCCGGCTGCTTCCCCCTACTAGCATGCAGGCGGCACAAGAGTCTGCAAGAAGGGCTCATATTAGAGAATCCGTCAGTCGGGCACGAGCGGAATCTGAATCAGCCGTGTCTAGCAAATTTCTATTTAACACTCTGGAAAGAGAGTTTGGTCCCAGCTCATCCTAATAGCGGACCTTGAGACTCCATAATGATGCGGGATTGTCCAGCGGTATGAAGGGGACGAAAGGGGATAAGGGAAACCTATTGTATGGGGTTATATATAATACGACTACGACGGCAGAACAATGTTTGAGATCTACTGTAACGACTTGAGATTCATACGTCCGGCTGCATGAGCGACGGAGTCGAGAGTGGTTTTTGTTTTTCGGCATTTTTGGGCGTTACGGGCTGTATGATGGGGAACTAACTAAGGACGCCTCGGGGCTATACTTATTTACTCGGCAAACTGCTATACTAGTCAAGATGTTACTATATAATAATTCTAGGTAGACCACTTACCCGAAGGGAAACCGATGCGGTCGGTCGGTCAGGACAGTACCGGCGAAGTTGGAAGTATTTACGTATATATGTTATAACTACAACTAACTAATACCCTGTAATGCTTATCTCGGCATCCACGTGAGAAGGTTACATTGCATCCATGCTATGTTTTACCTTTGTCTCACTAGTATTATATGCGAACTGTCTTGCTTTTTGCTTTTTTTTTCTCTCTTCACGACGGTATCCTCGTACCCTATACGACAGCCCCGGCCGGAGAGCACTCCGCGATGGTACTACCCGAAGTAGAGCGGAGTACGGAGTAAATACGCTCGGCGATGGGGCGTTCCGCGGTGAGACGGAGGGCGCCGCGCGGTGCGGGACGCGTAAGCCGCTTTGGCGTTCTGATGGCGCGTGATGATGATTCTACTTACGTAGTATGTACGTATAAAAGGGGGGATGGGATGTCTTGATTCGATGTATTGGTGTGTTACATGTGTGGCTATAGTTAACTACATGTATGTGAGGCTGTCGAGTAGGTAAGTGGGCTAGATGGTCTATGTTGACTATAGGGCTTGCCCGTGGCTGTAGAGTTGTTGGTAAACAATACATACCTAGGTGTCTTATGTACATGAAGAGCAAGTCTCCTCCTTCCGCTGCGAAGGTTCGAACAGAATTACTTAGCGAAAACGAAGTATCACCGTATGATCTCATCTCAAGCATTACTAGAGCCACCCTACCCTGGCTTATAGTCAATACCGAGATATGTTAGGTAATGAAATATACCTAACCTACCTGGTAACTATGTCTAAGAAGCCAAAGCGCTTGGCATGAACGCTGGGAAGGTAACATAAGCACAATATTAGGTATATAAGCAGGCAAGTATGTAACAGTCACGCCGCTGCAACGGTGACGGGGACGAGGCATCAATCAACAACTCCTTAAATATAAACACAACAACAATCACGGATAAACAAATTTTCTTTCTCACACGCCAATCAGTTACAACGGTATTAGATGAAAAGAATTAGAAACCGCCGTATCAATTATCTCGTCCGATTGGTACCTAATGAATATCGGACTACCTATACTGCAGCTGGGAATAGGGGCGTGCGTGATGTGACTGACGCTCGTGTTAAGGGGTCGGTGTGCTGATCCCGGAGAGCATAAATCTTTCTTGGTGTTTTCCGCTCGAACCCTAAGATACATGCGATATAGGGAGTCGGTATACCCTAGTTCTCTGCGTGGTGATATCCACTCTAAGGCTAGTCCCCTGAGCGGTCTCCCTTATTTAATGGTACATAGATTAGACATCCCCCAGCACGCGTGTGGCTCGGTGTGATCAAACGCACTCCTGGCAGACTTGAGTTGCGCTGTCACTTCAGTCACTATCTCCGTCATCTAGAGCGTCGTCGTGATCATCACGAGGTTCGCGGTCCTCTAGGCGGTCGGGATCGTTTTTCTCCTCCTCCTCCTCGTCTTCTTCATCTTCCTCTTCCTCCTCTTCACCGCCCTCGTTCTCTTCCTCTTCTTCATCCTCTTCTTGCTCTGGCTCCGGTTCCGTCTCAGCGTCACTATGTTCGCGCGGTTCATCGCCAACATCTACGTCCATAGCTGAGTCATCAGGCGCGTTAGGCTTCTGTTTCTTCAAGGCGCGTGGCCCTGCTGAATCCGGCTGGCTTGCGGCTGCGGTAGAGGCAGTGGACATGATAGAGGAATTGGGATCCACACCAGCCTTCTCGGCCTTCTTCGCAGCAGCTACTTTCCTGCGGTAGGTGTTACGTTTTGTCGTCTGGGTCTCGTTAAACTCTGGAGTTTGCGTAGGTTAGTTATTAGTAGCTTGCGTCGTATAAAATACGCGAGACAGGGATTAATGCGTACTCTTGAATTCAGCCTCTAGTGTTTCGCAGAAGGAGGGGAATTCTATGTCTTCGAGTGCAGCAAATACATCGGCAGGCATGATAGTCTTCTTGTTAGAGCTTTGCGTGTGCTCGTTTGCTCTATTACCGGGTTAGACATCTAACATAAACCCTTTCCAAAAGCTTCAGTTTTTATGTAGGAACGTACGCGTTAGCAAGGTGGCTAATGAATACAGTAGCGCTCTTGCTCATGGCCAAGATAGCATTTGCTTGGATCTGAGTATTCGGAGGCAGGACACCTTTGGCGAGGCGCATTATTATTGACTTCGGAAGGGTGACATCCTATAATAAAATCAAATGCTCAGTCACGATTCGCGCGATCAAGTTATTTCCTCGCATACCTCAATGGTAACATTGTCCTTGGACGTGCTATCTTTTCTCTCCTTATCTTTCTCTGTAGGCGATGCAGCCTCTGCAGGTCGTTGGGTATCCATCTCTATCGAGGGTGTGGGTTGAGGCTGCGCGGGCTGCACGGGCTTAGATCGCGCAGGAACAGAAAGAATAGGGCGGAGGGAAGTTGAAGAAGTATCGACATCGGCGTCGGAGCCATCGTAGACGAACTGAGCCATGGATAAGTTGCTCTGTCGAGCATTGTCAGTTTTACGGGGCGGCATGGTGCAAGGTTAGTACACCTGGGACCTGGGGGAGACCGTGCAATTGGGGTGCAAAAGCCGTATCGGAGGAAGACGTCACTGGCTATTACGCAGGTCTTGTTGACTTGACTTGCTTAATTGATTATGTCGAAGTGAAGGATGGAAAAGGTACAATTGGTTATATTGCACGGTATGTACGTAGCACTAACGGTTAGTATGTAGCACAGGTAACTACGGATTATTCCACTAGTAGCGCGTGCCCCACGTTTTGACGCGCTCCAGACGCGTAAAGAGCTTTCTATGTACGGAAGTCGCCTTTGAAGGCGACTTCCGTAAGTTAATAAGGTTGGGAAGGAACTTTATTCTTTAGTAACCTTAGCTGGCTGCTACATAGGTTAGTTCTCTCATTCTTTCCTCTTTCTACTATTATCGCGATCTTTATTTTTTTTAATCTTCTTAACATCAATTCTATTGCAAATATCTAAACTGTCCTTTTTTATTAATGTTCAATAATTATTCCACTCTATGAGTAGCATCAAAGCAATGCTCCCTACTAGGTGGTTTAGTTAAGGCAAGCTACATAGGCCTTAAACCGTAGCATTTAAACCACCCTACCTACACCACCTACAACTCAGACTATCAGACCGCTCCAAGATTCCGGGCTCAATAGGATATCATTTTGATAAGCTCAATCTAGCCACCTTAAACAGTCCAATCTTCCAATAAACCCAATGAGGTTCAGTCTTCATATCATACCAGCCAGCCTATGATGAGACTTAGTTATATCTATTTCGGAGTTTTAATCACACACTCAAAGCAACATTCAGCAACTCTACATACCATAAAGGAAATGAGCAAGATGATATCGTGTTATGAAACATATAAATATTAATATTTGTTACTATCAATCACCGGTACTCGGGGAAGGCAAGGCAAAGCCATGCTCTTATAAGGGAACGCGGAACGGCAGCGGAATATACCGCCTAAAACATACCCACTTAAGCAACCCGCCCTGCCGCCCTGGGGAAGAATGTTTGATCGGCTGCAAGGTTAACGGTAGTCACAGACAGGATTACGCACAACGACGAATATCACACGCATGAATCACGAATTTGATGAACATGGCAATAAAACGTGGCAGACACGAGACTCTACGATCGCTATCACTGATCCACGAGATCCCCGGGATACCCCCAGTTGTGGCCGCTCCGTAACGGCCCCATCCTCCCTTTCTGCAATATTGTGATTCGGCATGCCTTTCATTTCGCAGATTCCGGACGGACGGGCGGAAATTTGAACCGAGTCTATGTAATTTCACAACCACGAAAACTTGAGACTAGTACTGGACATGAAGGTAAGAATAATGTTTCACTTTGTTTCAATTAAATTTTATAATGGAATAGTAGGAGGCTTCAAGCCAACTACGAGTGTAGTTCTATCTACAATCCGAATCTAATAAGTCGCTGGGGAATTGAGGATTCGGTAAGTATACCGCTCAAGCCCCTAAAGTCCCATCTCCTTAACCTAGTGGGTTAAACGAGTTCGGGCAGCAATAGGGGGGCTCTTTCTGCCTTGTCGCCCTGCTTTACTTGGGCTTCTCGTAATGCGACGTCGTCATATCTTCAATGACATAGTGATAAAACATCAAGATATTGTTCCCATGCCCAATGCAGAAATGCCATCTTGTCAAATCCCTCTTAGGGGGTGCCATAATGCTTCATCAACAAGCTTCCAGGGTAAAACATAAAAAATCCGGGGTATATCCTCCGTGTCTCGCGTTTCTCGCGTCTTGACGTTCCCAAAAACTCCTAAGAAAAAAAAACAATGCAATTAAAATGATATATTGTTGCTGTCGGCGTTGTGCCACGAAGGCTAGAAATCGGGATGATTAAAAAATGGCATCATGTTAATGCATCGAAAAGGGGCGTGAAGCTGACAAGTGAGGTACCAGGGCCTGCTATTGGCTAGCTAATATGCAGTTCCTAAGCAATGCTGGCCCTAAAGCGACCTGAACGATAAGAGCACTTGGTTCTCTCTGTTCAGTTTCGTTCCGTCGAAGATCCACGTGTGTGATGGTGTGTTGTTTCTTCGGCGGTGCGCAAGGATAGTCGAGCCGGTAATTCTTAACTCCCTGAGGCACGTCCGAGGGCTGAAACAGACGAAGCACGTTTAGATACACCCCCCGGTAAATCTCCAAGGTTTGGATGTACAAACTACAGGGATCGAACTTGGGTATCAAGATAGACGGCAGATCACAATTCTCAGCCGACAGCCAATCCGATTGTGCTTTCATTCCGCCGTGACGGAGGCGGTGATAGGCCCGTAAATTGGTCGTTTTCGCCATAAGATAGTCTTGGCGGCGGCGGAAGCGGTGAATTCGAGTAGATACGATGGCTTCGCGCAAAGCCTTCACTCGAACCCCTAGGAGGCGATGTTTCTACTGCACTGTCCCGCCATGAAGGTTCAGAAAAACTTCTTAGACTATTGCTACGCGATTCTTTCCGACTGCTCATGATCGGCGAATTCGGCGGTAGTTTATGCAATCTTGATGTGTGTCGTCTCGAGGTTGGTAAAAATGGATCGTCTCCAGGAACCGCCTCGTCCGTCAGGCCAGATCGTGCGTTCGGTGCCCGTGCTAACACAGCCCCGGGAATTTGCGGTAAGTCAAAGCTGTTTTTGTCGCCGATAAACGATCTGGGCGATATTACTTCGAGAGACGGTCGAGTGCCGGTTTGATATTGGATTAAGCTTGGGGCTCTTCTGGTAGATGTTGACGTGGATCCGTTGTGTGAGTGAGTCGGCCGAGTCGTAAACTTATTAACCTTCTCTGCCGATCGATTCGACTTCCACGTTGCTATCTCATCGTCACCGATCGGGGTGATGCCTCTGTTAAACATTGGTAATCTTCTCCGCCGGTCTCCCGTGCATAAATAAGCGGCCACTGCAATCAAAACTACACCTGCGATGCTCAGAACCGTACTAAGGACGATGGTTAATGTTGAACTCCCACTTCCGTTATCATTCGAGCTGACACTGCTGGGAGTCGGAGTAGAACTGGTCATCGTGACTGCTCCGGTAGGTGAGGAAACAGGGTTAGAATTCGGCACAATAGCTGCGGTTTTAGAGTTTTCACTCAGTGTCAAGCTGGTAACACTAGACGTGATTTTAGAAGTAAGGAAAGTGGTTGGTGAGGGTATTCTCGCCGACCGAGAATTTGTCGTAATGATAGTCGTGAGCTGTGCCGATGGAGTTTCGGGCAAAGCTACAGCAGTTGGAATAGTTGGCGAAGCGAGAGTGAGTATAGTCGTGCTAACCACAGTTTCAACATCAACAATAGTCGATGTCGCTACTGGATTAGCAGGATTTTCTGCCGGTGGCGATAATTCCACTGGAGGAGTCGGACTTCCAGGAGCGGACGGAGGTGGCGGACCCGGAAGACCGATACCGTCAAAACCTTGTGGACCACGCTCCCGCTTCGTGATGCTTGACGGAGTGGTAACCCGTAACGGAGTGGCTACCAGTGAAGGTGCCAAAGGTTCTGTACAAACAAGTTAGCAAACCGGCTCACAAAGATTGAGTATCACGGAAATCAACACCGTCTGCCTTGAACGAACCCTTCTGGCTGCTCAGACTTGGCGATGGCAGGACTACCGAGGAGTTCCCACTTGGGCCATTCTGACGAGTATCTAATTGCGAAGTTCGAGCTACACCAGGTAAGCCCAGTAAAAGAAAAACCGTAAAAATTATCATAGCGAGCGTCTCCAGTCATCAGTCCCAGCTCAACTGGGCGAATAGCCATCAAAGCTCATCACCACGTTCATCACGTAAATAATCGATGAGAAGTCACATTCAGCCATTGACCCGCCTGGCTGTTATGAAGCATTCGTGGCATGAATTGAGCGAAATGAAGACAAAGAAAACGGCAGCTGGATTGTTAGGGGAAACAGGTAAGAAGAAATTAACTAACACTTAATGAGCGTCTCTCACTCAAGAACTTGTTGGAGTTCGAGGGGCGGCGAAACAGGGAAGAATAAACTTGACATTCAGTCTACAGCAAGTTGGTCTCTTCACGCAAGAAGGGGAAGGGAATCCCCGCTGGAGACCAAGACTTGAAACGAAGGACTGGAGAAATACGAAATTACGGTATTCCACCCATATGTATAAGAGCGAAAAGCTCTATACCCAGGGTGATTTTTTTGCTGCTAGTCGAAACGGAGCCGTGCGCAGAGGAAATCTACGCTAGGGAGAAATGACGGAGAGAGGGGGGGCAAGAGATCTTGATATTCCCACTCGCGTGGAGGAGAGGAGACATTCACCTAGACCGAATTTACAAGGGTTAATAACACACCATACCGTAGAGAAATGTGGGCAGCGCACGGCGAAGAGGGTGTGCGGTTGTAATTAAGAGGGGAGTGGATCTTGGTGCGGCGTACATACGACGTAGGTGTGGTATAGCTTCCCCTTGTTAAAAGCAGGCTCGCACTTACATACACTACACTGCCTATGTATAATGTATGTGAGTCCAGGTATGTTTTCGCGCGGGTTGTTTCGAGAACATGTGTGTGGGTATATATGAGAGACTAATACTAAACCCATCACAGCGATCGACAAGAGCTAACTAGAAGATAATAAGTCGATGAGGCTGGAAACGGGCGAAGAAAAGAAGGCCCATTGCTGCTCGATATGGGGGGGTTCCCGAAGGACTTATTTAGAACCTAGATTCCTTCGTAATTGATCTACTGCAGCACCTTGACCTTATTAAAGGCGGTTGGGACCTTGGGTTTTGGCTTGCAGACGATCGCCGCCGCACGGAAGAACTACTGTTGCTGCACATTGCTGCACCCCATGATACCTCTCTACATGCATACATACCTACATTACCTACATTATTAACATCGATCCCAGATAAGACAGGGGGTTAGCTTAGTCTTAGAGTTGGCGCCCTCGGATAATAGAGAACCTAGCAAGGGTTGCATTTTCTTGGTCAGACCCACGACCGCGAAAAGATAGGTTCTACCTACGAAGAAATCCGTACGGTATCAAAGGTACACTTTGCCCAAACCGTCAGGAATTTCCTAGTACGGAATTCGATTCGAAGGCTTGCTGCTTGTAGCGTAGTGTATGGCGCTTCTCTCCCCCAACCGGCCCCAACTTGGCCCCATCACATCCCACGATTTACGATTTGGGGATTACGGATTACTTACATACACTACATACATACATGGTACACACTGTTCAAAAGTGTGGTTAAGCTCGGCGGGGCCAGTCGACGTCGAGATAATGAGAAACACGGCCCACGAGGCGCCAGGTGTTCGCGGCCCTTCTTTTCGGGTTTTGAGACAAGGCCTTGGCTTGCAGCCTTTCTTCACCTACCTACCTACCTACCTACTCTGGGGGTGCGTTAGTACCTACTGTTTCCTCGTACATAGGGTTTCTCCTAAGATTCAGGTACGCGAGGCATAAATGATAAAGGCTGGCGAATGAGAGATCTAAGACGCACATCGTCCAAGAGTATGTAGGGCCTCATGGATTAGGCGGGGTGGTGTGAGTAAACTAGCCTCAGTCGAGTTTAATAGATAGGTATGCAGGGCCAGAAAAGAAGGAGAGGAGGAGAGGAGGGGTTCTCCGGATCTAGCGAATAGTACCTAGCACTCTCGGGGCCGGGTTGAGCGACTTTTTACAAGTCTCCCCTCGACTACCGAAAACGGGACCTCGCATCGGCATCTCTGTCACAACTTGTGGGAACCGGGTTACACGCTCCCACGCTCCCACGCATTGAGTATATTAGGCAGGCAGGCAGGGTCCGTCAGGCCAATCTGACGTCCCCCCTCCATTCCGGAGCGTCAACGTGCTAGAAACGTGCGTGCTATCGTGAACGTGGGATTCGTCGATCGCGTGTGCGTCTTTGTCTCGGAGGCGTTTGCTTACTCGACTTTGCCTGCTTGGGCTTAATGTAGGTTTAGGAAGGGTAGGAAGGGTAGGGTGAATGAAACCCGCCGCCGTTCCATGTCCTGATTCTACGGTGCATTGGCTGGCTCGCCACTGCATGAGGAATCGGAAGGGCGAGCTAACCAGGCTGAGCTTCTGTCCGTAAATGTGAGTCTAGCATCGTGCAACCTCTTCGGCCAGGTTAAGAGTTCTGCCCTGAGCAGACGAGATGTAACAGCCTCTTTTCATAATTGTCTCTAACTAACAGGTAGTCAATATCTTCTTCTCCGGGTGTCAGTAGCGATATCGGGGGTTGTATGTAGATGGTTGCTTTTTGTTTTAGGATCGGTCTGTATAAGTCAATGTCTCGTCATATCTAACCGGTGGCTTAGCCGGATTTCTACTCCTACGATAATAGAGATCTCGATTGACAACCGGCGTTGTCTCGAATAGAGATTCATATACGTACACACATATGTACGTCATCAATAGTAGGAAAAGTCGAAACAAGCCACAATGCCGTGCTTCGATGTTGTGTTTAAAGACTCGACAACCAAGTTTCGGTTTAATTGTTACCCGACCTTGGGAGGCGTTGCAACCTCCGTTGGCGGTTCGGTGGTTCGTGTGGGCTATACCATTGGGCGATCCCCTTCTTTTCGGACCCCATAGTCCGGAACATTTAATCCTAGGTTTACTTCGATTCCTGATTCCTATTGTAACTACGACACACACCCTGTCGGGCAAGGAAAGCTACCGAGATCTCCTCACCTATCTAGTGTAATCGGCCTGGCGAATAGCAGTAGGTTGAGCCCAGGTGAATGGTTTTTGACGCTTTCAACCCGCAGGTGATGAAACAAGAGTCGGCCGTCGTGTACGGCTGCCATTGGCCTGGTGTGTTGAGCTGCTAATGTGCCCCAGTCTACCTACATGAGCCTCGCCCAACTACATACATTAGTAGATACATGCGACATGTACTTATGCTCGGAGCATCGACAGAAGTGTCGTCGGCTCCGAAATATTGAATCGGCCGTTTATTACCTATTACGAGCATCACGAGAATATTCTGAGCTTCGGTTATGGTGTTGAGAGAGAAAGAAATAAAAATCGATCAAATGACCAGGTCAGAAGAGCGGTCAAGCTTAAAAGATCTCCTGAGGCTCAGAGTATAAGTTGGGCGAATGCCACAATGTAATTTCACGATAGAAATAAGCGTCGATGGCGATGTAACGGAAGACTTCGCGCGCCAGTCTTTTTGGAGCTTAGAAGCTCGAGAATATCTTATGTAACTACCTACCTAGGTTAAAGACTTGTTACGTTAGCCCCCATAATTAACCGCAACCGATCCCGTTAACTCCGTTACTTTTGCTAAAGTACCTACCTACATCTTTACGGGGATCGGCTAGTTCGACTGTGGTCCAAGCTCCGATATTTCATACATAGTAACTACGGAATACCTACATGAAGCAAAAATCGCCGCGTATACTTGCACCAGAGATAAAATGATAATCGTCTTTCTCCAGACAAACCAAAAGAGTCCGTCTTGAGGTACGCGAATAGCTCAGCCACTCTCCCCCCCATAGTATGTAATTATCGTACGAGTAGATGTCATTGCTCATTATCTCCAGATTAACGCTCTAGCTCTCTCTAATGCCTACGACTTACGGCTTACAGCTACGACTGGCTAGTCAGGGGTGTGCTTCCGCCGAGAGGTCTGTTAGAAAGTCAAAGCATACCTACCCTAAATTGTCGTCAGCCTGCTGAGCCGAAGACCGAAAACTCTCCTGTTGATCTCGTAGATATGTGCATACGGAGAATGAGGCAAAGCAAGTTAAAGGGTTAGTTTGCATTTCCTGTTAGGTACCTGTTAGTTAGTTAGTTAGGTAGTTAGTTAGGAGGTAGTTACTGTGTGTATGTCCTCAAGTGCCAGCGAGACACGGTGGAGTAAATCTATCTAGGATATCTCCAACCAAAATTAATGGTGAACGTTTTGAACAAATCAGACTGCTTTAATTTTGAGAGATACTCCACCGTGTCTCGCTGGCACTTGAGGACATATACTAAAGATAGCAAAAGTTGTGGAGATGGCAAGCTCGAAAATGGGAATATCCGTTCTCCCTTTCGCTACTTGTTACCAATTCATGCCGTCTCTCCAAGGTTGGGACGGACAAAGTCATTAATTCTCCGAACCATCGGAATGTTGGTTCAGGGTTCACCTTGCAAGTGGTACCTAATCAGCTAATGTAGGGCTTACACGTCTATATTATACGATATCGACAATGTCCATCACAATCCTCTCGATAAGCAATCTACTTTAGCTGATCGAATAAAGCCGACCACATGATTCAATAGCGAATGCATCCCCGAGGCGTAGCAAGCAAGGGAACGCTACCATAGACTGGGCGGCGGGCTAGATACGTGGATTAAGCATGTAAACGACTTGCTTACATATGGACATGCCTAATGTAAGCCAGCCGATGAATTATCGCGTTGTGTAGCACGCTGCTCAGCCTTGTCTCGGAAGGGCATGAGACAAAGCTGTCCGAGACACGAATGTGTAAGTTAAATTCGTAAATGCGCCTAGCAACCAAGTCTCCGGTACCTAATAATATATAAATACGTTGGAGTATATATCTTAGGTTAGGTACATTATGCAGTCGAGATTACGTGCAAACGCCCTTGCAGCAGCGCGATGCAGCGTACCTGACAGGTCGTGGGGTCGCTCGGCATGTTTGGCTGCACGTCGAATTGATGACGATAGGTACGAAGTATATCGAATCTAATTTAGGTTGTCTGCCGGTCGCCTAACGGGCATTTGATGTAGGTTGTATGTATATATGTAAACACTTAAAGCTTGGCCCGATTATTTAATCCTTTTGCGGATAAGGATAATAATAATAATATATAATAAAGCTCGCTAATAATACGAAAAAGCATGTATTTAGGGGAATATACATACCTACACCTATAAATGTATATGTAATTCTAGGCGCTAGGCAGCCCTACGCGCTAAACTTACCGGTAAGCCACATATGACCCACTCTGTATGTACATCTCTCTCTCCTCATTCGTCTGTTCTCATTTCATCCTTCAACTTCTCAACTTCAATATTGACAAGCCTTACTCCAATATTTCACCGCCAGTCTTACGTTTCCAAATCCTACAAACGTCCCGACGTTCTGGTATGCTTTCGATGGAGCACCCCACAGGAAAGATCCCATGGCCAATATTCGTTCCTGCGCAATAATATGTCTGCCCCTCATGCAAATATACTAGTAAGCCCTACATTATGTTCCTGAAGAGGTCGAAAGGCTAGGGAAATCCCATCGCTGAAGAGCTGTAAATCATAACGCCTTGTTCCGGGCATACATGATCACATCAGGGCTAGAAGCAACATGTATTTCCTGCGTTGCGGTCACGGCATACTACCATATTACTTGCTTCGTATCCTCTAAGTGGATCAGGTATCCGCCCTCATCGCAAAGGTGCATAATGACTCGCAGATCTGCAGCATGGTCCGCAATCACGCAGCTTGCCCCAGGTCGAAAGATAAGTTTCAAGTTCAGCTCGATCTCTCAGCTGCATCACACTGGCCATGCCAACGTCAAAACTCATATGTGATAACAGTCACAAAAGCCCTACCTATATTCGTAGAAGCTTCGTTATACTTAGGCTCTCTCAAGGAAGATGCCATCTAGCTCTCCATTACAGAGGTACCGATAAGACGTAAGGGTGGGTGATCCTACACCAAGACATTCCCTATTCATCCCCAACTCTTTATGGCGATGCCTATATTGCAACCCTACCCTTTGACAAAACATGGCGGCGGTGAAAACTCCAAAACCGGGTTCACGGCTTAGGCAAGCATTCCGATTTAGGACGTAATCGTTCGACAAGACCGAGAGTAACTGCGCCGCCACGGATGCGTAATACGAAGCGCTCGTCTTGATGCCCAACAGAGTTTCCCCGCGTCAAGATGGGTTCTGAGCAGTCATCCTCACTTGGCTTTTGTGCCAGAAATCGTTCGCCGGTATTCGAAACGAGGACCGATGAGGAACAAATTACTGAGATCCCCATCTCTTTCTGTATCTCAACAATATGCTCGCGAGTGGCGCAGATGATCTATCACGCGTCGTCGAACCCAATATCACCGTAATCCTACCTTATGAGTGTAATCACTATGTATATGCCTTCAAGTCTAGACCATGTATAAAGGCCATGGTATATGTGGCAAGAAACTTTATTAGTCAGTTGCGCCGGTGTTACGTCTTATCACCCAAGGCCATGACGCACCGCTCATCGTGAAGGGCCGTTAGGTACCACACAATTCGATATACGAACTACCGTAAGCACAATACTGATTGATGGTAGCATTTGTTCCGTCAGCGTACCGGTGACTCTGGACGCCTTAAATGAGAGCTACTAGTCATTGGTTCCGGTTATTTATCGACGAAAACTTGATTGACTGCGTGGCATAGAGCTACTCTCAACCGGCGACCATAATCACGACTACCGAAATACGTTGAGATATGGATCGCGGAGAGGACTAACTCCCATCACGTAGCGATGCTAACCGATACATCAATGTGAAGAAGCAGCATATTGCGGGCTGGTCACTATAGCTAGCGGATATATTAAGTCGCATTCTTCAATGGCACTCTTATGACAGCGGCTTATTGCCATATACTCGTGCCTATCATGGACGTCTACCGTATCCACATCAGTGGGAAGAAATATATTATCCGGATCTTGAAAACACCACCATACAATCTTGTCCCCCACGAAGTGGCCAATTTGAAAGGCGCCAACATACAAGCTCAACTTGATAGAAGTATAGGTTGAAAGCACAGCCTTGGGTAGCAGCAGCGTAGTTAGATGCTGCCCTTGCTTCGAAGCTAGGGAAATTCGTTATTT